GGGGACCAAAATAGAAATGTCGGAGTGGAGGTAGGGTGGGAAGTGTCTCGATACTGTTGTTGACAGTGGTGAGGGTGTGAGTGTTCGTGAAGAGTTGAGAGTGAAGAGGAGACAAGTTGGAGTAGCTAGTTCTATATCAATGCGTGAGACTGACAGCTGACGATGGAGCGTGTTGCGTGCTCGTCAGAATTGCTCCGCTTTATAAACTGAGGCAGGGGGTCCGCCTTGTTGCGCCGCCCCTCGTAGCCGACGCACCCGAGAGAGTTGGACCCCGGTGGCCGAGGGCCCGAGGTATGCAAGCCTTGGGCGGTATGCCCCTCCTCCACTCCTGGACACTGACCCGGGGGGAATTAGAAGCTGGTTAATCGCACTAATCCGCACGTGGGAGGGGACTCACCGAGTCGATTAGATAGTGTGGGTATGCATCGGGCACGAGAATTCACAAGACATCGCCGGGGTCCACTCACCTTGGCCGTGCCGAGGGCGTGACGCTGGTGGAGCACACCCTTCGGATCCGCTATCAACGTTACCCCGTTTCAGACATTTGTGGTCAGTGCCCGTCGGCGACATCTGCACAGATCTCCTCAAGCCACAATCGCTGCAATCGGCTGACTTAGCCATTCACCTCCATCTCATCGCGTGCATCGCTTACAAAGCGTCGCAAGCCGTTATCGGCCCGGTTTCAGTCAATGAGGTGCATAAGAATTAAGCTACGAATAGTCTTTTTACGATTGGGGTTGTGGGTTGCGTTGCGTGCTCGGCTGCTTAAGCGGCAGTCTGGCTCTCCTTGCCGTTCTGGTCCGTCTGGTGCGACTCGAGCGCAGCGTCAGCCTTCGACAGGTCGTGCTCAGACAGCTTGCGGCCACCAGACGGCGTCATCGTGCCCGAGATCGCGGACGCGAGCGAGTCGGACCGCTTCCTCGGCTTGAGCGTGAGAGGGAACGGGTAGTGGTTCTCCTCATCGTCATCGTCATTGATGCCCTTCCAGTCTGGTCGTCAGTTTTATCCCAAATCAGTCTAACTCACTCTTCGCGCCCATGTAGTCGCTCGTGCCCAGGTGGGCCATCTCCTCCGTCAGAGTCGCATAGTCGCCAGGCGTCATCATTCCAGAGCGGTAGCCCTTCGGGCTGCCCGGAGCCGAGAGGGGAGCGCCAACGCGGCGGACACCCGTGAACTCGGGCTCGTCGTCGTTGAACGAGTCGGGGTAGGCACGGCGCAGGGCGAGCTGGCGCGCCTTGGCGTACTCAAGGCCGAGCGACTTCCAGTCGAGTAACTCGGACAGACGCTCGGTACGGTTACGCTGGTTGATACGCTGACGGCGCGACTTCATCGTGAAGCTGCACAGCTGGTTCGTGAGCTGCTCGACCGAGTCCTCGACGCCCTTGGATCGGCGGTCGACAATGTAGCAGCCGTAGTCCTCGGGTGACTCGAGCAGGTCCTCCATGAAACAACCGAATCCGGAAAGGTTGGTCGTCACGTTCGGGATACCCATGACCGTGCACTCGGCAGGGGTGTAACCGAAGGGCTCGTAGTACGAGGGGAAGACACCGAGGTGACAGCCGCGGACAAACTCCTCGTAGTCGAGACCGAGAATTGGGTTGTTCGAGTTCAGGAACTCGGGGTGGAAGACGACCTTGACGCGGTCAGAGGTACGGTTGAACAGCTGGACACGACGGATCTGGTTCAGAATCGGGTCGTTGGCATCGTCCTGCATGTTGTGGGTGACAACGGGCGGGAGCGAGTTGCGCTTGAGCGCGAAGACGCGACGCTTCAGCAGGATGCGGTCCTCCTCCGACATGAGGTCCTCGGCGTTGGGCACCTCGGTTCCGTGGACGCCCTGGTAGCGGGCGGCGTGGTCATAGATGCGGTCACCAATGCGCTTCGTGATCTGGCCAACGACGTCCTTGAGCTGGCCGTTGACAGCCTGGCCCTTGAGCGCCTCGATGGTGTACGAGTTCGTGGCGGCAGGCATGATGATGAAGGCGACGACGGTCATCTTCGAGTTCATCTTCTTCAGGCGGTAGTTGAGACGAGCGAGCGACTCGATGAACATGTCGACACCCTTATTCCTGAACTCGTAGCGACCAGCGGTGAACATGTAGACCGTGTTGTCGAGGTCAAAGTCGTAGTGGCCGTAGAAGTGGCCGCGCACAAACTCGTTGATCTTCTCCTTCGACTTGACGTGGAGGTTCTGGAACTCGTGCATGGCGGCAAACTTCTTGACGTTGAGACCGTTGGGAAGCACTCCGTCGGGCTTGCGCTTCAGCAGGTGCTCACTCTCGAACGCAGTGATGTGCGAGACGGTCGTGAAGACGTCGGCGCAGTGCGCAGCAGATCGCTCAATGCAGTAACTGTTGTCAGCCAAACGGACCTCCTCACAAAGCTTACCGGTGGTAGATTCCACGCTTGCCGGCCTCGTGGTCAACATCAAAGTACTGCAGGTTGTTGTAAAAGTCGACATCGCCAGCGCAGAGGTAGCGGCCGAGGAGGGTAGCGTGGGTGGTGAAGATGGTGGTGACGTCGATGTGACGCTTGCGGCAGAGCGGGATCGCAAGACCAGCCTGCCACTCGTGGAAGTGGGCGACAATGGCCTTGTCGAGGCAGCGGGCGGAGAACTCGCCGAGGAACCAAGCAACCATGTAGCCGAACAGGAGGGTCTCGTTGGTCTCGTGGTCGTTGGGCGGCGTGGGGATGCCGGCAACGTTCCAAAGGTCGGCCTTCCACTCGTCCAGGCGGTTGTAGACGCTTCCAGTGTCGAACAGAAGGACACGGGGAGCACCCTCAATCAGCCAACGACCATAGATGTACTTGATGCCGCCGTCCTTCATGGCGCGGAGAGTGTCCGCCATCGGTCCAGGCTCACTGGATACGTCAGTTGCTGTACGACGTACGGTAAACTCACGGCTCCTCGGACTCGACCTCCATGGGCGCCGTCTTGTAGCTGAGGGGACCGATCAGGCAGTATCTGGGACATCGTCAGCTGGCGTTGCGGTGGGCGCTATCGCAGCCGTTTCACTCACCGGTCTCCAAACTCCTTGACGGTCACGGGCACCTTGGTCTTGATGACGGTGTAGATACCGCCGACCTTGTTGGCGACCTCCCAAGCACACTCGAAGAGTAGCGGGTTGTGGACATCACGGTGAACAGCGTCGGCCATGATGCGAATCGGGGATGGGGGTGTAGATGAGGAAGGTTAAGGGGTTGTAGTCGATGTCGCAGATAGGAGTGGATGCGGGAGATCGGGTAGAGATGGGATAGGATGAGACGAAGGGAGAAGGTGGCAAGGAAGAGGAGGTGGGCTGGCTGTTAGCTCGTCGAGTCTTTGTGTGAGCGGAAGAGTGAGAGTGCGAGTGAGGACGATGACGAGCAGCGGCCCGGAGAGGAGCAAGAGGGGCGGCGTTGAGTCATCCTCCGACAGGCAGCCATGTAGGCGAGCGAGGAAGGCCAGCCCCTTCTGTCATCTGGGCTGCTGGGCTGACGCCCGGTAGATCAGGGTTCACCGGAGTGATGCGGAGGGTGTGTGTGATGAGTGCGAAGGAGGCGTCAGTCGTTGATCAAGCACACTTACAGAGGGAGAGGGGGATGAGGATGAGGATGAGATGGAGAGAGATAGTGAGGAAGAAGGAAGGGATGAAGAGGACGGGGAAGACACGAGACTGCGGCAGTGGGAGGAGGGGGGTGAGGGTGAGCGGAGGGTGAAGCCGACCGATGGGAGGTGGATGAGCTGGGGGGATGCGTGCCTGATTGCTGGCTGGCTGGCTGCGACCCTTACATCATACCTGGCTGGCAGATGACCATAAGCAGTAGTACCCTGGTGCCCCGTACGGCTGCGCGGTGGGGCAGCGAACCACCTTGCTCGTTCTCATGCATCCTCGACTCTCCTCCTCCTCCCCATCCGGCTATAGCAACCAGTCTCATTGTTGCGGCGACGGGTGCCTGCTTCTATAAAATTTATGCCTCGGTGACACCAGCATGTGATCGTGCGTCTAGCACCTACGCAGGCAATAGTTCTATGCATCGCCGTGATGGTCACGCTCTGATGAAATTTGCAGGACCCGCACAGACGATTCAAAGATGTGGGGACCGACACCGGCAGAAAGTCCAGTCTAGTCACAATGGCTAAAGCGGCAGAACGAAGCGGCCATCAACCACGCACGCACGCGCCTCACAAACGGCGGCTGCAGGCCTGCAGGCATGCCTGGGCCTGGCTAACGGCGGCTTCAGGTGCATGGGTCAGCCGCACAGTAGTGGGACCGGCACCGGCACTGTACGGCACATCCGGCTTGGCTTCCCTCTGCGCGCGTACCATGCACGGCCACAAACGGCCCGCTTTTTCCTTGCCCTCAATGCTCAAAGCTCAAGCCTTCGCCGATCCCTTCTCTCTCCCCATCATTTCATTCCTGCAATCTCGAAAAAAAGATTTTCACGACTACCAACTAGCAGATGCCAGAACGCCTCGTTGCTGCTCACTCGCCGTCTTCGCCGCACCATTGAAGAAATGCTCAAGCCATGGCCTCTCATCAGAACGATAGATGCTTGGCCCCGTCCACGGCCCTAGTCACCGCGCAACCGAGCAAGTTCGGGACGATGATCACGAGGCGCACCTCGGTCAACACGTCACGTGCATTTATAAGACGCGTTCCTTGACTCGCGTGCGTGCTGCGTGTTTCCGGCGTGGTTCACTCTCCCACGCCAGCCCCACTCATGGCGTAACGTCCACAGCTGTGGCCCCGATATTTTGAGCGGCGCAGCCCATGGAGAAAGCGATCGGCGCAGCTCGGAGCGCGGAGCAACCCTGCAGACCGTCTTCCCTTTCTGATCGTCGCCTTCCTCAACTTCTTTGCATTCTCACCTTCTCTCATAGCAGCAAGCAAACCCGCTCTCATCGCACCGCGATAATGGAACCACGATGATGGCCGAGCTCGACTCCGACTCGGGCTGGAGCCTCTCGTCCTACTCCTCCAGTGCGACGCTGTACAACGCCTCCTCGCTCTCTCTCGCCAAGCTCCCTATTTCGGCGTCGCCCTCTCCCCCCATCTCGCGGTGTTCGCCCGAACCCTCCCCGGGCCCCTTACAGCCTCTGCCCACGGAACTCCTCGTGTTCATCCTGGGCCATCTGGACCGCGCCTCCCTCTCCTCCTGCCTCCGCGTCAACAGCGTCTTCGCCAGCGTCGCTTTTCCTTTGTTGTACAGGCGGCTGTCGCTGGGCGCAGGCCCATGGCCGAAATTCCAAAACGCCACGCCGGGCGTGCCCTGGTACTTGAACCGGGGGATGTTGGTACACTTTGTGCGAGTGCTGGAGCTGAGCCCGCATTCGCTTACCCGCTGTCGCGATTCGGGGGGATGGACAACGTCCCTCCCCCCTTTGCCAGCGCACACGGTCCGGATCAATTTCGGCCCGACGCCGCTCCCGTACCACCCCGAGGGGGCTGAGTGCGACAGCCCCCTGCCGTGTGCTGCTCTGCGGCATGTGCATCCCCACCGCCTCGTCCTGCGCCTGTCCTGCGCCGAGGTGCCGCGCACGGCCATCAGTGCCGCCGAGGTCGTGCTCGTGCTGCACGGACACGTCAAGGGGCAGGCGAGCCTGAGGCATCTACCCCGGAAATGCGGGCGGGTCACTGTCGTGCTCATCGGACAACTGGAGAAGGAGACGGCAGAAAGTCTCCTGAGCGCGACGAGGGCGTGGGCGCGGCGCGAGTTGCCGTGGACTAGGCCGAGGCGCGCGGAGCTCGTGGGGCTGACGCAGAAGAGGGCGGATGAGGGGCGGGTATCGCTGATCTCGATGCGGGAGTGGGTACGCAGTCATGACTGGCGCGACGTTCTGTCGACGGAGGAGGCGAGGTCGTTCTTATAACGATGATTTAGACATCTTACAATCCTTGTATCAGTGTAATTCTTGCATTCTTGCATCATCATAAATCTTCCTGCTGTTCATTAATCCGTCGTACAAAGAAAAGAAACAGTCTTCTTCCTAAATCTAGCCTGCTCATTGCCGTCGCGGTCTCGGCATCTGTACCGGCAACAGCACCAAAAATGCCAAAAACGCAATAATCCCGTCCAGGGCAAAGATGAGCCGTGGCCTGTTGGCTTCAGAGAGGAGCGCGAAGAAGTAGCTGAACAGGCTGATCGTGATGACCTGGCCAAACTTCTCAATCAGCGCAATGCCAGAGAGCACGTTGGACTTGTCCGTGTTGCTAATGCCGCCGTGCTTCCCCTCCTTTCGCTGCTCCTGCGCGTGGACGTCGGTGGCACCGTAGCCTCTCTCCCTTCCCCTCTGTGCCTCCCCTCCCTCCCCTCCCTCCCCCTCCCGACCTGATCGACCCGAGAGAAGAGGGGCACTCTCCTCCCCATCCTCATCGTAGCTCGGGGGCAAAGCGGCCGCGGCAAACTCGAGTATCACCCCCTTCACGGCCGGAGACGTGCCGCTCGCAAAGGGGAGCACGACGGCCGCAGCATACATGTGCCACGCCCTGTTCGCCAACGAGACACACGACGTGAGCACGCCATCGAGCAGGATGCTGTACTTGAGGAAGAGCAGGTCGAACTTGGCCCCCGGGACGCGTGTCGGTTCCAGGACAAGCTCGAGCTCGCCGTCTGCGTCCCTCTCTTCTTCGACCAGGGTCGTTTCGCCCGACGTCGAGGAGTGCGCGCTGCTGGTACGGGCGGGCGAGACGCTGCGCGCGGCGCCGTTCTTGGTGGGGACGGCGAGGCCGTTCTCTGTCTCGCTTGGCGTTGTCTCGACGGGTTTCGTCGAGCGCGGCGTCGCGGGCGTCGACGGCGACGAGGGGAGTTGCTTCCCGCGCTGTGCTGGCGTAGATGGCGTCGTTGTCGGCGTGGCGGCCGGCGACGGATGATCAATGTACCACCTCCTCCCCCAGCTGATGATCTTGGGGAAACACACACTGAGGAAGAACGCACGCACGACCAGCGTCAGACTCAGCATATAGCCCGATGTGTCCGGCTTGAAGCCGAAGACATTCGTCGCGACGAGCTGCAGCGCCATGGCAATGTATCCTGTGGCCAGGACGGAGAGGAACGTGCCGAGGCCGAGGAAGAACATGGCCCAGTTGCGTCCTCCGCCCTCGGGCTTCCTCGTGGGGAGGAAAACAGCAAGCGGCGCAAGAATGCTCTGCCTCGGTTTCTTCTCCTGCTTATGCTCTGGGGCAATGTAGGGCAGGAACAAGGCGCCGAACAGGGTACAGAACACCAGAAAGCCAAAGGCGAGCACGAACGGCGCAAGCCGGCCGACATAGTTGAACAGCACGCCGCCGACTGAGAACCCGATCCCTGACCCGAGCATGAAGACGCCAGACAGGATGCCGAACTGGGCCGTGCGTTCTGATTCCTCGGCGAGAATGCTTATAAAGCTGTTCGCGCACAGCTGGAACCCGCCCCCACTCCCCAGGGCGTTGAACACCTGCGTCCCGATCGTGATGTCGATGCCGGCCCGCCCGCCAGTGACCTGGGCGTAGATCTGGCACAGGTTGCGCAGCGCCGCCCAGAACGTCTGCTGGAACATGGCGGCTTTCACGCCCCATCTACTAATCACCCAGGCGGACGTGAAGAGGTTGACAATAGTGCCCGCCACCGTCATACTGCTCATCATGGCTACGCTCTTCGCCGTGGACGCATCGATGGCGGGGACATTGCAGGCATCTCCGGTCGGTGGGGGAAGGTGCGTGGGGTCGAGGTAGTAGTCCTCGCACGTCATGAGTTTGAACGAGTACACGAGCGCCGTCTGCGTGAACCCAAACGTCATCGACATCAGGAGCGAGGTGAAGTGCACCCGCGCGATGGGGCCGAAGGTGCGCCGCCGTGGCGAGGGCGTCACGAGCGGGGCATGCTCGTCGCCCGCCGTCGAAGTCGAGGACATCTGCTATCAACAAAGGACTCGGAGTTGCGGCGAAGGCTTGTCGGGTGGTCGTTAGCAGGCGAAGGGTCTGGCCCCGGACTGAGCTTGTGGAGCAGCTCAGCACGGCCAGATCGCAGACCACCGTCGGAGACATGCTCGCCTCCCATGCAGTACGCCACGGCGCCAAGGCCGGCCGGATCAGGGTGACTCACCGCAGCGTGGCTTCGCGGCTGGAGTTTGTTTTCCGGACTCCTTTGGCTGGATTCTGGTCGTTTGTGCTGAACGCTATCTTGTTGTCGATCCTCGTAACGATCCTGATCAACGGTGGGAGGATCGTCGGTGCCGCGGCTGTCGATGTGGGGGACGTCGTCCGCCTCCTGTTTTTCGTAGATGAGGAGAGATGGAGAGGGGATGGTGGACAGTGGAGCGGTAAAAGCAGCGATGGATAAACGACAAGCAGCTGATGGAGCGTCCGTCGAGGACATGGAGAATCCGAACTCCACAGACTGCAAGCGGCCCTCTCCGCTCGGCACCCCCGGCACTTTGCGGCATGGATCCAGCGTGTACTCGGCGTTCTCACGTGTATCGTGTCCAGACCCTTGCGTATGGCGGATGTCGCCGCCGGACACTCTGCACCAGCGGGTCAGCGGTTGCTGGGCCCCACTTCTGCGTGTGCCCGCGTGACGGCTGATTGCATGATTGCCGCGATCTGCCAGATCCTCATTCGCTGCATCGATCCACACTCTCGCCTCATGCGAGCTTGTCTACAACGTGATTGCACAAGCAGTGAGGGTTCGAGGATATACGAAGTGGCGACTACGGCCACCGTTTCAACGCAAACCCGCATGCAGAAATCAGAAACTGTCACTGGCTGTAGTCCATGCGTGTTTTGCCGTGTATGCCGGAGATGCCCACTACCTCTCGCCTATTTCTGGTATCGGCGTCCCCGGGCCCGCTTCCCAGTTTCTATACGTGGACGGCAAATGGCGCGAACGGCGAGCATGACGTCGACCAAGAGTCTAGGATCTAGCCAAGAGCTAAAGCCGGTATTACTTGTGTCTGGATTCCGCTGATCGTGTATGGAGCCATGGTGCCCCAGACGTCGTCGGTCTCCGTCGCTCTAGCTCCAGGCTAGCTCAGCAGACCAACAAGTCGGCGACTTGCGCGACGGCCGGTCAGCAAGCGCGACCTCGTGACAACAACAAAGCGGGGAAGTGGAATCCAACCCCGAGCTCCGGCCCACTCCTTCATCGCTCCTCGCCGCCGTCGTTTATGGCCGTACTCTTGGCCGTGCTGATCAAGTGATAGAGCTAAGCGACGGATCAAGTGATCCGGAGATCTGGAATAGTGGAATGCGGGCAGCACACTCGAGTTCCGTCGGTACATACATGTATCACATGCGATGCGGAAACTGGAGTTTCCGCTGGATCCGCTGCAGAATCCGCGGTGAAGTTCGAGTGGGAGGCGCCGCTTCGGAATGTAGGCCGAGGAATGCAGCGATCATCTCCACCTGTCCAGGTCTGGACCGGACACTTGGCGGACATGGGCACTCCTTGCCGCGAAGTCTCCGTACAGACTCCGTGAAGTCTCCGTGATTCCGGGCTTGGAAGGGAGTACATAAGTCCAAATACATGATCATGTGAGGTAGAAGAGATCGCAGAAGGCCGAGAACTTGGGCAGCTGATGTAGAATCGGCGTTCAACTCACCGGCCATCGCTCTTCGCCGTTCAATGGTAGGCGCTTAAGGCTGACTGAGCGCTGCTTAATGCTGAGTCAATGGCGGCGGCTGAAACACAGCTCCTCACTAATCAACTGACTCAGCCGGCGCTTCAAGGCTTGTTTTCTTGGACATGCGCCGTCTTCACCGATTCGATAGGTGGTCAACTATCGAAATCTCGGGCCAAGATCGTCAGTAGGTATCCGGGGGATTTCTGGTTAGTCAGGTGAATCTCGGTCAGACTGAGAGCTCATGACACAGAGCAAAGGCTCAGACAGCAGTTTGAGAGTGTAGAGCAGGGGGGGAGAGCGGGGTGAGGCTGAGCAAGGGATGAGTGAGGCGCAAGGGGGAGGAATGCGACGTTCTGCAGGTGGCCCATGGCGCCTCGACTTGCAAACAACGGGCAACTGGGCCGCCATTAAGCTCGATACTTGTTGTCCTCACTCGTACGTTTGACACTCCTGCTCACACGCCTCATTGCAGTCTACGGTGGCAGCATACCTCCCCCACTCCCTCCCCACTCAATGACTACGACAGGCTGAGGTACGCGCACGAGCGGTGTCGTCGCCGTCGCTTGGGACTGCCTACCGGTCACATAGGAGGCAATGATGTGTGGCAGACAGGAACCCGCGCTCCGTCTCACTGGCGGCGTTGCGAGTGTGTACCGTACCTCTACAACAGTCCGTACCTCGAGTGTACCTCGCAATAAGAGGACCAGCGAGGTTGTCGTGCTTTCCGCTGATCTGACAGTGACAAAGAGAAGGATTGGTGGCGTAAGCGGTGCACGCCTACTTCCGGGAGAGCCGAAGCTCGGACCGCCTCTACCATTCTAGAGGGTGGAGACGAAGTGGTCCGTGGCGCCGTTCATTGTCCGTGGCGCTCTTCAGAATTTCGGAGTGCCCGCGAGCCTCGCCTCCGAACACGACAGAGTGACAGACGATAGGGACTCAAGCACAGATCGTTCGTTTCGGGACCTCCGATCCTCACGCCGGCGTTTCGCTGCACTCTAATCCCCATTCACGAGGTGCCACCCTTGTTTTAACGCGACTGCCCACACCGTGCTCGGAGCCAGCGCCCTTTCCCCCTCGGACCGGCGCTCGGACCGTTGTCCCACATGCTCGGAAGCGATGTCTACCTCGCCCGTTCATCGCATCAGTAACGCGCTAAGATGATACACAGAGACACCCGCCGGACCCGCCAGGTGCTCCAGGTGCGCCAGGCCCGTGGCCCACAGGTCTGAGGTCCAACAGTCCACAGGCACCGAGGTCCGATCTGGGCAGAGTGCGGAGCGACGCTCCTCCCGTTCTTGGCGTCCCCAGCGGATCGGTGCCAAGCACTGAGCATGTGGTGCGGGGTTCCAGCGGCTCCAGCGGATTCGGCGGCCCCCCAAGGTTCCACCAGTCACCGCTACGGTCCGCAGATACGAGATACCAGGCTCATCTACGAGCTCGCCGTCAGGGCCGCAGAGCCATGGAGCGTGGTCCGAGTAGGCTGGCAGCTGGTGGGTCGCCGTGGTCCTGGCGGACCAACAGGAGGGCGAGAACACGGTGCGGAGCATAGTTCGGCCCCCCCCTCTGTACCTCGGCCTCCAGCGATGGGACTGGTAGCAACCTGGGACCTCGCGGAACGTCACTGCTTCCAGCACCGAGAGCTAGACGCTGGTTCCTAGATCGGATAAACCGAACGATTCGCTGGGAGCGTGCACTGATATGGGCCGGCACGGCGATAGACACTCCGACTCTCGGCCCCTCTTGACCTTTCCGTGCAGGGGGCAATACGACGTCACTGTACCCTCAGCCTGAAGATGTGGCCCATCGCCGCGTGAGCTAGGCTGGGTTTAGCATCAACAATTCGTTCCGCTCTCGTCATCCGATCTACGTTCCCCGCTTCAACATAGATCGCGGCGAGACCCACCCCGCTCACCATGACCTTTGGAGAACGGAGTACAGACATAGGAGCGTGTAGGAGGAGTAGTTTGTCCTATTACTCCGCCAACAGGAAGACACAGGTATGAAAGAATAGGGCCACTGACGCACGGGCCACGCGCCACATTCCGCCCCCCCCCCCTGGTGCTCTCCTTGTGCACCCCTGGCACCCCCATCCTCACTTCTCCTCGGTGGATGCCCTGGACTCGCCTTAGGCTGCATGGGAAGGAGCCATGAGTGGATTAGTGTGTGGTGCACGAATGGGCCGAAATTGTGTGTTGTTTGACGGTCGTGAACCGGCGCAGTATACCAGGTTCAGATCTGGACGCGGTATGCACCTTTGCGGCAATGGAAGCGCGGGCGCAGCGGGGGCCGATTCCCACACTCTGTTACGGTTTCCCTCACTGTCTCGTCTTTTCATGCCATGCTGATCTCCCCGGGTTCGCTAGTTCGGGAAGGCGATAGACTTCTGTGCATGTGATGCACACTTATCGCACTCTGTGCCCTCCCAAGTGTTAAAATCAGAGACGCACACGGTCCGCTTCATGCACGCATGCAAGACACTCGTGTGCGCGTGTCCGCGTCGCAAGGGTCATGTATGACGAGAACGCTCACGAGATCTGTCGTCAGACTTTGTGGCACTCATATCAAGTTGATTTGGAACTGTCCGAAAAGCGGACATTGGTAAGTTGGGCTCGGCGAGACGAGTGCGGGGGCGCAGATCACCCCACTTCTCAGCCCAGCTCCAGCCTGCTCCAGCCAAAACTCCAGCCTCGACGCCAGACCCACTACACCGATACGAGCTTCCACATTCCGCATCTCTCGATGCGTCGAGCAACTAACGGGGGTTACGCTACGGTGACTGCGCGGCGTTGCCATTGCCCTCCTGGTACAGCTGTAGTGACAGGATGGCGGCCCGGTGTCAATGCTTCGCTTCGCCCGACGTCGGGCGTGCGGAGGAGGAGTGTGGCTGGGACTGGCGATCCTCGCTTGAAAGTGCTGAATTACGGGGCGTAAGCTTGGCCGTCAGGACAGCGTTCAGGGTGGGGCTGCGTTGCTTCCATTGCTCTGGAACCGCTGAGCTTCGGCATGTCAGCGTGCGCCGTGCGCTGAATGCTACCCCCCTGGCGCGCCTGGCGACGCTCTTCTTGCCTGGCATGGGAGCACTCGCACCCTTGGAGGTCACACTGGCGTTGTGACTGGCGTCTCGTTGACGCCGTGCCTGCGTCAGAGGCGTCGAACACTCGCAAGAGAGCCTGGCCAACCACGCTCAAGCAAATAGAACGATTCGACGTCTGCAGACGCTCTCACTGGTCAACAGGGGGCAGTGGCGCAGGGTACCGAGAGAGGGGCGGGCGCTCGGCGACCTGGCTCGCTGGCGCGCTGGCTTGCGGCGCACGGCGCACGGAGTCGTGGACATGCCGACCACGGACCTTCTCTCCTCCCTCCTGACCTTATGCACACAAGTGGACAGCGCTGTACCTCTTCGCTAGGCACAGAGGAGCCTGCGAGTACCTGTTTGCGTGGAATCCAAGCCATGGCATTGGAGCCGACCGACGCGAATGGTCCTGCGTCCAGCCTTGTGCTCGTCTCGTGCTCGCAACCTCGCATAAGGGGCTGTGGCTTTCCAGGTTTATCGGCTTGTCAGGTTGCACGCTTCGCGCTTCGGCGTACACTTGATGCAACGATGCAACGACTCAGCGATGCAGCCAAGGCCGACCGGGCTTGGGGCTGCCTGAGCCTCACACCTGGCACCTGATGGCTAACCTGGCTCACCTGGATACTCGCCGTGCGGCTCACCTGCGGTTTCGCAGGCACATCCTTGCCGCACGCACACCCACACTGGTCGAGCGGAGGAGCGGCCGCTGATTACGACGAAGCAAGACTGTTGGCCGCCGACGTCTTTCAGGCATATTATGCTGATTGCTCGCCGCTGATCGCGCCCTCTTCCCCTTCCCCACTTGCCACTGCACACATCGCACTAGACACTAGCACTCCTGGCGCCTTCATCGACATTTGCTGCCGACTGTGCGAACACCGCGAAAACAACGATAACAAGTCAGCCAACAACCCGCCGCGGCTCTCAGCCTTATATCGCACTCCGGCTTGTGAAATCGTGCGAGCAGGATTGGTTGCGACGTCTGCTAAGGTAGAGAGATTTGTGCGAGTTGGCCCGGTGGTTGTGCGCGATACGCGGGCAGGTGAGCCGAAATCGGGTTGAGGGCAGGGTGGATTAGGAAAAAATTGATTCCGTTGTGAGGTCGTAGCCGCAAAAGATCGCGGCTGATACCGGGGGATAGGGCCCCTCTAACGCCTGGAAGCGCTGTCAGCCATGAGCGTGTACGACGCCGCAGTGTCGAGTGTGACCACCGCGACCACCGCAGACTCGCTCAGCCTCACCACTCCCACCCCGACACCCTCCCCACCCCATCTCGTCTTCTACCAACATCCTCAACCACAACAACAACTCATCTACCACCAACCACAACAGGGCATCCCCTTCTTCGAGCCCCTGCCCCAGGCTCACACCCAACCACCCTTCGCCTGCTCCATGGCTCCAAGCCAGCAGCAGCACAACCCCTCCCCCTGGCCAAGAAATGCACGCGAGCCATCCGAACCGAGTGTCTCCGCGACCACCTCGTCAGGTTCCTCCCCCCGAACTGCTCCGCAACCACACACCATGACCCAGCAACTGCCCCCAAACTCCAACAAGCAGCCAGTCGCACCCGCTCCCCCGGCACCGGCACCCGCTTCAGCAAACCAGACCACCGCCCCGAGCTCGAGCAACTCGACCCCTCAACCAAAGAATACGAAACGCGGCCCGGACGGCAAGGTCACCCGCAAAAAAGTGGCAAAGGCCTGTCTCGCCTGCCAGAAGAGCCATCTGACATGCGACGAGTGTGAGTAACATGAAGCATGCGTGGGCCCGCAGTCGGCGCAGGGTCTGCATGGGCTTGCTCACTATGCATACACCCTTGCCCGACGCTCATGACTGCTTGCCCGCCACCAGAGCTAGAGCTGCCGCTGACAGACAGCCCGCCCATGTACTCGCTGCGTCAAGAAGGGCATCGGAGACCAGTGCGTCGAGGGTGTCCGCAAGAAGGCCAAGTACCTGATGGAAGGGGATGAGCGAGGTGAGTTACTTGCCCAATGACTTCGCTAACTCTCAGCACCGCCGCCACCACCGCAACCGCAGCCGCAGGCGTCGATCCCACCACCGCCAAGTGGCTTCTCGGGCTCGCCGAACAACCACCCCTTCGGCGGCGTCAACATCAACATGCTTCCGGGTGTCCTCCCGCTGCAACAAGTGCAGCCAGAACGCATTCCGGATAACATTTGGCTGACGACGCCAATGGTCGAAGCGCAGCCTCCGCCGCAGCCGCTACAGGACTGGAATTTGCAGCAGAACAATGAGCCGTTCAACTTTACGTCAACGGCCGCCGCCAACCTCGAGTATGAGATGTTCGACTCGATGTTTGCGTCCCTGTCTCCGAGCTTCCCGTTGGGCGACATCGCGGCGCCGCCCGGCAACACTGGTAGCACGACCGATGGCTCCACGCCGACGATATGGAGCAATCTCGGGTTCACGGATCCAAACGGCCCCGCCAGCGACGGAACGGTCATGCAGAACCAGGACTCGAACATGTCCATGCCCATGATGGGCCAGAACCAGAACCAGGGTCAGGGACAGAACCAGGGCCAACAGCAGCAGCAGCAGCCGATGGAGTACACGAACTCGAACGGGTGGCAGCCGGAGCCGCAACAGCAGCAGCAGCAGGAACAGCCGCAGCAACAGCCTCCGCAGCAGCAGCAGAACCACGACGGTGTCCCGAAGAAGATGACGCCGGAGGAGCTGTATTCGACTGTGGTCAAGCCGTACGACTACACTGAGGGCTACCACAACCTGATCAGCTACCTGGAGAGCAAGTGAGTGCCCGAGCTTTGTGCCTGGAAGCAGTGCTAACGCGTAGTTTCGAGAAGCCCGACTTTATCCGTGTCGTGAAGGCGTTAGCCGCGTTCCGGCCGTCCCTGATCGCGCTCCAAGTGGGCATGACGGAGGAGGACGACGTGTTCGTCGAGCGGTCGTTCCAGCGCACGCTGATCGAGCTCGACAAGCTGATCAGCTACTCGGCGACGCCGACAGCGGTGTGGCGGCGAACGGGCGAGATTGTGTGCGTCGCGCCGCAATTTTGCCAACTCGTCGGCCAGAGCGAGGAGCAGCTCGTCGGGCAGCGCACGCCTATCTGGCGCCTGCTCAGCAAGGCGAGCACGACGGCGTACTGGGAGAACTTTGCGGAGCACGCGTTCGAGAACTCGACGCAAAACTTCTTCCAGGCCACCACGCTCGAGACGCCAAAGGGCAGCATTCCTTGCGCCGCGTCGTTCACGATCAGGAGGGACACGTTTGACCTGCCCAGTGTCATCATTGGACAGTTCCTGCCAATCCCGCCAGAGGCCATGTAAGCGAGCAGCGAGCGGCGAGCGGCGAGCGAAGCGAGTCACGAGTCCGTGGCCGTGAGCTATGAGGCGCAGACTCGAGCTCTCTTCGAGGTAGCGAGGAGGGAGAGAGACCCAGCAGCAGCAAGACGCAGCGAGAGCCGGCCCCTCGCGCTCTACTTAATTTCCAGCATCCAGTTTCCATTTGGGCTTTTCACCAACTTTCATCCCGATTCTTATTCCACCGCACCCACCAGCGCTATCGCAGACAGACTTAGCATTCACTTGTACTTGTAGATAGAGCATGAGACGGACGTTGCACTGGTAACTAGCAGCGAGCGGAGCGAGCTGCGTGCAGGATGCGACAGTCGCAATGTGCGGATAGAGGTGTCGGAGGCCGTAGGTGGAACTCGGGAGGGTGTAGTCGAACTGTGCACTGTCGGGAACGGATTATCAGCGGCCCGATGTGTAAGAAACCAAAACTCTGTGGAGTTCGGAGTATGGACATGTGCAGCTCTCGGTCACCCTGTCGTGCGAGGCAATGACGAGAGGCAACTGCGGGGAGTGCGGGGAGTGCGGGGTTCAAGATGCCGATCGCGGGAGTAAATGTCTCCCATCTCCGGACCGATTGCTAGTCCGACAACCGGTCTTGTGCCGTTATCCGCCTCTCCTTCACCTATTCACCTGTCTCAGCACCATCGCACACGACGAGCGACGCCCGCAGCGCCCGCATCCGCTACGCATCAAGCTTCTCTGACCCCGCGGCGCCCCCTCCCCTCCACGCTCCACGTATACGTGAGCCTACCGCCAAGGACCGCAGATAGAGCGAGCGGCAACCCACGAACCCTACACTCGCCATCGATCGAGGGTACGCGAGTTACGACGCCAGTAACAACATTGCTCCGTCCGCCCGGTCTCTTCAACTTCCACCGACGCCTACCGCTGGGCACACTGGCACACCGGTACATCGGCACACCGGCACGCCACGGCACGGTACGGCGCATCGCACCACCTCCGGCCCGATCACGGGCTGATCGAGTGAGCGAGAGACGCGAGGATGCACCCCCCTCGCAACTCAATGTCATCGGGCCCATCGGGGACCCCGTTCCCCGGCCCTCCCCCGCTTGCCGCGGGCTCGGCCAGCTCGGCAGGCTCGATGGAACCGATATCTAGCTACTATCGACAGGCGAGCGAGGGTGCACCCTCCAAGCGGGCAAGGATGGACGTGGATGAGCGGTGAGCTACTAGTTCAAGGTTGAGCTGACATCAGACCGCTGGCTATTACCTGCACGCCGTGTCGGGCGAGGAAGATTAGTGAGTTCTTCCTCTAATCAGCTAGTGGGATGTCAGTGAGCTGATGACAGAATGCGATAGTACGAAGCCTGTGTGCCAGAATGTGAGTTTGCTGCTGGTTGCAAGCTACGATGAGAGGTTAGCGAGCTGACTGCAGTGCTCCAAGTACGTCTCCCCTCCTAAGCAGAGCAGCCGAGCGCGGGTCCCCCGAGATCTGCTGCTCTGCAGTGTCTTTTGCAGAGCACGATCGATCAAGCTGCCATGCTGTTGTGCTAAGCTGACCCCAGTCGGAATCCGCAAGACTGCGTGTACCCCGTCAAGATGAAGCCTGGACTGCGCCCTGGGACGGGGGTAGATATGGCGAAGCGGCTGGGTGAGTTGCTTCTTCTCCTCACGCTGCTTCAAATTTCCCCCTTCGTTTTCAAGCTGCTCTTCGCGTGCAAGTCTAGCTGACCCCCAGAACAGCTCGAGGATCGGGTGGCAGGATACGAGTCCCGACTCCGCGACCAGGAGGGCATGATTGCTTCGCTTACTCGCTGGCAACAGCAGCAGATGGCTGCGCCGCCTCCGCAAGGCGTCCCAACTCCAAGCGGGTCGAGGAGCGGCAGTGGCTCCGCCCCCGTCGGCTTCCCGTCAGAACTTGCGCCGCCGGCGATGCTGAGCCCGTCGCACGACCCAAGCCACGCCCATCCCTCCCCGGGAGGACTGTCGACCACGTCCTTCTCCGATCCGCGGATACTGCCCGCGGACGAGATCGTGACCTCCCTCATCAATCTCTATTACACGCACGTGTGGCCGTGGGCGCCGATCCTTCCCCGGCAAGCCTACAGCGCGCCATGGGGGATCGTACCGCATGCAATTGTCGTGCTCGCTCTGAGACTGAGCGACGATCCAAGGCTGGACCGCCTCCCGGGCGGGAAACAGGCGCTGAGGCAAGCGGCGAAAGCCCACGTGCTCAGTCACGCGGTGGAGAGCACGAGCATCGCAAGCATGCAGGCGCTCTCTCTCCTCGCGCTGGACCTCATAGGCAGCGAACAGGGACCAAGCTCGTGGGGCACGCTCGCGCTGTTGACTAGGAGTGCGGCGCATCTCGGCCTCATGACCGAGGACGACCCGGAGCCGCGGCGGCGTCTCTCTGGCCCGCAGGCTCCATCTTCTCTCGCCCCCTTCGACCCGCGCAGTTCATTGAGCAGCTCAATGAAGCGGCGCGGGGTACAGAAACGCACGGCCATCGTGCCCCCGCCCGCGACGTGGGAGGAGGACGAGGCGCGCCGCCGCCTGTTCTGGCTCGTCCTCGTGCTGGACCGCTATGCCTCGGCGAGTACTGGGTGGGACTTCGCATTAAGAGACAGCGACATCAAGCGCCGCCTGCCCTCGAGCGACACGCTGTGGTTCACCCCTCCTCCGCCAGGCTCGCCATGGCCGCGCGCGCCCCTGTTCGCGCCAGTCCTGCACCGCGATCCCTACCCGCCCTCCGTGCTCGCGAACCTCTCGCCAATGGTATTCCTCATCGAGGCAGTGGACCTCCTAGGCAGGAGCCACACGCTGCACTCGTCTGGCGGCTCGGCAGAGGAGGCGCGCGACGCAGCCCTGGCGCTCACAGCAGCCTGTCGGCGGTGGGCGGCAGAGCTGCCCCGGCTCGAGGGCTCGCTGGGCCTCACAGTGCTCGCGCTGCACCACGCAACCCTCCTGAAGGTCAACGCGTACCACGCCTTTCCGGCGAGTGGCGGCAGTGTCGCGCCGTTCCGTGACCGGTGTGCGGAGTCGACGTCTGCCGTGGCAGAACTGTGCAGACAGCAAGCCGGGCTGGGCTGGAGAGGAGCCTCGCCGCTGTTCATCTGGGGCGCGTGGGTCGCCGCGCGCGTCGTGTTCATCACCCGCTTCGTGGCGCACTCGGCGGACTCGGGCGGGGTGAGCGGGGTGAGCGGCAACCTCGCCTCGGACCCGGAATTCAGCATCCTGTTGGCAAGCCTGAGGGACGCGAGCCGGCACTGGTCCCTTGCGAGCCAGTATGTGCGACTCCTGGACGCAGCGGCGCGGAGGTGGTCCTCGGGCCAAGTGTCTACTCCGTCTACGAGGAGCCATCCCGCCCCCGGCACAGGAGCGGAGGAGAGCGACGACGAGGGCCTCCCCGATGCCATTAGAGTGCTGCTGGACCTGAGGCGGACGGCTTACAATGCCGTCGGGGCTGGGGAGGAGACGCCCCCGGAGGAAGAAGGGGTGCGGAGGCCGAGTATGGGCGAGGGCGAGCGGGAGGGGGGATTGGGAGCGCAGGGAGGAGCCGGGCAGGGCGTGGGAGTCGGAGTCGGGGCCGGGGTGGAGGGGATGGACACACAGGGCATGGATCTGAGGTGAGTCACTCCCACACCACACTATACAGTTCTGCTGGTCGATCGAGCGCGGGCCCGGGCTTTGAATTCTGGATGCTTTGGCTTGAATGCTGTCTTTGGATGCGGGGATCTGGACTCGGCAGCATTCGGCAGCGCAGCTCGGACCGTGTCTGCGAACGATCGACAGAATCGCCATTCTTACGGGCCCCTACGGGCTCGTACGGGCTCGTACGGGCTCGTACGGGCTCGGTCCGCGGTTCCGCCGGTCCGAACCACCGTCTTTGCCAGATCGAGCTTCCCAGCTTTGAAGATCGAGACCCATTCAGTCGCTACACAATTGCGTGCCGACAGCGTGCCGATCCAATTGCGCGACAGATCTCCCCTCCCCTCCCCTCTCCCCAATTGTGGAAACAGCTCCGCTGCTCTGAAGACCAAGCTGACATTCACAGCAACCTCCCTGCGTGGGCTGTGCAGCCCCTGCTCGGCGACTTGCACCACTGGTTCGACCTTCCGCCAAACCTCTTCTCGGAGCAGAACTGAGCGTTTCTCAACAGCATAGCCAACACATGTACAAATACATCAATTTCGTCATCACACGCGTCGTCACGCTTCGTTGTAGCGACTAGGTATTCAACTGATAGTTCTTTTACAATCTTCTTGAGGTCTTGAGGCGGGGGCGTTATACAAGAACGCTGGTGTACTCTCCAATGCTATATTTGATCCCTCCCCCTCGTCTTCACTGTCGTCCTCGTGTAGTGTCGTCATGTCGCCAAAGCACAGCCCGATCATCCTCACGCCCACCTAATGCCCCAGCGTCTCCTTCACCTTTGTCCAGAACTGGCCCATCTTGACTTCTCCCATCGCACTGACGGCTTGGCCGGCACTAGCGCCATGCGCGCCACAGGCGAGGTATCGCCTCACGTCTGCCGCGGTCACGCGCCCGCGCATGCGCGCCAGGAGACGCGCGACATCGGCGTCCTTGCCCGCCACGTGCTGAGCGTCCAGCAGTGCGAGGAGCGCCAGGCGCGCCACACCCTGCGTGCGCCAGTGCACTTTCTCGAGTCGGGCCGCGTCGAGGTCGAGCCACTCCGTCGCGGCGGGACTGGGGCTGATGCGGCCGCTGGAGGACGAGCCGCTCTCGCGGCGGCCGTCCGATTCGCGGCTCGCGCGCCGAGAGGGAGCAGAGAGACTGCTCGCCGCACTGCCCCGGCGTTCCCGCTGTTCCGGATCCGTCGGCGTCAAGGGCGCAAGGTGCGAGTTGGACGTGCGCTCCCTCACTTCCGCGAATTGCGGCTCACCGCTTAGGCGATCCCCGGGCCGTTGCTCGCGGGGCGTCACCGCCTCGAGCGCCTTGTTCGCGTACACCTCGGCCGAGATCAGGTAGCTGCCCCGACGCTCCGTGCCCAGCGCCTGGAGGAGGGAGCGGGGTACGGCCGCCTTGAACAGGTTCACGGCTGCCAGCTGCAGCAGCACCTCGGCCCTCTCCCGTGCATGGCCGTCGGGAAGACAAGCGAGAGATTGCTGGTATCGCGCCTCAGCTGACTCGAGGTGCTCGATCGCGCGGCGGGCGAGCTCGAGCGTGCGCGCGGGAGGAATTGGCGTGCGCTCCAGGCCACTGCTCGCACGACGCGGCACAGAGCCCGCTGGTAGCGTTCCACTGAACTGGCGCACGACGCGGGGGCGCGTCTCGCTCGCGCGGCGGGGATGGGCGGGGTTGAGCGGCGAGAGAGGCGATGGGACGGGCGGCAGGGGACAGACGGGCGGCGGGAGGGAAAGCTGGAGAGGCGGCGGGCGGCGGGCGCGAGTCGGAGAGTGCTTGGGAGCGAGCGTCGGGAAGGCCGATGGGCTGGTCGGCTTGGTGCCCCCTCCCGCGGCCCAGGACGGCGATACGACATCATCCTCCTCGATGATGACCTCCTCGGCGATCGGCGGCGATTCGAGCGAGCCGATGCTAGTGGTAGACGACTGACGGCTGCGGTCGAGCACGGGCAGCGAGCCGTCCGATCCACGACCCGGAGGTCCGACGCTCCCAGCTCGGCTGCGGGAGTAGACATATCCCTCCGGTGTGGGCTGCGCCTGCGCCGAGCATGGCGCAGATGTCGTCGTGGCGACTGACGGAAGGGGGTCGCCCCAATGCCCACGCATGAGGCACGCGACAAGCCAGAGCGTGTCGCCAAGCAGCCTGGCGCACTCGTACGCCTGCATCGCGGCCACCTGGCTCGAGGTCGCGCGCTCCTTCGTCTCGTCCGCGAGTAGCGTCAAATCCCTAAGTGCACCGGCAAAGTCCGACTCATGGAACGGTACTCCGAGCACTGCGAGGTGTCGCAGCCTGTCGACCGTCAGGCGCCCAGACGCAAGCTGCACTCGCGTTATGAGTGCAGTCGTGTCCGGGCTCGGCGGCAGCATCGTCGTCGCCAGCCCGACCATGTTTGTCGCCTGGTCCAACGCCTTCTCGGCTAACTCGGCGAGATCCTCGACGCCACCACTGTCGGGCGAGAGCACCGCGGCGGCGCCAGCTGTCTCGGCCAGGTGCAGGAACATCGCCGCCAGGGCTGGCGTCTGCGGACCAAACTCCGCCCTCGCTAGTTGGGCGGCGCGATCCATCCTCTCGGCGGCTACCTCCTCCATGCACTCGAGCGCCTCGAGCGCCAGCCGGCTCGCGGGTCCGTCGCTGTCGCTGCCGTCGGATAGATGCAGTCGAGACAGTTCGCCCGACACCGTCGCCAATGTCTCGCGAACCGTCATGCTGCCCGGGGCGCAGCGGGAGAGGTGTAACAGATCCGCACGAGACTCCTGAAGCTGGGCCGTAGTCAAATTGTGCGCCGTTGGTGGGTCCTCTAGCCGCGCCAGGAGTAGCAGCATCGTCGCACGTCGTAGCCTCGCCCAAGCCGAATGCGGGCGCATCGCTAGCGCCTGGCCAAACAAATTAGAGGCAATGCGCAAGTGTCGCGCGGCGAGTACTCCCTGGTTCCCAGCTTCGTGCGCCTGGGCTTCATAGGCCGTCCCACCTGATTAGGTCAGCCACAGTTACGCCTCAGAATTAAAACTTACTCTCCATGCAAGAATCAAACGTGACAGTGTCGCTGCGGTCTCTCGTCGGGGTCGATGGGCGTGAACTGCGAGTGCGCTGCCGCGGTGTGAGACTGGCTGTGCGCTGCGCCGACGCCCGACTGCGAAGATCGGATCCGCTGCGTGCCTTGGAGAGCGCTCGGGGTGGAGTTGGAAGATGCGTCTGCTGCTCAGCCGCTGATGGTCGCTTGTATCCGCCGGACGACGATGCACGAGTGTTGAGCTGGAGCGACGGGGCCGACTTCATCGCGGCCGAGTTCTCGAACATGGCGGACGTCGGGGAGGCTGCATTGCTGTTGGGTAAGGACGGGGGAAGGGGGAGCGCCAGGACGAGGTCGGTGAACGAAGGCTCGGGGTCCTCTATCCGCTTCTGCAGGGGGTGCAGGTCCGGCCGCCGTTGGCGCGGCGGCTGTTGCGGCCTCGAACTCGACACCTTTAACGAGTAATTGTGCGGGAACAGCGACGACATGAAGGGCACCGACGGCATGGTGGGGATCGGCGAAGAAAGTTAGACGGTGTGACCGTCCGCGCGATCGTTTGTGTCGTCGCAAGAGTTTGTCGAGTTGGAAGAGTTTGTCGAGTTGGAAGAAAGTCGTAGGTGGGGGTAAGGGCAAGAACAACGAGGACTTGACCGATCGAGCGAGGACACAAAAGGCCTCGCGAGTTCCAGTCGCCGACTGTCGAAGGTATCACAACAATGGGCCGAATACGCTAATCGGTGCGGCGTGTGCAGCGGGCGATCTGGACGACGTTGATACGTTGTGAAGGACAAGGTTCCACGGCCATGCAGCCGGTGATGGTTAGACCAGGACGTCTGCAGGAATTGTCCCTGCGAATGCCGAGATCAAGGTCGGAAGGTCCGAGAGGAGAGAAGTGTGGTAGGACAGACAGCCGATAGCGCTGTGAGCCGCCGGCGTCTGGCTGACTGAGGACAAGGGAGGAGGCGCAGGGCTGAGGCTTTGTGAGGACGATACGGCTGCGTTAGGATCGATTAGAATGTTTGTCGCACTCGAGTGGACAGCATGGAGCATGCGGCCTTGTTGGCGGTAGCCCGTCGCCTGGTGTTGTGTGGGCGGGCGGAATGAGATTGCATCCCAAGAAAATTCAAGGACGTTATCCAGGCCGGCCTGTAGAGGCTATGAAGGCTGTATAGGCTGTTAGCGCCACCAGTTGAAGGGTGACTTGCACAGTCGTCATCGAAGGGTCTGTAGGCAACATCCGAGCAGGCGCACGCGATTGCTGCGGGCACGAGAGCAGCGAGTCGAGAGCACGGTCGAGAATAAGTGGCTTTTGGTGTGGCGTCAATGGCGTGGAAGCATGAGGTGAGCAGTGAGTGCCAGAGCAGCGAGAGCGCGAGAGACGCCATGGAGAGAGCGGCGATGGAACGCAGCGAGTGATCCTGAGTGAGTAAACCCTGACCTTGGACTTTTGGTGCCATTCAGTCCCAATTAGAGCAATTACGCTTTGGCACTAATCGCACCCCTCGTACCTGTATATCCCTATCTCAATCATCCATTAGCAATTCGCTCAACGCACCCAAGATCAACACAACTGCCCTCGGAACCAAACACTCACCGTACACAACACCCTCGAACTGATAGCAGATAGGCACGGGCCGTCCGATAACCCCAGGCGGGCAACGTGTCAGCTCGCCTTTCATCCGCTGCCCCGCACGCCTGTCCACGCGATCAGTTGCCACCGCGCCGTCCATGTCGCGTTGCGTTGAGGTCATAGCCCATCCATTCCTCGTTCGTCGTCACCCGATCGCGCCGTTCCCTCGACGTCAAGCACTTCCTTCCCGCGGCCCACCACCATCCACGACGATGGCAACAGCGACAGTCCAGTCTTCGACTAACCTCTTCCGCCAGCTCGCATGGAATGCTAGCGTCCCGATAGAGGTCCGGCTTGCGGATGGTGAAGCTCCCGGGGCCGCAGTCGACAAGTACTACGTGAGTTGACGTCGATATGTTAGGCCAGAACCATGGCATCCGGTTCATGCAAGTCACACCACCTCTTCACAACAAAGCTAAAGCGCCCCTCGGAGTGAGCTAACGACAGGTCCAAGCTCCGCGATACACGTACCTCCCCCTGCTGCTGCCTCAAATCAAGGAGAATCTCGTTTCGCTCGCTCTCGACGATGAGCAGCTCGCCAAGACGAACGAGGCGCAGTGGTGGTTTGAGGAAGACGCGGAGGAGCCGGGGCTCGGTGGTCTTGGCGCATGCCGATGGTGAGTAGTGAAGGAGCAGCGGCACTGCAAGAACCAGGCTTGATCTCGATCTTGGAGCCGCTCTCCTCACAGCGACGGAGTAAGCATGCTGCAACGCACCCCGACCAAATCACAGCTGCTCCCTCTGCCAGGCTTCTAGCTGACCGCAGGCACTGGCCAGTTGACTTGCTCGACTTGAACGCGACGATATCGCGGCCCGTGCGCCGAGACGCGACGGATCCGGATGCGCGCCCACTCAAGCTGATCCTGCACCTCTCCTCCCCGCCAACGGACAAGCTCACGCTGCCGGCGGGAGTCGAGTCATGCAAGGCAGCTTTCACGAGTCAGGTCAAGGAGGCCGACTTTGTGCGATGGGGCAACACGAAGCGCGTAACGGGTATGCGGCGGCAAGATCTGGAGGCAGGATGGGACGGAGTGATGGGCGGCGACTACGACCTGCACTCACGCATGGGCTCGCGACTGGTGCCGATGCCGATTCCACTGGGAAGCTCCTCGACGCCGTCAAACGTCCCCTCCCGCCCGCCATCGACGGAGCCGGGTCAGACGAGCTCAGTGCCGAAGCTGGAATCGGCGTACGCGGCCCGCTCGCTTCCCATCAAGATCTACCTGCCCGACGCTCCAGCGATGCAGCACGTCGTTCCCCCGCTCACGGACGGACGGCCAACGACGCTCCTGTCCTTCCTGAGGCAGCACTACCCGCTCCTCTTCCCGACAAACGGTGAGCCCTATGCCCTCGCGGTCCCATACGTGCTCGGCATCGTCGTCCCGCCCGACGCCGAGGTCGCCTGGCTCGCGAGCTGCATGTGCGGCGCGGACGGCTGGGTGCGGATCGGTCTGGGGCTTGTCGGTGAGTAAGCGGCGAGCGCAGCGAGCAGCCTACTGTGGAGCCCCGAGCACAACAGGCGTGATCAGGTCGCAATCCGCAAGAGCGCTAGCTGCAAACGGTACTGCGTTCTTCTGAACTGCGATTCACGCCACGCGGGCCTTACCAGTCCGGGCACGAGGACCACACGTGCGACCGCCAGCGACCGAGACACCAGCACAAGTGGGGTAGAGCAGGGGTGAGGTAGAGATATAATTAGACCACCGAGGGCCGGCCAGGCCGGACAGGGCAGCGTCGTTGCGGTCGCGGCGTCGCGGCCGTTCTTGTAAGGATCATACATTGTAAGCATAGCATAAGTGTCTGGAATGTCGCGGGCAACGCGAGCGAAGCGAGCAGCGACCGAGCGAGTGAGGCGTTGGGCCGTTGGGCCATGCTGGACCAGCTGGACCACCTGGTGCTCGTAAATTTTGGTCCTGGTCCGAGGACCCGAGAAAGCGAGGGTGGGGAGGACACGAAGGCTGGCACAATGAACGTCAGTTGGTCAAAAGGTACAGCAGGCACTCTGGATTTCTATGCCTGGACTCAGCGACCTGATCTCCGGCGACCTCGCTCGCATCAGTTTTTCGAAATGAGGGTCAAGTCGTCAAACAGAGTTTGGGCAGCGCGGTAGCGTTGGGCGAGACGGAAGTTGGTTACTGTGGTGAATGGGACCTTGCTGCGCGCCGAGAGCCGAGAATGCCTCGCAGACGTCCCTCCGCGCCGTCCAACTGATCAGCGAGAAGAACACGAGAGCGCACGAGCGTATGAGCGCATGAGCGTGAAGGCCATGCAGGGAGCAGAGCTCGCAGAGGGGGAGCAGAGGAGGAGCTGGAGGAGACGAGACGAGAGGCGATCGCAATTGAGTTTTGTCAGACAGAGGTCCCTATTTCGTGGATGATACGCGAGGGGGATGGGCCCTGAGCATTCATCCCCCCTTCCTCTGGCCTCTGTCCCTCTTGGCCCGCCCTCTTCTCGCTCTTCTGCAGTAGTCGGAGCCCCCGTCGTCACGGACATCAGCAAACAACGGCCATGCCGGCCATAACGGACTGGAGTGCAGTTCAAGCTTCAGCAATCGGTGACACGCTGCCGGCATTATCAGGAGTCCTCCCCTCGCGAGACGGTGTACCGTCCAACCGGTGCGCATGCTCGTGCACCAGAAAGAGAGACTAGCACCCTGCTCGGCCCTGCTTTACGTCCTCGTCTCCACTCTCTCTCCACTCGTCTTCACCTCTCGCCTCCCCTGGCAACGAGTACTAAGAGCAGTAGTGGACCTAGTGGACCTGTGGACCTGGGATGATCATGTATTGGGCCAGGTTACGGGACATGATTCAATTCACGTAGATGTTCTGGCTCGTCGCCCAGTACGCAGCGTGCTTAGCATGCATATCAGACATGTCAAACATGTCACCTCTGCAACGTCACATATCGGCTCTACCCACAGACGATGGGTCTCGCGGAGCAGGTTAGCGCGTGTCTGTGACCATTTGCTCATCACACAGCACTCTGGTACTCTGGCCCTCGAGTCAGACGTCAGAGGCCTCAGAGGCACAGCGCGTCTGCACGTCTGCACTTTTGCACAGGTTGCGAGGAGCTCGGCTGTGTCACTGTTAAGCTCGTGTATAAGCTTTGCAGCACGGCGGCCTGGCTAATAAGGTGCAGACAAGGTGCAGGAATGCAGGTAGGCTGTGCTCGCCCGACGCGTACGACATACACGGCGCTGCAGCGCTGCAGCGCGTGCAGCGGTGCGAGTGGAACAACGGTCGCGGGGTCGACACGGACCCACTCTTCGCGCGCTTCACGGCTCACGGCTGGGTGGGTGCCTGGATGCCGTGTTCCCGGATCCACCCCGAAAGTGCCCTCCGTGCCGGACGCGTAGTGCTGCTGCTCTTGGCATCTTCTCCTCTCCTGCCTCCATGCACGCTTGATCGTCGGGGGGCGTCAGATCGCTTCTTGGGTTGAGAACAGCTAGAGCAGCTGACGGTACGTCTGTCCCACCCGATGGACAGTGCGGATCCGGATCTCTGTCCGAAGACGATGTCTACGGTGTGTGTCGCGGCCAGCGTGCCCAGCGTGCCCAGGGGAAGGAGGGGACTGTTCCTGCTTGCCGGGGCACAGGGATGACAGGGGCGGTTGTGTCGTAACCTTGTCCATCAACTGGGTGTTGTGTCCCCTCATCCTGTCTTCCTTCCCGGTCACACTCCCCGACCGCCGCCGTACAGGCCATGCATATGTATTCCTGCATCAACCTTTGTCGTACTCTCTCTCTTCTTTCTTCCTTCTCCTCGTCTCTCTTTCTCTTTGTTCATCCCTTCTCCGACATCCAAGGCTTCGCTCCAGCTAGCGGACGCCGCTTGACGCTCCTTTCCCTCGACGACATCGAAATCGACAACCCGCAGGCTCGGGCTCACCTTCCTTATCTTCCCTTCCCCGTATCAAGATAACAGCTAGTGTGAAAGACTAGCCACGAAAAACACCAAGAACATCCCACTTCACTCACTTGCAGCTCACCATGGTTAGCTTCAAGACCATTGTGGCGGCTGCCGCTGCGCTGCTCCCTGCCGCGCTCGCGGATGCCGACCACTTCATCCTGACCGAGGTCAACTCGCTCGTCCAGGCGCGCATCGACCCGACCATCAACGGGGGCAAGGTCGGCTCTCACGTGCACAACATCATGGGCGCGTCCAACTTTGGCACGAACCTGAAGCACCCTGACAATCTCATCGGCGGCGCCGAGTGCACGACCGTCATGGTCAACGACGACAAGTCCAACTACTGGACGCCGACGCTGTACTACATCCACGACAACGGGACATACGAGGCCATGTTGGCCGGTGCGCGCATCTACTACTTCCTGAAGAGCGAGAAGGTCCAGCCATGGCCCAAGGGCATGCGCATTGTGTCCGGAACGGCCATGAGCCGTGATGAGAACGCGATCCAGTCCCTCGGCGTTGACCTCACCTGCGGCGAGACGTACGGTACCCGCCACCTGCCCAACGGCACGAGCCACGACTACTGCGACTCGATCCACGCGGGCATCTACTTCCCCTCGTGCGGATGGGCGAACCAGTCGCTCGACTCGTGGGACCACTTCTCGCACCTGACGTGGCCGATCCAGCGCGGCGGCGGGCGAGAGTGGATGGACATCAATGGCAAGACGTGCCCCGAAAGCCACCCGATCAAGTACCCGACCATGTTTATCCAGCACTTTTACCGCTTTGACGAGTTCCGCCCCTGGCGCAAGGGACGCAACAATGTCGTCTTCTCCAACGGCGACCTGCTCGGCACCTCGTTCCACGGCGACTTTGTCAATGGCTGGAAGGACGGCGTGCTCGAGGACGTCGTGTCCCAGTGCAAGGTGCCCCACGGCGTCGGCGACCAGACCGACCAGTGCGCCCCGCTCAAGAAGAGCCACAACGTCGAGTCGGCACGCACCTGCGCGTACCAGGGCATGATCCCCGCCGAGGACGTCGGCGTGTACCGCGCCATCGACAAGCTTCCCGGCTGCAACCCGCTCTGGCCCGTCGAGGCCGGCGACGAGAAGCCCAAGTGTGACAACGCCGCTACGCCGGGCTGGGTCAAGCCGAACATTGCCTTCAAGCAGGGCTTCCTGAACCGCCTCCCGCTCTACCTTCCCAACATGGTCCCGGAGAGCATGAGCTTCAACTGGCGCAACTGGGAGGCAGGCTCCTGGGGCTCCCTCTTCGGCAACGCGGACAGTATCCAGAAGCCTGACTCTCAGGCTGCGCAGACGGAGGCGCCCAACGACTCGGTGGCCGGAAGCCAGCTGAACACCGGCCCCGTCTTCGACCAGGACCAGCCCCTCGACGCCCCCGTCATCATGGACCAGGACTACGCCACCTTCCCCGCCGATATCACCGGCACCCCCATCGTGACCTACAAGGGCATGCCCGGCAATGTAGACATCTTAGGCAACCCCATCGACCCGAAGGAGACTGGCGCCGCTGGGCCCCAGCTCGACGCGGGAGACAAGCAGAAGGCCAACGCGCAGCCGACCGCCGCCCCCGGCGTCCAGTTCACGGAGCAGGACAACGAGGCCGCTCAGAACGCCTCGGCCTCGGGATCCGCTGCCTCGTCGCTCACGGCTTCCGCCGCCTCTTCTACGTCGGCCGCCGCATCCAAGCCTACGCAGGACGAGAATGCCTCCTGGCTCGACGTCCCCGAGGGCGACGAGGAGGATGATGAGCCCGCCTCCTCCGCCGCTTCGTCCGCCACCTCGGGCTCCGTTGCTTCCTCCGCCTCCTCGGCTGCCACGTCCGCCTCGTCCGGCTCCGTCGCCTCCTCCGCATCCGCCGCCCCGACCTCGACCTCCGGTCCCAAGTTCGGCAAGCACGGCAAGAAGTGCCGTCCGAAGGGCCACAAGGGCCAGGGCCACAGGGGGAACAAGCGCCGGCTCCATTAATGATCTTATCTTACAGGCATGAACCAAGGCTGCGCCTTGGCTTCGGTCCATCTAGTCTTTCTCGTCTAGTTCATGCAAGCCATGTTGTGACATGTATCGGTACACCCCTATTCATGGTCGGTGGCTGGAGCTTATCGGCGCCGCCTGAGAGGTGGTTCGTGGAGACAAGCAGGGATGAATGCGCAATCTATGTGGTACAGATTAGACTCCTCGGCGTCAGTAGAGTTAATGGGCGAGGCGCCGGGACCGAGCTGGGGCCGAGGGACCGAGATCTGGGTCTGCCTGTTCGTGAACTCGTCCGGACCCGCAAGGCCGGGCGACGTCGTGTGCTCCGACATGATCGGGCGCCACCGCTCGATCACCCAGCACCATCTAGCCAAACGCACCTCAACGGTCACACCCACTGTTGCCCTGCTCCTTGGCTCCACTCTGCTCTGCTTGTGTACCCATCGTGCACTGACCTGCAACACGTTCCGGCTGCATACAACAGTCGACGAGAATCACGAAATCGTCCCGCGCAGACGGGACCTATCCAATTCAAAAGCCCTTGAACAACAACTGGGCGTTGTGGCGGAGTGGTTAACGCGGTTGACTCGAATGGTCTGCCATTGGCAGGGGTTCTGAAATCAACTTCCTTCGGGAGCGCATGTTCGAATCATGTCAACGTCGTATATCTTTTGCACCCCTCCCCCTCCTTCTTTTGCACAGTGCTTTTGATGGACGAACCCTTGGGCGAAACCCGTGGGAAGGATACAGCCGGGGAGAGGGCTGCGGGAAGAGGTTGGGGCGGGTTTGTAGTGCTGGGGATGGGGTGGAGATGTGGAGGGCACAGTGGAGAGGGAAGGGAAGACGGCAGCAGGGCGCGTAAAGCATGTTCGAACTCTGTCAACATCGGGGCCGTCCACTCAACACCTTGTAGACTTCCCCAACCTCATCAAATAAAGGGTGATGCATGGAGGAATCAAGTATCAGTATGGGCACGGGGTGAGGGAGCTGCATGCACAGGAGAGGGATGATCCGTCTGTAAAGCATGTTCGAACTGTGTCAACGTCGCAGTGCCGGCGGAGGGAAGGGCGCAGTCGCTGCCGTAAAGCATGTTCGAATCATGTCAACGTCGCCTTGCCGGTGGAGGGAAGGGCGCAGTGCGCTGCGTGGAGCATGTTCGAAACCCTGTCAACGTCGTCCATGTGGATTGCTCCTCAGTGCTTTGTCCAAGCGACGGCGCCGAAAGCATCTGCAGAGCCGCAGCGGTCGGGGATGGATCAAAGTCCGAATAGGCAGGCTGGGGCGGGAAGAGTGCCGAGCTCGTAAAGCATGTTCGAAACGTGTCGCTGTCGTGTTGTCAGTGGAGGGACACTGAGCTCAGCGTACAGCATGTTCGGATCGTGGCAATGTCGCAAAGGACTGGCGGCAGTTTGCTCGCCCTCGCCGGCGAGCGTTGAGCATGTTCAAATCTTGTCAACGTCGTCTTAACACGTTACCTTCCAGGCTGCATTACTGTACCGAGAAGTGGAAATGGGGCGAGAGACTCGGATGCACGAGGACGAGACCTACGCAGACAAGTGGATGCATCAACTGAAGGAGGTGGCAAAAGGGGCTAGCAGCTCGTAAAGCATGTTCGAAACATGTCATTGTCGTCGCGGAGCTGATGCCGGGGTACTCACAGCGAGCCTGGCAGAGCATGTTCGAATCCTATCAACGTCGAGTTGCATTGCCGGTGGGAAATGTACGCGGCGCGTCGTAAAGCATGTTCGAATCGCGTCAAAGTCGCGGTGGTGGCAGTTTGAAGCGGCTCGGCTGCGCAAAGCATGTTCAAATTCCGTCAACGTCGCTCCCCAGCCCGGTCGGCAAAGCATGTTCTAATCATCTCCTCGCTGCCCGCCTGCAGTAGCCTTGCCTGTGTTCTTAAGAAAAAGAAGGAGATACGCGCCAAGATTGGGATGTGTAGTCCGTTCAGTACCGAGATGAGATCGCAGGCACTGGCGGTGAAGAGCCGGGTCAAGCTTTGTGGAGCATGTTCGACTCAGGTCCATGTCGCTCCCGTACCCCCGGTGGAAGACTGTGCGCGGCGTACACGTTCGAATCGTGTCAACGTCGCACGGTGGTTGCAGTTTGAGCCGCAGGCAAAGCATGTTCGAATCCTGGAAACATCGTCCCGAGCCGACTCTACATGGCATGTTCGAAACATGGCAGCGTCGCATTCTGACAGCTGGGGCAAAGCATGTTCGAATCGCGTCAGAGTCGCGGCGCTGGTGGCAACATGGTCGCGCGAGCCGTAAAGCATGTTCGAATCTTGCCAACGTCGCCTCGGAGTCGGAGGTTCCACACAGCATGTTCGAATCTTGTCAACATCGTAACCATGCTGCTTCACACAGAAAGCATGTTCAGATCATGCCAGTGTGGCAGCAGACTATGCATAAAAGCTCGATACCCCGCTCGGACATTCAACGGATGCATTGCAGTGTATGGAGGAGGCGCTCGGAGCTTACGTCCTGATCGGTGAGACACGCCAGATTCTCGAAAGGTTGGACGATTCAATGTGTGAAAGTGGTGGGGGCATCTAGAGAAAGATGCAGCTGCTCATGAAGGGCGGAGGCGGGCCATTCATCTGGGGTAGGTTGGAGATCTTGGCGGGAGAGTCCATGGTTGGCAGGAGTGAGTCAGTTGCGACGTATAAGACGTGCAGAGATGGGGAGAGGTTGGTGGCTGTAGGGTTTGAAGCGAAGATGCTGGTGGCTTATGTACTCGACGGGACTCGACGGCACTACCAGATGGGGTCATACATCGCAAGAAAGCGAACCGTAGCCTCAGCGATGTTGCTTGCCACCGCCATCGACCATAGTGCCCGGGACTAGGGGTACTTCGGAGTGGCACAAAATGGCATTGTGCTCACATTTCGGGCGGAGCGCTACATTGTTCGCTGTTTTGTCACTCGGAATACCGGATGTCGAATGAAACCCGATCTCTCCGTGAGCCACTCTGAAACGCCAACACAACCCGAGAAACGAAGTGACAGCTGCATAACAATCAGAGACATGTCCGACCCCACCGCCCTCTGACGCACCTTACTGCTCTACCCTCTCCGGTTTCCTCCTTTCATCCCCCCCCCCCAGGCTCTCGTCGCTTTTGGATTGCATCAATGCACACAATGCGATGCGATTCGGGCTCCGCGGCGCTCAGTCCCGCTGCCAGAGTGGCGGTCAGCGAATCATCTCAGGTGTTGTGGCGGAGTGGTTAACGCGATTGACTAGAACCAGAAGCCTTCGGAAGGAGGCGGTTCAATCAATTTCCTTCGGGAGCACATGTTCGAATCATGTCAACATCGGTTTTTGGCCTCTTGCTGCTCCCCTGGGAGTACTGCAGACTTGGGACGGAGATAAGGGGTGATTCTACAGATGATTCTGAAGACGGGGGTTGTCTAAGGACGTTGAAGGCGAAACGGACGTGTTCACACGAATTAGTTGTGTCCACACGCGGCTAGTACCTGCCATTGGATGTCGCGACAGGATGTTGGCTTGCTCACAGTCTGCGTAAACCTCCAGAAGACGACAACGGAGGTGCTCGACTATCTGATGTAGTTTGACGCGTGCGGCAGACAGAGAGACACTAGGGAGAAAACCCCACCGGTCGATCTCCATTCAGCGACTCCAATTGCACTCATTCGTCCGCTAGCTGCCCCCCGTTGTCGGCGCCCACTGCTCACTTCCCCCCGAAGTCGATTGCCTTCGTGATTGGCGTTGTGGCGGAGTGGTTAACGCGGTTGACTCGAATGGTCTCGATCTCTCAAGAGCTCGAGGGATTCTGATATCAACTTCCTTCGGGAGCGCATGTTCGAATCATGTCAACGTCGTTTTTGCCAATCTACGAGCATCGTGACACTCCAGGGAGGTGTGGTTGAGTCACAATAAGCTTCGCGGTTGTCGGAAGTCGAACAGGTTGAGTGTGGCAAGCGTTCGAGAAATGAAAAGGTCCGAGTGATCTGGCACCTCGTCAACGGATGTATTGGGAGACCCAGGGTTAGCAGAGCAGTCAAGAGCATGCGTGAACAGCGTCATGAGCTCTTCAATTGCCTGGGTTACTCATTTGAGATGGCCTAAGATGGTCGATGGAAAAGACCAATATTGACGATGACCGCCACAGAGATCATCGATCACATCAGCACTCCCCTACATTAACAACACCCACACCTACTGCAAGCTCTTCCCATTCTCCTGCTGCCGCAGGCGGTCACTCTGGGGATCTGTTCACCGCAGAGACGCCGAACAGGATTGGCGTTGTGGCGGAGTGGTTAACGCGGTTGACTAGAATGGTCTCTCTGGCAACGGAGAGGGATTCAGGAATCAACTTCCTTCGGGAGCGCATGTTCGAATCATGTCAACGTCGGTTTTTGGCTCCCTGGAGTGCCTCTACGCTCTCAGATTGCACGAGAGAGTGGCTGGGGAGATGCCGCATTGGCTGAGGGCCGCTGAACGGGTAGAAGCGGGTTCTGATTGAATTAAGCGTCTCACGGTTGATGGTGAGCATTGGCACGCCGCCTAGCATTAATATCAAGCTTAACAACCTCGAGTTTCGCGTACGCACTGCTTGGAGGCGGTGTGGAGTCTTTGACGCAATGCCATCACATGAATCGCGGACTTGCTGCGCCCGCCACAAACTTGATCACATCATCCTTGCTGAAGTTTTCCACCCACAGTCCCCCAGTTCTACCTCTCCATCCTCACCTGCATCACCCTCCAGTGGCTATCGAGCCTTCTGCACGGTCCATCGCCACGGCGGAAGCCCTGCTGCTCGCTTGCGACGACATTGGGCAGCTGACGTGATCGGCGTTGTGGCGGAGTGGTTAACGCGGTTGACTCGAACGGTTTCTCTTCACGAGAAAGGTTCTGGAAATCAACTTCCTTCGGGAGCGCATGTTCGAATCATGTCAACGTCGTCTTTTTGGCCTTCCAAGGTCCCAGGAGGGTCTGAGACGTGATCACAGACAGCGTAAGAGGGATCTCAGTAGAGATGACTTGACTAGGGGTCCTTCGACGACAGTTTGCCCTATTTCATTGTTTTCAACTCCATTTTTGGTTCCCTTGGCCGCAGTACGGCTGTCCATGACTCGTACCACGACTTCTGGACCGCCGACGCTGCCGCGCCGCCACCAACGCGGCTCGGAGGTGCTCCCATGTCCGGTGTTGTGGCGGAGTGGTTAACGCGATTGACTAGAACTTGAACAGTTCGATCAATTTCCTTCGGGAGCACATGTTCGAATCATGTCAACATCGTTTTTGCTGCTGTTCTGAGCTTCTGGGAAGTCGGGAGGCGTTGGGAAAGGGTATGGGTCGGTCAGGGAGGCTGAAGCTCGGACCTGAGTGGCCCTGAGGCGCGATTCGACTGGAGTGGGATTTGTGCTTCCCTGTGCTCGTAGAGAGTCAACACAGGCCTGGCTCAATCGGCATCTTGGCACGTTTGCCATGCGGTGCGGGCCGGAAGAACGTGTGATAATGCAGTTTCGGTGCGTCAATCGAAATTTCTCAAAATTGACAGGAGTGCCACATGACACTCCAGCCGCGAGCACACAAGCTGTGCCCCCTCCTACACTTCTGCTCTCGTCAACCTCCATCCAGCCATTCACTACACCTTCGTTTCTTTCCACAGTTACAACTCCTCTCGTCTGCAATCCCCAAATAAGCATGCAAAAAGACGATGCTGACATGATTCGAACATGTGCTCCCGAAGGAAATTGATCGAACTGTTCAAGTTCTAGTCAATCGCGTTAACCACTCCGCCACAGCACCATGCCTGACCACAAGAGTTGGTGGGTTACACCCGGGCTCCGGGGAACTGGGTCGTAATCGCTGCCGTCTTTGCGTGAGTCAAGGGGCGAAGGGTGTATCGTGTAGGGCTCTTGGATGTCTGCTGTACGTTCTTGCTATCCAAATGTCTCTGTGGCGACTGGAAAGGAGCTAGAGGACCGATGGAGCGGTGAAATGAGACTGGGGAGTGGCACGCTCATACCAACGTCAACCCGCCAATCTCGGCGTTGACACCGTTCATTGTTGGCGGGACGGGAAAGGAGAAGACCGACTCATGCGCACAATCCAGTCAGCGGCAAAAGCGGTGTCTCATGCCTCAGTGGCTGTGCCCGAGGTGGCATTCCGAGAACAATGGCCCCATACTTCAATGCGCGTAGTTTCTGGTCACCCCTGACCAGGGGCCGATAAGAACGGAGTGACACCTTGAGATGTTTCAGAAGCGAGCTGAAACGCAACCACGGTTGGAAGGCGGAGTCTGCCGGAGGTCGTCGGCATTCCAGGTGCTGCATTGTCAGGAGATAAGCATAGCGTGTGGGGGTCATTCGGTCAAGGTCGCGCCGACGATTGCCAGAACTGTTCCGTACCGAAATAGCTCTCCTGATGACTCCGACGGTTCTATGTAGCTGCAAACAAGGAAGATCACCCACTGTCATCCCCAGTGACGACCAGAATAGCTCTCTCCCAGCCGTTTCCCGGCGACGACGCGGCGAGCTCGAGCGGATTTCCGCGTGAGCTGTTCTTCCTGTCCGGCCACTCCTTTCCCGCTCCTTCTCGTGGTTCAGATTCAGACGTCGATGTATCCTGTCACCAGCACCAAACTACATAAAACGTTGATTGGAATGTGTAACGGTCCTCATCCTCACCACCAGCCGACACTGACAACCGGGCCAACTTCGCTCCCACCGACACCAATCTACTGTCCACACGCCACAATGATCTCCAATACCGAGGCACCCGTCAACGAATGGATCAACCCGTGGGGCTTCTCGGACAGCGCCAGTCTGCCCGAGTGGGCCAACAGTGGGTGTGTCCTTATGTAGACGCCCCTTTTCTCCTCCTCCGAGACGCGCCTCGCTCCTCTCTGACTGCGACTGGGTCGCTCTCCTGCCTACCGCAACCCAGGAGACGGAAACGACGGGCCGTTCTGTGAGATACTCTGTTGTAAAACCCATCTTATGCAGACTGGGGCGCTCTCTCGATCTCGGCGTGCAAATTAGCAGAGATCGCGCGTCAGTGAATCGAGTCCAAGAGGGCGTGGACACACATGCATGTCGAACACTACTCAGGGGAAACCCGAGCCGTCTATGGCCGCTGAGCACAGGACGGGGCAGAGGATGAGTGGTTAACGACGTTGTTGAGGTCGGTTTGACGTCGAGTTCATGTGTGGGGAGGGAAGGAGGGATAAAAGAGAAAAACAAGGTCGGAAAGTCGGAGGACTGAGAGATCGGAGCATGGCACTAGTCACAGACTGGCCAGCTCGAGCTCCAAGGGCAGACAAAGCCCAGTAATGCGGCGGAAGCGCGCTCACATGACGACGCACATCCTGCCGGCGTCGGCCCACCGCTTTGCGAGAACGGCTCGGTAGTCTTCTTCGCAGTGGTTAACGGGAGCAGGGATGTTTAAGGCAGCCATGGTGGTTTGAATTGAGTGTGCGGTGGGTGAGTCGTGAGTTCAGAGGTGAGAGGTTGTTGCTGAGACGAGGACGTTCGGCGCAGCGTTTATATACTTTTTCCCTAGCTCGTATCTGAACTGAGTGCCTCCAGCTTCGAGCCGATGTGAGCGCTTGAGTCGCTAAGTGGCTCGGGGAGGGACCACCCTTGCTGTTGACCAGCGACATGTGAGAGCGACGATGCGGACATCGTCACGTTTCAGAATCCAATCAAGCTGACCGTTTCAGATTCCAATCAAACCCGACGTTTGTGTTATCAAAGACATTCCAATCGACTATGCTTCGCGATGACCTGTACTAGGCGTATGTCCGGGACATACTGGAAGTCTGAACGACGGATTGAGATAGGTTGGGTGAAAGTGGACACCGGAGTGGCACCTCATTCCAATCAAGTGTGGCCGAGGTCGCTCATTTTGTCGAACAACACCGACCCAATGGTTAACAAGTAAGTCAATATCCAATGCATGTTGGGTTCGAGACCAAAGTACTGCTCTCGTCGTTATTTGTAGAAACACTTATTGCACAGTGTCTGATGTTAGCATTTTTCAGCAGCTGAGTTACCCACGGCTCCACGGTGCTCATGCCACCGGATGGTCGATCTACCGCTGCACGCGTCGCACTCCCGGTCCGGATGCTCCTTTCCGTTACGCTTCTTCAGAAGATAATCGTGGTCCATGCACAGCTGCGCGATTAGTTTATGGAGCCTGGGGGGACTTACGTAATACGAGTGTGCGGGGCGGTCTGACTTGGCGAACGTTAGCCAGTTGGGGCTTGTCGCGCACCCATACACACAGACGGGCATGTCTTTGTGCGTCGGCGCGAGGGTGCCGTCGATGATACCCTGCAGGGCGCGCTCGAAGCCGTCCTGGAGCGCGTCGGCCGCCGTGCCCTTGTAAACGCACACCTCACAGATGAGCAGCCCGTCTTCAAGAGCTGTCCAGCGAGTCGCGTCCTTCTTCTTGCAAGGAAAACAAATCCGAACCAGCTTCTGATTGATAACGAAGCGAGTGAAGGTGCGGGCAGGAGGAGATAACGACGCTGGCGCGTTCAGCCTGCTCGACCTTCTCGCGCGGCAGCGCACACTGCTTGCAGCTTTCAACAGCGCCCCTGTGACCGCGGCCGGAGTGTGCGGCTTCGAGATCACGACGAAGACGAGGAGCACGCCCTGGGTCGTGCAACGCCAGTTCCAGGGGGTGGCGCTTGTTGTCGGCCCACAACCGGCGATGAAAGACTGATTGGCTTGAGCTGCCTGTGTCGCTTAAAGAGGCCGTGCGCCAGCAGGTCATCACGAAGTTGCTACAAGGTCGGCAGCATGTACTTGATGACCCCGACCAATGCAGCGAACCGACGAGAGCCTCGGAATTTGTTCATGCTCCAAGTTTCGGTGGCGATGTCTGGGCGCTGTGATGTTGACTTGTCAGACCCGGTTTCGTTCAGCGCCGCCGGCAGAACAAACGGTTGACCGTGGCGAGCGTGAGCCGCCGGTGAACACTTCAGGGGATGATGACGCTCAAACGTCAACGGGAGACCGGTAGCGGCGTCGTAGATTCCAACGGTCCCATCGGAGCGCTCATAACCTTGCCTCATGATAACCGTGACGAGATGGAAGTCCAACCCGATCTCATCGTTGTCACGGTCTTGGGGTGGCGGCATGGCCTCATACGCTCTCGCATGCGCTTTGCGACGCAACAAAGGAGCTCTGCCAGCTGCCGTGTCGTGGTGCTGCGGCTGAAGAAGAGGACGCGCGTGCCGTCCTCGTTGATCCGGATCAGGGGATGCGATGGCAGTTGACGAGCGGCGCCAAGGCGAACTATCCGCTTTGTGATTGCCTCCACCCGTTCACTTGAAGCCCGGGGGTAGTTGAGCGAGGGGTCGTGATGGCAGGAGTGGGCGGCAAGCACCCCATCCATGCTGTCGATTCTGCACCCGTCTGCATGAGCCAGCGCTCAAACTGTTCCATCACTGACTCCGTCCGTAATCTAGCTTGCGACGAGATCGTGTCACTGTGCCTGGCGGCCCAGTCGACCTCGGACAGGGGACCGCAGAAAAGTCCTGCGATAGGCCTGACATCTTCACCGTCTGTATCTTGGTGTTCGCACAGGGCAACCAGATGCAGGCGCGCAAAAATATCGAGTCCGCCGGCCTTATACATGTTGTACTGCGTCGGCACTGCTCTGACGTTGTATGCAGAGTGGTGCGTGAAGCGGCCGTGCAGCTGGTTCACGAGGTCGGGGGAAGGCGCCATAGCCTGGAGAGTGGCGACGGCGTTGAGCATGCCGCTGAGATTGTCGAACTCTGGGAGCCCATGGAACGCATCCCAGAGGGGATCGTCGAGTTTCGGCTGGCACCTGCTACCATGCTCTGAAGATGAGCGCATGGGATTCCCATGCGCCTGCGTCCCCGTATTCGGGGAGGAGCTAGCTGTCAGTCATTGCAAACATCGCTAGTTGACTTACAGTCGTCTTGTCGGCGAACGCGAGTTCCGTTTTGATCTTGTAGATCCTGGCCTTGCGTTTATCGTCGGTGATGGTCACCAGCGCGCCGAAGCTCGCCTGCTCGAGCCGGGCGATTGTATTTCGAAGGTAGTTCTTGACGACCGGGATTGCGTCTCTGAATCGCTCAACACGCAGGAGTTGGGCAGATCGTTGGTTGGTGGACTTGCATGTACAGCGCATGGTCGTCAGGCTTGAGGAAGGTGAAGGCCGGGTGGCAATTCAGCGAAGGCCACATGCCACACACAGTATGAGAGCCGAAGTCACTCGCTCGTGATAAAGCGGGGATAGCTCGAGGCCAACGTCCGCCAACCACTGCCCTGGTCAACCTGTGTTGCTTGAGTGTCGCATGCTGGGAGGAGAGGTGTGCTGTTGTGAGAAGAAGAAGAGAAGAAGGAGAAACGACGATCGGATGTCAGAAGGTCAATGCGCGATTAGAAGCCTGGTGATGTCATTTAGCGCCCCGATTAGCGCCGGAACCAAATATTTGGGGTTTCACTATGAGCAGTGCATCACTGATACAAGACAATCACTACACGAGGCAGTGAGCCGTCGGGGTAAAGAGTTTGACGAATGGTCGCTGTTGCGCAACCACAATGCCAAAGTTTTTATGCCTATGAGAGAGAGAAGAGTGGTGGAAATGCGAGGGGAAAGCAGGAATGGTTGTGGGGTGGGTTGGTGTGTGAAATAAAATGCTCTTTTAATGGTGGTAAAAAATTATCACTTCGGATCAACAACAACGATGCCACTTTACTCCTTCTTGGGCTCGCCCTCCTTGGGCTCCTCGGGCTTGGCCTCAGCCTCTCCCTGCTTTCGGCTTTCATAGACCTTCTGGAAGAGGCCGAGCGAAGCCTGCTGAGCGGCGTCCATGGCGGCCTTGATGTCCTCACCCTTGACGGAGGCGTCACCAGAGGCACCCTTGGCGGAGATCTCGCGGAGCTCGGCGAGGAGCTTCTTGACCTTCTCGCGCTCAGCGGCGTCGAGCTGGGACTCGAACTCGGCCATCGACTTCTCAGTGTCGGCAACGAAGGACTCGCCCTTGTTGGCCTCCTCAATGACGGCACGGCGGGCCTTGTCCTCCTCGGCGTAGCGCTCGGCGTCGGCAACCATGTTCTCGATCTCGTTGTCAGAGAGACCAGAAGACGAGGCAATGGTCATGGACTGCTCGCGGTTGGTGGCCTTGTCGACGGCGGAAACGTTGACGATTCCGTCGGCGTCAATGTCGAAGGTGATCTGGATCTGGGGGACACCCTTGGGCGCAGGGGGGAGGCCGGTGAGCTGGAAGTTGCCGAGGAGCTTGTTGTCACGGACGAGCTCACGCTCACCCTGGTAGACCTTGACCTCGATGGCGGTCTGGCCGTCGGCAGCGGTCGAGAAGGACTGCGACTTCTTGGTGGGGATGGTGGTGTTGCGGTTGATGAGACGGGTGAAGACACCGCCGAGGGTCTCGATACCGAGCGAGAGGGGGGTGACGTCGAGGAGGAGAATGTCGGTGACGTTACCGGCGAGGACACCGGCCTGGATGGCGGCACCCATGGCGACGGCCTCGTCGGGGTTGACACCCTTGGAGGGCTCCTTGCCGAAGGTGGCCTTGACGGTCTCGATGACCTTGGGCATACGGGTCATGCCACCGACGAGAATGACGTCGTTGAGCTCAGAGGGCTTGATGCCGGCGTCGCGGAGAGCCTTCTGGCAGGGCTCGTTGGTGCGGTCAATGAGGGGCTTGACAATCTGCTCGAGCTTGGAGCGGGTAAGGGTGATGTTGATGTGCTTGGGGCCCTCAGCGGTGGCGGTGATGTAAGGAAGCGAGATGTCGGTCTGCGAAGTGGACGAGAGCTCAATCTTGGCGCGCTCAGCAGCCTCACGGACACGCTGGATGGCCATGCGGTCGTTGGAGACGTCAATGCCCTCCTGCTTCTTGAACTCCTCGAGGATGTAGTTGACGAGGGCAATGTCGAAGTCCTCACCACCAAGGTGGGTGTCACCGTTGGTGGACTTGACCTCGAAGACACCCTTCTGCATCTCAAGGATGGAGATATCGAAGGTACCACCTCCAAGGTCGTAGACGGCAATGACGGCCGAGTCGTTCTTGTCAAGACCGTAGGCGAGGGCGGCGGCGGTGGGCTCGTTGATGACACGGAGGACGTCAAGACCGGCGATCTGACCAGCGTCCTTGGTGGCCTGACGCTGCGAGTCGTTGAAGTAGGCGGGGACGGTGATGACGGCGTGCTTGACGGGCTTGCCAAGGTACGACGAGGCAGTGTCCTTCATCTTGCCGACGACGAAGGCACCGATCTGGGATGGCGAGTACTTCTCGCCACGGGCCTCAACCCAAGCGTCACCGTTGGTGTGGGGGACGATCTTGTAGGGGACCTGCTTGATGTCACGCTGGACCTCGGCGTCAGAGAACTTGCGGCCGATCAGACGCTTGGAAGCGAAGATGGTGTTCTCGGCGTTGACGACAGCCTGACGCCTGGCGGGCTGACCGACGAGACGCTCGCCATCTGAAAAGTACGTCAGTTTCACACGACCAAAACTACATGTGGAGGTGGGCCGTTTTCTCCGGTTCCGATGTTTGAAGGGAGCCATCGCCACCGGAAAAGTGGAAAACCGCCTACCAGCCAGTCATAAAACTTACCCTTGGTGAAGGCGACGACGGAGGGGGTGGTACGGGCACCCTCAGAGTTCTCGAGGACCTTGGGGGAACCAGCCTCGAAGATGGAAACACACGAGTTGGTGGTACCCAGGTCGATACCGATGACGGGGCCCGAGACCTTCGAGTTCCAGCGCCTGGAGCCGAGGGAGGGGGTCGCCGTGCGCTGTAAAAGTTAGCTGGAAGCTCTATGCATATCGCGCTTCGACGTCGACGGCCTCGTTGGATGCATAGGGGGGGACTTTTCTTCGCTGTCGCTGCGTGCGTTGCAGATCGGATTTTTCCGTTTTTCGTTCCACACCCAGTCGGTTTTCGCGACGTCTGGGTGCGGCATCCCTTTTTCCCTCATTCCGGATTTCATTTGTGGCGAAGTTTCCCCAGAGCGAAAGAAAAGTCCCCAAGCTGTCGCAAACATTGTCGTCGTCGTCGTCGTCGTCGTCGAAGAGGAGACTACTTACGGTGGCGGCGCGGAGGGCGGACACGGGGGTCGAGCGAAGCGAGCGGGTGATACCGTACATGGTGAGTACCGGCGTGATTTTGGAGAGAGTTGAGGGAGTCGAAAGAGAAAAGTCGGGCAGCACTTAAGGCGTCGCCCTGCGTGCGGCGGGTGAGGTGCTCCGGCCGATTTTTTGGTTCCGTCGCCCCCGTCGGCAGTGTGAACATGTGTTCTCCTGGGTGAGTAGTGACGCCAGCGCTTGACATCAGAGGGTTGTAGAGCATGCCAGAAATTTACCCTGGCTGACCGTTTAGCCTGGGCGTTAATCCGAAATACCTCCGCTAATCAGCATCCTCTAATCGCAAGGGGTTGTTCGGGAAAAGCGCCCGCTAAAAGCCGACAGGTAATAGTCCGCTATTAGACAGGAGGGCGTTAGCCGGTCGCTGGCTCGGTTAAATGAGGGGGTTTTCATGACGGCAACTTGGCCGTGGCTGGTGGCTGGAGTCGGAATTCTCGAGCCTGGGCGGACGAGTTTGCGGAAAATGATTGTTAATACGTAAGCACTCCGCCCAAGTCACGAGGGCGGAGGACGAAGCTTTGCCACGCGGCCCGCCGGCAGTCAGTCACAGCTGCGCTCCGAACTTTCAGCGTCCAATCCGGAATGCCAGGTTTGGTCGCGGAGTGCACCTAGGTCCTGCCGAGCCCAAGCAACGACAGCTTGCTCACAGCTCATCTACACCTCACCACTCACCAAAAGGTCCACACGTCGATCAGTGTGTGGGCTCATCCCGACTCGCTCGTTTCCCCCCCTCCCAGTCGTACGTAGACGACCCCGACGACTCCGCTCGCTTGCCGGAGCAAGCGTCTCTTCGCCAAAACTTCCAACTTCCCCCGACCCGACCACTACTCCGAATCGCAACCCAAGAGGCAACCCCGAAGGCAAGGCAGATGGCACCCCTCCTCTTCTCGCACTTCCGCGCGCGCCACCGCTCCGTCCTCACCGGCCTGTTTGGCGCGACGTTCCTCGCCGCCGTCGCTGTTGTTGCCATGCCCTGTCCGGCGCGCGAGAAGCGGACGCTGCTCGACGAGCCAACACCCGTCCCCGCCAGCAACAAGGAGGTCATCGTCATGATGAACCAGAGGGGACGGAGGCGGTTCATGGAGGAGTAAACCGCAGGCCGCACCATAGGCCGCCGATAGGCGGCCGAGGATACATCGTACTTTGCTCGGCTGCAACTCCGACTTTACTTCTGGCCCAGCGATGGGCCAAAGGACCACCCAATCTCAAGGAAGGGCGCACGCCATGGGCTGCCCCATCGCTCCTACGACGCGATATCAAGAAATCATCCAAGTTGTATAACAAAGTGAGTCCTGCCTCAGCTGTCTCTCAGGAAGGTAGCTGACGACCCAGACCACATCATAGCATTAGATTTCCGGTTCGATGCATTTGTTCATTGCATAATGATTCTCTGGCTGTAGTCCATTCTCCGAAGGAGGCAGGTGGCGATCCGGAAGGATGTTAGGGAAGACAGCACGGCGCACACGTAACCACTGGAGATGCTGACTGAGACTGACGCTGACCTCTAACGATGCCGGCGAGGCTGATGACAGACGCTGACGCGCGCTGTTGGGTTGAAAGGAGGGTAGGGAGCGGGACCAAGACTGCAGGGATGAGATGCGAGTTGCCTGCGACGCGAAGCTACATGATACAGTCTTGCATGCAAATGTCCGTCTAGCTCATCTAGCAGTTTTACACACACAACAAGAGATCTAGTCAACTTATCTTTATTCCGCTTAGCATGAACACGAACCCTTCACTCATCTCCAAGGTCAGATCACAGCCACGCTGCCTCGCGGCCTGACGGCCGGCTCAGCACTTAGTAGCCCCTAATCTCCAACTGCTGCACAAACTGCGCGACCTCCATCACGCTCGCGGGCAGCGTGAAGCGCTCCGACATCTTGTCGTAGCTCGGCGTGTACTCGAGGAGCGCGAGGAGGTCCTCGACCTGGCTCGGGGCCGAGGAGAGGGCTGAGGCGTCTGATCCAGCGTCCGACCCGGCGTCATCAGATGGGCTGGGACTGGAGCGGGAAAGCTCATCGAATTCGGCCTTGCTGAGACCGTCGACACCATTCTCCTTGAGCGAAGGCTCGCCGTTGGCCTGCGGCTTGGCCGTAGCCTTGGCTGCACGCTTCGCTGCGGCTGCGCGCTCTCGCTCCGCCTCAGCTTCACGCTCGATGCGCTCGCGCTCCGCCTCCTGCTCGCGTGCGGCCGCCGCGCGCTCCTCCCTCAGCGCGATCGCCCGCTTTTCCTCCTCCGCCGTCAGGCCGAGTCTCTCGGTTCCCTCTGAGGGCCAGAAGCCTTCCTTGGCCATGGCGTCGAGCTTGTTGAAGAGCTCCCACCTGGTCCACATCGAGAGTTTGCGCAGATCCTCGCTGCTCTCGACGCGCATCCAGCGCTCAACGGCCGTCGGCAGGGACTCGTCCCACGGGAATCCCTCGCCAAAGATGTACAGCGTGCGAGCCCAGCTGCTCGGTCCGGGGCGGTAGCGCTCCTCGTCGATGAGACGGGGCGTCAGGAAGTAGTACTTCCTGCCCTGGGCGTCGAGGCCGATCGGGGCGAAGCGCGTCGCCTTGCGCTGCGCCACAGTGCGGGGGACGAGCTCGATGCCCGCCAGCGCGGCGCGGTGCTCGCCCTCCTTCTCGTCATAGAGCGCCTTGTTGGCGCGTGTGGACGCGGCAGACGTGCAGCGCACGCGGGCGGCGAGGATCTTCTTCTTCTCGGTCTCCCAGCGCTGGTTCTCAGCCTTGGCGAGACGGGTCGCTTCACGGCGGTACTCGCTCTCGCGGCTGCCCCAGGCCGGGTCCATCTCGGTGCGCACCGCGTCGAGCGGGATGACGTACTCGCACAGGCCGAGCAGCATGCGCACAACCTCGACCGCACCAGGGATACGGGATGCGGCCGCCCGGCCCCTCCTAGGAGCCTCCGTGGCCCAGGTCGGCGTCTCGTCGCCCTCGCCCAGGTCCAGGATCGACCGGAGGGCCGCCTCGTTCCGCTCCCTGCTGGCGTTGCTCGGCTCTTCGGCCATGGTCACGCCGAGCAGGTCTTCGAGATCGTTGAAGATGCGCCCGAAGCGGGCAAGGTCCGCGTAGTGCTTCAGTTCCGTGTGATACTGGTCCAGCGAGCCGAAGACCTCCTCCGAGGTGCCGTAGTGCGCGCCCTGGTCCGCAATGATGAGGTCAAGCAATCCCGCTGCGACAGAGCGCACTGTCGCTTCGGGGAGGGGGTGGTCAAAGTCGTCCAGAGGCGCGAGCGAGCGATCGGCCAGGCCGAGGAGGGAGCGGAAGCGCACGACGAACTCGCGCAGGTACATCCGCTGCTCGGCCTCTTCGAACGAGAGTCGCGTGTCGACATTCTTAACGACGGGACGCGGGGGTTCCGGCTTCTCCTTCTTCTTGACGGGAGCCTTCTTCGGTTCGATCTTCTTAGTCGTCTTCTTCTTTGCGTCCTTGGCCGCGGCCGCCTTGCCCTTCGCGTCCTTGCCCTTTGCCTTGGCCTTGGGATCCGGCTTGGCCTTGCTCTTCGCCGTCGTCTTCGCGGTCGCCTTACTCTTGGCTGCCGACTTCTTCGGCTCGGCCTTCTTCTTCGCGGGCTTCTTCGGCGCGTCGGGGTCGCTGAGCTCCGAGTCCGACCCCTCCTGCTCCTTGACGGCCTTCTTCTTGCTCTGCTTCTTCGGCGGGGTCTCGGTGATTTCTCCCGCGTCGCTCTTGCGCAAAAACTCCGCAATGGGCATCCCAATGTCCTCCGCCTTCTTCACGACGTTCCTGGTTGTCAGCTTGAAAGAGAACGCTGTAGCTTACCCAAGCGGCTCCAGTCCTTTCTTCTTCCGGCACGTCGCGTTCTGGCACTCCTCCAGGCAACACGGACACTCAAACGTGTACGGCAAGCCGTCGTCGTGTCCCTCGGCAGCGCGCGGCGCTGAGCGCACGCCATCCACATCGATTCCGTATCGCTTCACGAGATCGCGCTCGCACCAGACATAGTTGCACGCGCGTGGCGGTTGCAGCTTGGAGTGTTTGCGCAGCTTGGTGCACCGCAGCAGATCTGGTTGAGTCAGCTTTTGCCGGGGTCGCATCAGCCTAGTACTGCTCGACTCACTCTCCGGCTCCACCGCCAACCGGCACTGGTGGCAGTATGGCTTCTTCTCCTTGTCGTTGCTGTCCTGCTGCTCCTCTTTGGGCGCGGGCTTGGCCGGCTTAGCCCTCTTCGCCTCCTTCGCGCTACTTGATGGGGGCGCCTTGCGCTTCGACGCGAGCAGGGGCGGGTCCTCTGGCGGCGGGGTCAGGACGTCGCTCTCGACGGACGCGGCGCGGCGCGACGCAGGGCTGCTCGTCGTCTTCGTCAACGTCGGGACCGTGGAGTCTGCCATGGGGGAGGACGCGGCAGACATGGGTGCTGGAGTAGGTGAGAGATGGTCAAGTACCGAGTTGCCAGTGGAGTTTACGCGATCAACCTGACCCAGGGAGAGAGGTGAAGGACTGCACCCGCTGCAGCCCGCTGGGCTGCTCGAACTAAAATGCCACGCGACTTTGTTTTCATTTTCATTTTGGTGGCGCGTCACATGTCATGTCCACCCGGCTGCCCCGCGTCGCGTCTGGATGATTGTCCGATCAAAACTTTCCTCTTTCGTCGGAGTGATCCTGGGTGAGGTCGGATTGCTATTTCTGCATGCTGCTCGCTCGGCAAATGCACAATGTAGTGAGGCTGATTGCTGTAGAACATGGGAGTGCAAAGCAGGGCCCTCCTCGGTGGCGACACCGATGTACCGAGACTCTGGCTGATATCCGCCGAAGTTTACCCGAGGGTGCTCATCATAAGTAGGTCTTCCAGGCGACCGTGCAGATCGCACGTCCATACCTCATCACAGCTCTCATGTAAAAACCCAGGACTCAAGCTCAACGCAAAGCGGAGATTAAGCCTTAACCTACAGTACATGCATAAATCCCTACAATGCCCTGTTCTAAGTCGAGAAGCTCCCCTCATGTCTAAGTAACCGCGGATGTAGCCCTCCAATACCATTGTACTCCTCCTCCTCGCTGGCGAGTTCGTTGCTGGCCTCGCTGGCGCTGGCCGGATCGTTCGGATCACTCGCCCCACTTGCACTCGCGCTTGTCCCGTTCACGCTCGTGTCCCACTGCTCGTCCCCGTCCTCAGCGCCCTGCGTTGGGAACCGCCTTCGTCTCGGTGTCGGCGTCAGCGCGGCGCGGGGCGAGCGCTGCGGGAACCCTGGTGAGCGCAACGTCGGCGAACGTGGCGATCGGGCGGGATAGGGGGGCAGGTCGTCGTCCGCCCTGCGCAGAGGGTGGAGGTGTGCGCTCCGCAACTTGCTCCGCGGCGCGGGGGCCACGGGATCCTCGGTCTCGCCGTGGATCATGGACAGGGAGCGCTGCGCGAGCGCTCGCCGTTTGAGGTGGGCCAGTGTCGGCGTCGTGGGGCGTGAGCCCTTCCGCCGCCGCGGCTGGGAGGGGGAGAGGGGACTCGTGGGCCGCCCGAGCGCGTCGTCCTCGTCGCGCCATCCCTTGCCTTCCGGGTCAAGCGGCGGGCGCGGCGTCGCAACGTCGATGACTAGTCCCGCCAACGGTCCGGAGCTGAGCTTCTTCCCATGTTTCTTGCGAGGACGTTCGCTCAGTGGTCGGAGCAGGGTTTCGACAGTTGCGCTCTTCGAGAACAGGGCCAGTCCCACGATACCGATCAGAATGACGAGCTGCGCGACGGATTTGCGCCGCTCGAAACCGAGTTCGTCCGCCAGAGCCCGCAGCTGCGCCTGGGCCGCTCGTCTGTCCCTCTCTCCGGCTAGACGGAGATACTCGACCTGCGTCGAGAGGCGGAGGAGCCGCGCGTCGGCGCCTGCGTGGGCTCGTTCGGCGTCGTTGCGGGCGGCTAGCAGAGTTTGCTGGACCGCTTCTAAGCGAGACACGGCACCGCGGAGAGCCCTGGCTTGCTCATCGATGTATCGTGCGACCAGCGTGCCATTTCCCTCTAGCGCGGAGAGGCGGCGCACGATGTGCGCGTAGATGGACTCGGAAGCGTCGCGTTTCTGGGCACTTGGTAAGGGTGCCGCGGACGAGACAGAGGAACCGTTCTCGGACGCAGCGGCACTCACGGCAGTTACGCCAGCGCTACTGTTCGGCACCGCGGGGACGGTAACAGTCCCGTCGCCGCTGGGGACAGAGCCTGCGCTAGAAATACCCGCCGCGACACTCGAGCCAAGCGAAGCGGAGCTCGCCACACTCGCAGGTGCGCACTGGATGATCTCCTCATAGTCCAGCTCCCTCCCTCGGCGAGCTTGGGCTTGGACGAGTTTCTCCAGCTCGCACAGTTCCTGCTCGCGCTTGCTCTCCTCCTCCTTCTCCTTCGCCTCGGCGGCGCGACGCTCAGACTCGATCCGCTCCTGCTCCCGCTGCACGAGCTGGCGTTCCCGCTCAGCAGCCTCGGCGGCTTCGTCCCGTGTCGCTTCCGCTGAGCGGCGCTGCTCCATCTTGAACGCTTCCATCTGGTTCAGGCCGTAAACCTTGAGCTGCGACACGGGGCAGTAGTACTCTGTCCCGTAGTAGGAGGGGAAGTCGAGGCGGACGAAACGGTGAAAACTCGTCGGTTCGGGGAGCGTGAATGTCTGTCGTTAGCGGGTTACGAGCGATGGCGAGGGGGGCCGGTGATACGAGATGATATCATGTGGTCACGCGGCCGTAGTCTTGTGACGCGAGGAGCGAGGTTCGGAGCGGGGGGAAGCGAGAAGCAATACTCACCTGCACACCGCGAACGTTCTTGCCGATCCACTCTCCGACGGGCTTCCATTCCTCCGTCTCCTCCCCGCCGACGCTGAGGCGGACGGAGCGCACGACGCCCGAGAAGAACTCCCAGACGGCAACCTCGATGGCCGAGATACGGATCTCGTCACAGAGCTCGACGACGACATAGTGTTCATTCGCCCGACAGGGTGTGAGCATGTATCGATCCTTGCTCTTGTGCAGGAGCGAGGAGGCATGCTGCGTCGCGGGCGAGGACGAGATGACACGAGCGGAACAGTCGGGCGAGGCGTAGTTGTACCGGTTCGCCTTCTTGCCTTGTGTCTGAGGTGGTGGCGGAGGGTCGGCAGCGGCTACGTTCGACTCGGGGACAGAGCTGAGGGCCGAGGACGAGTTGGCGTTGGGAGTAGAGTGCGTGCGATTATCGATCGGGACGGCGGCGGGTTTCCGAGCTGTCTGTTCGGCGGCCTGGCGCGCCTTCCACTCCTCGAAGGACTCGAACGACTCAAACGCCGTCTCGGACACATCCTCGGGTATGCAGTGAGGATGCACTAAACCAAGGGTGAAAACGAACGGCGTCTGTCCCCCATCGCCGGCGGGGCAGGAGGGTCCTGGTCCTCCGGCGCCGCCAGCGACGATAGAGGACGAAGATGAAGATACGGCGAGGTCGGTGGTCGGGTTCGCGAATGCCAGCAGCGCCTGGACGAGGTGCAGAGTTAGCGGGCGCATGTCATCGAGACTATGCTGGCGGCACTAACGTCGCGGGTCGCGGTGGTGGAGAGATAAGTGATAAGTGGGCAGATAGATCTGATGAAATTATCGGTGGTGGCTCATGGCTCGGTGGCTTGGACCAACCCAGGACTACTGCACCGACGCACCGAGGATCTGACGCTACCTCGGGATGCGGGGTAGGATGCGGGGAACTCCCGCCCGCTGCAGTGCCGCCCAAACCTTCTCGCGTCATTCCGCTCTGCCCGCTCTTGCCATCCAACGGCTGAAACGGCGGATCGGCCGAACATTATTCTGACAATGGTGCGTCAGTGCATGGCTGCATCCCCGATACCAGCCCGACGCAGCGCTTCAGCGCTGCAACAAAGGGCCACGGCAGGTCTATGCATGCAGTCTATAGTGGACCAAGTATTGTGCTGGTGGTACAAAGAAGTTACAGTAGTCTAGTCGATCATCTATACGCTGCGAGCGTTAGTAATCACGCCTTCTCGCCCGCGCCTTCGCTCGCCCTCGCCACCGGCTCCAGAAACTTGATGCTCACCTCATAACCGAAATCAGGCGGAAGTTGGTGCCGCCGCCCGGGTCCTTGGTCTCCTTGAGCAGCTCGCACGTCACCTTGTGCTTGCCAGCAGGCAGACCCTCCGCAATCGTCGCAAATCGGCCAATGTTCCTGTGGGTTAGTTGCGATTAGGCCGGTTGCAACTCACTCGGACCGATCCCAGAATCCCTCCACCACGACGGCCTTATCCTCCACTCCCTCAACCCAACACTTGAGGTTTCCGAGGCCGTACTCCTTGCTCTTGAGGGAGTAGAGCTTGACGAGGCCGACCTTTGTTTCGAGCTCGAACTGAATCTTGGCTCCAGGCTCCTCAGCCACGAAAAAGGGCTTGTCCGTGTGGTCCGGGTGGAACCAGTAGTGCCAGCCCTCGTTCGCCGTCGGCGTGATGTTATACGCGGGGTCGGGCGAGCGGGCGGAGTAGCAGGTCGGGTGCCAGGGGGCGAGGCGGTGGTCGACGTGCGGGTTCCACTTCTCCAGCGCCGACAGGCGGGGCAGGCGTCCGAGTTCCGGTGGTGGGGTGTACATGCCCGGATACCAGTTGTCAGATTCGGGAATACCCTTGTCCGGGTCCGCGTCGACGTGGTGAGACCAAGGGCGCTGCTCATCGCCCCAGTGCGCTGGCCGCTGCAGCGGCGTGTTCCCGTAGGCTCCGCGCAAAAGCTCGTCGAAGGACTCATTCTCCGCCCGCTCGACGGGCATGGGCGTCTTCGGCGGGAACAGCACGTCCGGCTCCTGGAGGCCCTCGCACACGGCGTCACGAAGCAGACTCTGGACCAGTCGCGAAGCATCAGCGTGCCCGCGCGAGTTCATATGTCGCTTGTCGGGCTCGTGCCAGTAGCTGCTGTTAGCTAGCATTCAATCTCCAGCTCACTTCTCGGTGAAATACCACGGTAGCAGTTCCGGGAAGCGCGACCAGTGCGTGACGAGCGGGTGTCGTTGACTAGAGGTCAGCTTGACTACCTAAGAGAAAGCCTACTTGATGACGGGGACGTCTGCTGGTCAGCTCGCGGCCACAAATACAGCTAGCTTTACTCACCGTAGTACTGCGCGATCGGGAGGTGTTTCCGGTAACCGCCGCCGGCCATCTCTCCCTGGCTGAAGGCGACGACCTCGAGGAGCATGACAGCGGGCTGGTTGGGGAGGTCAAGTAAGCCGCGCAGGAGGTTCTCCATGTTCGTCTCATGCTCCGGAAGCGCCTCATCATTGACACCAAGCTCGACGACAACGAGGTCGGCGTCTTCGGGGATGTGAAGCTTCATGCAGAAAGAAAAATAGTCGCTGCCGCTAGCGGGGATGGCGCCATTCACGGCGTCAACCTTGGAGTGAGGGAAACGGGCTGCGAGCCAGTCGCGCAGCAACGAGATCCACGTCTCAGAGTCGTAGATATGGTGCCCTTTCGTGACTGGCGTTAGCTATGCAAAACAAGGTCTCAGCTCAGATCCTGTCCGTCAGCGACTCACCACTACCTCCAATCGCTGCAACCTTGATGGGTTCTCCGCGAAGCGCTTTTCCAAGAAAACGGTGCGTGCGCGCGAGAGAGCCTGGAGTCAGTTTGCAAGCCAAAGTCAGCAGAACTCACCCTCATATCCTCTCGAGCGGCGGAGGTTGGCGCGCCCAAAGTGCTGCTCGAACTCATCGGGCGCTGCGCACCACTTGCGAAGGTGGCGTACGTTTCGGACAGCCGAGGAAGGCAGCTCATACGTCGACACCAGGTCTGGTGGACGGCTGGGCTTGAGCCGTTCCGGGACCCAGGCGGTGGCGCGTGTTGGGAGGTGGTCGTATTCGAAAAGGAGGAAGGTGAGTGTGCAGAGGACGAGAGTGAAGAGGACAGCGGCCTGGGAGCGGGGGCTGCCCGGCAGGCGCTGCGCGAAGGACATGCCTTTGGGCGCGCCGACGGTCATGCGTGGGGCGCGTGGATGGCCGGGTCTGGATCGGTGGGCAGGTCGAAAAAGTCTGGTGCTGCAGATCAAGAGATGAATCGAGGAAGGCGCAGGGGTAAGCGAGGAGATGGTCGTGTGTGATGTGCAAAATGCAAGATGAGCAGGGGATTAAGATAAGTGATGAGCGGGAGATGTGATGCGCAGTGATCAGTGATCTGTATTGTCAGGCAGTCGGCATCCCAGTCCAAGTCACAAGCGGACTTTGGCCGCAGTTCACGAAAGTCCCACCGTGTGGGATGGGACCCAATGGACGCAGGCAGAGATCGGCCCCCCATAGCAAGTGGTTACCGTGGGTGGTGGCGTATCTCGGAACTGGCTCATGTTGCTCTGACTGCGGAGGAGCTTTGCCAAGGGTCCGCGCACAGGGCCGCAGTCGTCTTCTGCCCGTTTGACCCTTGCTTTTGGTGCGCCTTGCACGCTCTGGACTGCGCCGGCCCCAGCCTCGAGGCCCTGAACATGGCCTGACCCTGACGAAAGCTTGACCCGGCTCTGCCTTAGCTTTTCTTGGACCTGACGTATTTTTGGCTGGCAACAGTGTGGAGGCCATTTCATGCTCGGCCCTCGCCGTCTCCCCGCCCGACAGTTGCCCCGCATCTCGTCTTGCATCTCAACATCAATTGTTTTGCATTCGAGTACAGAAATCTCCATCCTCAACACATGCCTATCCAGCCTGCCGGTCATGTTAAGCACCGGAGCTGACAGTGCTGGTGCTGCGAGTCGATTGCACCGCCCTTTCGCACTTCGGGCTCCCCGCATCAGACGGTCTCCTATAGGTTGCTCATGAACTGCGAGGCAGTCACATCCGATGTGTACATACGCAGCATCTCGCAGTAAGCTGCTCTGCACGGTTGTGTTCGTGCGCCACCACTTTCCGAGACTTGGGACTGCCGGTACTGCCAAAGCGTTGCGGCGCGGAGTAGGCTATGTTTGGCCTACTGGGCAGCTTGGCGCTCGCAGCTTATGCGACTGGCGGCCCAACCGCAACCCAGCCACAGACTGCCCGAGAGGAGGAGCCGTATAGCCCATGGGTTTGCGATCTTGCGATATTCATTGTTCCCGGACACTTTCACGGTGCACTCGTACTTGTACGTCGTTCTTCAACACGAGCTTAGCGGGCGAATTGCAAGACCGTGATCGGATGTTAAAAGTGAGGCGACGAGGCCGAAATCGTGCGGCCGGTGCACACTTCTCGAGCGCTCAAGGGGCTGTCCGACACCGCACTTTCTCTTCAGATTCTATCACCATCTATACCCATTGCGAACCACCTTCTGGCTGTGCCGGACAGCGTGCAGTGGTGGGGGGCACTTCCGGCTCCAACCTCATGGCTCCCCTCTGACTGCAAACCGGTTCTCCTCTCCGGGCCCCTGCCCAGCAACTGCATGTGCTGCAGACCATAGTGCAAACTGCGGCCCTCGACTGATGCTTGCAGGATGGACCAAAGATCTGGGTGACTGAGGACTCAAGACAGCGGAACGTTCCATCGACCAAAGCTACTGGCCTGGTTGTGGAAATGTCAGTCATTGGGTCAGTGTGCAAGCCATCGTTGGTTGACCCTTCGTGTCACCGGCGCTCTGGTCACTGCATGCTTCGATTGCTTAAGCTGCAACGGCAAGAGAGACACTGATCGACGGAGTCAGATTGGCGCGACTTGTTTTCAGGAGGAGTGCAAAGGATGGCCGACGCGAACAGATCGAGAGTGGGTTCGATGGCATCAGCGGAAGAGACGACGTGGACAGTAACGGAGGTGGTGTAGATGAGAGAATGGATAGCGAGCAAATGCAAAGCATGCGGCGAAGTCAAGATTGATGACCTTGCGGAGGACGCTCGTTGGCTGAAAGCGGGTGAACTCGGAGAAAGTGCCACAATGCGTGGGTGGACGGCATTATGGTGGGAGGCTCAGTCGGAGCCTCTCGGCTGAGTTTGCCTCGACCCGCCAATGGGTGCGGTGGGATTCGACGCTGAGCTGGGCCAGAGTTGAGTTGCTCCGTTCAGCGCTCAGTTGGTTGTCTTTGCTCTTGCTCACCACTCCCGCCCCCCCTCACCACCACTCCCCATGTCTTTCCTTCGCGCCCGCGCCGCCCCCGCCCTCCGCCGGTCGTACGCCACCGCCGCTGGCCCCGTTGAGGCTGCCGGCGTCAAGGTCCTCGGCATCGAGAACGGCCTCCGCCCCGCGACTTCGTCCGTTACCATCGTCGTCAAGGGTGGCTCGCGCTACGAGCCCGCCGTCGGTACCGCTCACGTCCTCAAGAACTTCGCTTTCAAGGTGCGTTACCTGCTTCAAGACCCCGAGATCCCTACGTCTGCATGAGAAGGAACAGCCCGAACGCGATACCGAAATCACAACCGCGCAAAGTCGGGATGGCGTCGGAGCTTTCTCGTTTCGGATGCGGACTGCGTTTTAGCCGACACACAACGGCAAGCTCGATCACTCGGTTGTCGGAAACTGTCAGAAGGAGGAATGGAAGAGCTGTTGTTGAGGAGTGATGGAATCGAGCATGCGTTCGTCTGTTGTTGGAGATGCGTGGAACGATTGAGTCTGGCTGTTTCCTTCGGATGTTCGGGTTTCGCGCGTCATAATTTGGATCTGTATGGAGGACGGGACGCTGACTCTCCCAGACGACTGCTGAGGGTTCCGCTCTTAAGAACGTCCGCAAGACTGAGCTCTACGGTGGTGTCCTCTCGTCCGGTCTTGGCCGTGAGCACCTCTACCTGAACGCCGAGTTCCTGAAGGGCAACGAGTGAGTTGTCGACCTTCAACAGCAACTAACTATCAGGAACGTCTTCGTCCCCCTCCTCGCCTCCGTTCTCTCCTCGACTCAGTTCCTCCCCTGGGAGTACTCTGAGCTCGTCCTCCCCAACGTCCAGGGTGAGGCCCAGGCCGCTGCCGCCTGCCCCATCGCCGCCGGTATCGACGCTGCCCACGCCGTTGCCTTCCGTCGCGGCCTCGGAAACTCCATCTACGCCTCCCCCAACTCCCCCGTCACCCTTGACAACGTCAAGCAGTTCGCCCAGGCTGCGTTCGCCAAGAACAACATCGCTGTCATCGGCCAGGGAATCTCCACTGAGGCCCTCGCCTCGGCTGTCCAGCAGTCCTTCGGCTCCGGTTCCGCTGCCGGCGGCAACCTCTCGACCTCCCCCTCGCAGTACTTCGGTGGTGAGGAGCGTCTCCCCCTCGACACCCACTCGAACCCCTCAGCCAAGCCCACTCTCGTCATCGCCTACGGACAGCAGGGTGCCGAGACCCCCGAGCTTGCCGTTCTCCCCCACCTCCTCGGCGGTGAGTCCGCCCTGAAGTGGGTCCCCGGCACCTCGCCCCTCTCCAAGGCCGCCGCCAAGGTCCCCGGTGCTCAGGTCCGCTCCTTCACCACCGGCTACTCGGACGCTGCCCTCTTCAACATCGTCATCCAGGCCCCCACCAACGAGGGTGTCCGCTCCGTTGCCCAGGAGGTTGCCCAGGCTATCAAGGCCACCTCCAACATCTCCGAGGAGGAGTTCTCGCGTGCCATCGCCAAGGCTCGCTTCGCCGAGGCTACCAAGCTCGACACCGCCGAGTCCCTGATCGTCTCGACCGCCAACGCCGTCCTCGCCGGCCAGGCCCCCAAGCCCCACGCCCTCGAGTCCCTCTCCGCCTCCGCCGTCTCGAAGGCTGCCGGCGAGCTCTTCAAGGCTAAGCCGACAGTTGTCGCCATCGGCAACACCCACGTCCTCCCTTACGCGTAAGTACAAGCTAATCGCTCTGGTGGAGAGTGCAAAGCTGACATTTCCCAGTGACGAGCTCGGTCTGTAAGATGACGGAGTAAAAAAAGACATCGACGCGCGGTAGATAGAGGACTCCAAAATAGCTAAACCACACCCACACTATCCAGATGCATCACGGTCTGGAATGGATCACTAAAACTGAGGCAGAGGGGCGGTTGGAGGATATGTGTTGAGGATGGCTGCAGGTTCAGAAACGATCTTCAGCGAAGTTTGGTATACATGAACTGCACTCCTCTGTGCCCTCATAACCTCTCCTTCATGGAGCTGCATCGGCTAGGAGTAGAGTAATGCGGTGGGGTTTTGAACAATGTAGGGCCATCGAAGCCGAGCGGGTGTTAGAAAGCGACGTCAGATGAAGGCAGTAGCGCAAGCCGAAGTTGCCTATGCAGGGGAGGAGATCGACCCAGGTTCTCATTTGGGTTGGGCGAATCGTTCTCCTCACAGCCGTTTGTCCGTTCAGAAGTTGCACAACTCTGTTGCCCGTGAATCCTAGGGCGCAGGAAGATGCTTGAGAGTGACGAAAGCCACACTGGAGACAAGAGTGCCGATAGTCACGTGGTGCTCTTGCCGATCACTACGGCCACCGTGAGAAAGCAAAGGCACGCGTCGCGTAACTGGGTTGACTGGATTCATGTCCGCCTCCAGAGAGCCGCGGATTGTCAACAAATCTGACTTTCTTGGCCAGTGTGCCTTCCCTTCCTCCACACAGCACACACTCGACCCTACGTCACACACACAGAAGCTTTCTCCATTCCCTTATCACTCGTCACACAAAGCCATGCGATGACCGACCTCCGCGAGCTCGGCGTCGCTGACACAGAGGATCTCGGCGATCACGGCGGTGTAGGCGTGACGGAAACCAGCAGCACAGCTCCAGTGGACCTCGGGCTGGCAGCCTCGGGACCGTCACCGCTGAGCTTCAGCCCGCCGCCACTTCCGCTCGATGAGGAAGACGAGCTACCACCGGGAGCACCTTCCTCGGACCCATGGACCGCCGATGATCTCGCCGCCATCGCCGCCGCCGAAGCGGCAGAACGTCAGCGCCTCAGCTTTGAGCGCAGTCTCGCTGGTCCAAGTGTCGGCAAAGCTGGTAAGTTGCGCCGGGATGAGGGCTGAACTGACACGCAGGCCTCCAAAGGAATCAGACGGGTACGCTGATCATGTCTCCTGTAAGCTTACACTAGAAATCAACCGTATCATCGCCGAGGCGAGCAAGGGGTCAAAGTGAGTGGCTGATCAGCTCTTTATGTCGGCTAGCAAGAGCTGACTGCAGATTCTACGAGAACCAGGTTCGCAAGGACAAGGAGCTCACTGAGAAGATTGCGTGGTTCTGTGCGAAGCGAGACGAGCTCCTGCGCGAGACGCCGAGGGAGAAGATTCTCGCTGATGCCGATCGGATCGTGCGTAGCTTTGGCGTCCTTCGCGATGAGAGCTAATAAACAGTTGATGGAAGTCGAAGCCGACCGCGACCTGAGCCAGACGATTGTGCACGTCGATGTTGACGCTTTCTACGCCGCTGTCGAGTGCAAGCGCGACCCGTCGCTGAAGGGGAAGGCTTTCGGTGTCGGGCAGGGCGTCCTGACTACTGCTAGTGTGAGCTCACCGAATTCGATTATTTAGCTGACAGCAGTACGAGGCGAGGAAGTTCGGTTGTCGTAGCGGCATGGCGGGCTTCATTGCAAAGAAGCTATGCCCTCACATCATTCTGTGAGCTTCGGAGGCTATGCCGATTAGCTGACGGGCAGCACACCACTGCATTTTGATCTTTACACCGAGGCGTCGAGGAAAATCCGTGAAGTGCTACTGAAGGTGAGTTACGCAATACTGCACCGAGCTGACATTCAGTACGACGCGAACCTCATGATGGCCGGTCTCGATGAGGGGTATCTGAAGTGAGCTACGTTGGAGTTTCTCAAGCTAACTTTGCAGCATCACGGGCTACATCCAGCAGCACGATGTGACGGCGCTCGAGGCGGTAGAAAAGTTGCGCGCCGAAGTTGAGGCGGCGACGGGCCTCACCATCTCAGCTGGCATTGCCCCGAATCGCATGCTTGCCAAGGTGTGTTCAGAGTCGTACATGATCTAACGCCCAGATCTGCTCCGACAAAAACAAGCCGAACGGCGTCTTCGAGCTCGAGTTCAACCGCGCCACCATTGTCAAGTTTATGCACGATCTACCAGTTAGGTACGTGTGGAGCTGTTCCATCGACGAACTTCAGCTGACAAGACAGAAAGATTCCGGGCTTCGGCCGTGTCACTGAGCGGTGTCTGGAGGGCTTCGGTGTCGAGGTGAGCTACGCCGTGAGCTTCTAGCTGACGTCAGACGTGCGGCGACATCTACCGCCACCGCGTCGAGCTGCTGGTCATGAATCACTGGCTTGGGTTCCGCGGCCTCTGGTGGGCTTGACTCTTGATATACATCCAGGTTTAGCTGACGGGTAGCAAAGCGCACCTCGGCATCGCGGATAACTCGGTGCAACCGTACAAGCGGGAGGAGCGGAAAAGCGTCGGCGTCGAGCGCACGTTCCGGGACAAGTGGGAGGATGAGGACATTCTCGCTGAGCTCGCAAACATTGCGGAGGAACTCGAGGACGACCTCAAGCGATTACAGTACTCTGGCAAGACGGTCACGGTCAAGTACAAGCTGCACACGTACGAATGTGGGTGCTTTCGGCTTCTGACCCTAAGCTGACGGTTTAACAGCCAAGTCGCGCGCCCAGTCTGTCAAAAAGTACATCAACACGAAGGACGATATCCTTCCAGTGAGCTGTATGCGTTTTCCGCGAGCTAACGTCAGATCGCCCATGACCTGATGAAAAAGGAACTCCCAGTCCGCATCCGCCTGCTCGGTATTCGCCTGTCGAACTTGAAAGACTTAACCGTGCCAGAAACGGGCATCAAGGAGGTCAGTTAAGCCCGCCTTTGCCTCAACTAACCCGCAGTTCTTTGCCAAATCTGCCTCATCTAGTCCGAAGAAGACCAAGCCAGCCACAAAGTCACCGGAGCTAGACCTGAGTCAGATCGACGAGGCGGTCGAAGCCTCCTCCTCGGCTCCCGAGACATCAGCGCCAGGCGTCCCAGGAGAAGCTCTCGACACGGACCCGAGTCCGTCCAACCCCGGCCCGCTGTGTCCGATCTGCCAGCGCGCCCTGGGTCCAGAAACGACCAACGCGCAGCTGAACGAGCACATCGACCTGTGTCTGAATCGCGGCGTTGAGGGCATTGAGACCTCGCCTGTGAAGCGGAAGGAGCCGACGTCGACGCAGGGAACGCAAGGGACGCAGGCAACGCAGGGCAGGCGGAAGAAGAAGCGCAAGGAGGGACCTACGGTCCTCGACTGGCTGAAGCGCGGTTAGGTCATGTAGCATAGATTCGATGCAATGTTGTATACTGTTCACAGTGAGGTCTTGCCACGACGGCGACATGCACTTTCAGCTCAGGTCTGTCCTCTGGGGTGCTGGGGAGCCGCGCTCCTCCTCAAACCCGCCATCTCGACGGTGTTGGGAGTCTGCATGCGCGAGAAGGGGGGAACTTAGCAATACAGTGCTACCATATGATACATGTCCTATCGATACACAACGTGGCTGAAATGCCTAATATGACGGATACCGGACTCGATGAATCCCCGCCTTGATACAAATCACAGCGTCGCCGTGCTCGCCTGCGCGATATCGCTCCCCGCCTCCGACTCAAGCGCAAGCACGCTCTGCAGCGACTCCTTCAGGTCCTCCTGCAATCTGAGCAGGTACTCGAGCACGGCGGGGTCGTCCTCCGCCGACGCCTGCAGGACGTGTTTCAGTTTCCCGCGGAGCTGCTGTCAGCTACCTTGAGCAACGCGCTAGCTCACCTCAAGGATGACCTTACGACGGGTCGCCTGGGCGGCGGCGAGAGTCGAGTTGCGATCTGTTGTCAGCTTGTGAAGAACTAGATAGCTCACCGCGCTGCTCCAGATCATTCAGGCGCGTTGCGACTGTGCGTGCGGTCGTGAGCACGTCCCGAGGCAGAGCGGCCAGGGAGGCGAGCTCGAGACCATAGTGCCGGCGTTGGATCGCGCCTTCGACGACCTTGTACTGGAACGTGGAGGCGAAGACTTCGCTGTCGTCGTCTGGGGCGCGCTCGTGCGTCACTTGTAGGTGCAGGCTGTGGTCAGTTTGTCGCCAGTTTGTCGCAGTGAGCAACTTACGTCACGACGCCAGGGTAGACCGAGAGCGTCTGGGCGAGCTCGTGGAAGTGCGTCGCGAAGAAGACGAAGGACTGAGCGTTAGGACCAACGAGGACAAAACGCACCCTCGCTTTGATGAGCTGCTCGGCGATGGCTTGGCAGAGACCGACGCCTTCGATCGGTGCGGTACCGCGGCCGAGCTGGAGTCAGTTAGAGTCTGTTGCAGTAATTAACTTCATCGATCAGGATAAGCGAGCGGCCAGTCGCCATGCCGAGGATCATGGCCGAGGACGCCATCTCGAGCGCGAACGTCGATAGCGACTTGGCCATGTTGTCGTCGTTTGAGAGGCGAGTCAGCAGGTAGTCTGGGAGACGGATCGTGGCATGCTCCGCTGGTAGGCTGTGGTAAGCTTACCGACCGACTTGACCAGCTCACAAGCATCCGACCATCCCCTGCACCGTGAGCAGGCCGATCTGGCGCAGGTACGTGCTCTTGCCCGACATGCTGAGCTGAGTTAGCGTTAGACCGGGAGCAACTTACTTGGGCCCTTGGATAAGCTGGAAGTTTGCGGGGCCGTCGGCGGCGTAGACGTCGTTTGGAATGACGGCGCCATGAGGAAGGGTTGCTTCCAAAATCGGGTGGCGGCCATTGCGGATCGCGAGCGCACTGCCAATCTTGGGTCGAACTAAGGTCAGACTAACCAGCGCCACATCATACCATAGTCAGCGGCTGACGTCAGCTAGGTCGACGTTTCCTAACGCTCACTGGAGGAGATCTCGGCGAAACTAGCGAGCATATCAAGCAGGGCTAGCTCTTCCGAGGCGTGATAAAGGCAGTCTGTCATTAGCCATGGCTAGGCTGTGTGCGAACCTATGTGGCACACGATGTCCTGGACCACTTGAGCTACGGTCTCGTCGCTGAGGAGGAACACCTCCTGCTGTGTCTGCAGCATTCTCGAGTTCCGCTTAAGCTGTCTGTTAACTTGCCGCGGAGCCTCAGCAGACTGACCAGTTCGTGTGTGGTGAACTTGGCGGTGTGCTTGGAACGGTCGATGCTGAGAAGCCCACGAGGCAGCGGCTTGCCGTCCAGTTCGCTGCGAGGGCAGCTGAACCGATATCCCGTTTCGCCCCATTCAAGCGAAACACTGACGCCGAACTCTTCCTGAGTCTGCTCTACCACTGTGAATTAGCTAAAGGCTCTTCCCCTAGCTTACACTCCTGGATATCGTCCTTGTTCTCCTTGAGAGTCTCGCGAGCAAGATCGAGAAGCTGGTTGTAAGTGTTCTTCACGGCGAACAATCTGGCATTGCGCTTCCTCTGCTGCGTCGACCCGCGGCCGGTGTCCAAAGTGACATCGTCAGCGATTGATTCTGCAGTCAGATGGTGAGTGACCGAGACCTGTACCGTTGATGATCTCTACGATCAGTCCATTGTCAGCTTGCGACAGCTGAGGTCAGTGCCGCGCGGAGCCCCAAGTATGTACCTTATCGGCCAAGACTTGCAAGAGAGAAGACGAGATCTCGCTACTGCTCAGGACGTTTGCTAGTCCTGGCAGGACTGATACAACCTTGCGAAGCTGCAACAGCCAGCCGATACGAGACTCAGTCTGATTGGGATTGATCTCCTTGCGTTCATCTTGTGAGAACTTGAACGGTCAGTGAACGCGGTTTCTAGACCGTGAGAGACTTGCGTTTGCAATAATCCGATCGAAATCGATCTACGATCAGTGAACGTTCGGGATTCACACACATTCTCAATGCTCTTGAGATGCTTGCGAATTCCACGAAGCTTGTCAGGCGCCTCGATAAGTTCTGGCTGTCAACGCTGGGCGGGGCGACGTCCTCCTCGAAGGGCGACAAGTGCATGGGAACAAGAGCTGTACCTTCCACCGCGTCGAGGCGATTCTCCACCGTCACGCGATCTGGGTTGAGTAAGCACTTCTGTGCGGGGCAATGTAGAATATCCCCACAGTTGTTCGGTTGCAAGATTGAGGCACGGAGTAGACGCTTGCCCATGGGCGTGAAGCAAGAGTCGAGGGTGGCAAATCGGTTAGTAGCCCAGTCACATGTGGCGCCAAACCCACAGTAAAGTGTATTCTGGTCCTTCATGGTGAGGTTGTTCTGCACGAGCTCCAAGTTGCGGGCAGTCTCCGAGTTGATGAACATGTGACCTTGCAAGTCAGATCCGGACCTGGCTCCGCAGCCGCAGCAGACCCACCCTTCATCGACTCGTAGACAATCCTCAAAGACTTGTCGTTGAACACGACCTTGCGCTTGCTCCCGACGAAGTGGATGAGCGCAGACGCGGCACACAGGGCATAGTACCGGTCCGACGCGGTCATGACGGTCGATGATTTGCTATCATCCTCAATCGCCAACCGCTTGATAAGATCGAGCCCTTGGCGTCAGCACCACAGACGTCATAGTTAATGAAAACTCGACGCGCGTTCAGTCGCGTACCTGCTTCAGCATTCCAATGAACACGTGCGACGGCATCGCAGCGGAGGTCGTATTCGTCTTCGATTCGCTCGATGAGTGGGGGCCGTTCCTTCCGCGTAAACGCGGAGGCACTCTGAGTATTGGAGACCTGAGTGTCCGTTACGATTACCGAGGAAGGCGGGTGGAGCAGCAGGTAATGGAGAGTGTTGCTATACGCTGGTGGCGTCAGGCACTTGTCTCTGTCCGGAGATTGGAGTACGCACCAGGTGTTTCAGCGCTCTGGTTCTGTGTCAGCTGCATGATACCAGCAAGCGCTGACCCAGAGCGGCCACAAACTCACCTGGGTCAGCGTCAACTGATAGTCAGCCCTGCAGATCAGTGGAGGTAGTGCGCTCACCCTTCCAGTGTCCAAGTTGAGTGCTGCCAGGCCGACCTCTACACCAGTACCTGAACAAATATCAGATTCCCAGCTATTACGGCATTGACCTTGCCGGGTCCCCACTCACCCTTGCTCTGGAGAACTGCGACGGCATACGACCCCCCTTCGGCGGCGGTGGAGCCCGTTGTGCTGGGACGACTCAAGGATTGACGGTAGCCGGCTGGGGTGCCGTTGGAACGCCTTCCCTGGGATCCGACCGCCGCCGCAAACGAGGCGACAGAACTGGGGCGGCGGCTGTTCCTTGAGAGGATTGCTGAGCGGTTAGGGGAGGATGTTCTGGAAACGTTCATGTTGCATTTGAAGAGAGGTAAGAGACGGATATAGAACTGGTGACCAGATCGACTACACAGGGAAGACCGCGCCGCGATGGGTGCGGGGAAGGGAGGCGGCGAGGGGCTGAGCGAGGGAGCTCGTGAAATGGGCTTTGCGGAATGTATCTTCCTGATCCGGTGATCTGGTGGTGCAAGTTCCGATGCAACGGGCTCGCTTAGATAACGACAATTGGAGTTGGTGATGGTCAGGTGGAGCACAGGTTGCAGTGAGAAGAGCAGGGCATGGTCAACGAGGGTAGTCGGTTGGATATGGTGGCGAGGAACCCGATGAACCTTGCCTTAGGCTTTGATATGAAGTCAAGTACCTGGCTGATAATGCTAAGTGTATTGGTGAATTGAACGACATCGACGTTACCATCGTGCCTGCAGCTTTCAGCCTGCCGCTGACTGCCGCCGTTCGGGCGTGCTCCTGAAGGAGCCAGCGATCTCAGTCGTGTCCCTGCATGTCCTCTAACTGTCCGCTGTGCAGCGTGACGCGATGGCTGCTTCTCTGATTCAGATGTTCAGGCTCGCAAGCTCCCGGTCTGAGACGAGGGAGAAAGGGGGGCGCAAGGGATCGGATCAGCAATGGGGTTGAAGAAGTAGGGGGAAGGTCCTTCGACAGCTCGATGGCTCCTGGTGCCGCCGGGCCCGCTGGGGCTGTCAGGAGGAGGTGCGAAGGTGAAAGGCACACGGATTACAGATCAGAGCCCATCGACTGCGCGGCTCTGCAGTTCCGAATGAAGGATCAACGTGGGACACTCTCCAACCGGTCACGATAAGGCGGAGTTGTCGAATTCGGTCTCACTCAACCCAAGTTAAGAGATAGTCAAGCCGCGTTTCCCAACGTTCCCCCGCTTCCCCCTCCAACCGACGACAACTACTAGGTCGGATAGACCAACATCATCTCCGGATTTGTAAAGATGAGCGTTGTGCTGTCCCGTCAGGTACCCACGCCCGCCGCACCATTTTCAGCCGTTCGAGGAGGCAAGTTAGGGCAAGGGCACCAAGGACTAAGAGGTTGTAGGGCAATCAAGGAATGTAATCGTCTTGCCAAGCTAGCGTGCTGCCCGCTCCGCGATGCGTGTCCGACGACGTCCACGGGCAGGTGACCAAGGTGACTCAGTGGCCCCGGACCGCGAGGACCGCTCGGTACCTTGACCTCGCAGTCTGAACTGACCGCGGACCGTGAGTGGTTCTCGGACAGCGGACAGGTTGACCAGTGCAAGGGCGCAGAAAGGTGGACGACGGAGGGGCCCACGCGATATTGACGTCACTGGATCCAAGGATGTTCCTGAGCTGCCCTGATTATGCCGTCATAGGTGTGAAACGGACTGTGTGGAGACACTTTCAGGTAGACTGGCTTGGGGTACCTGAGCCTTAGATGAAAGGCCCTGAGATCACGCAAGCATCAGACCGCAGCAGTGGTCCCACACGTCCGGACAACCTTGTTGATGCTGACTACCCAAAGGGCAAGCTGGGCAAGGGTAAAAGGGTTGGTCAGAAGGGCGAGTGAATCGAGAAGGAGTCTAGACGCGGACGACCTGGGTCCGGGCTTTGATGAACGCGTTGGGTGCGCAGCGCCGAGTTGGCTAGTACGTCCAGTCTCATTACCTCTTCAGGTCTGCTCAGGTCACGAGGTGTCAGCCAGACCAGCCAGACCTCGGACAATGCGCTACGGCCGTACTATCCCTACAACGTCGGTCTGTTGAGCGACACCCAGGCGCACGGACAGCCGATGATACGGCGGCAGCGCTCCGTCTGCTCCTAGCCTCCTTGCTGGCCGCTGCCTCACCTCGTCTTCGTCCCTGCTTCCTGACCCTCGCGCTTCTTGCGGCCGTGGGCCGTGAGCTCCCCGCCTGCAGCCTGGCGTGAATCGCCGTGAATGGAGAACGGATGGAGAGCCAGTGACTTGCAGACATCCCGACCGCGCGCTCGCACCGGCCAGCGCGACCTGCATGGCCTGCGACCGCTCTTAGCTCCTGACACGGCCTGCCTGACAAGACCCATCCTGCATACCAGTGACTTACCTCTGCGGTCAGCGGCGCTGAGCACTTGACTACCGAGCTTTCCGGCCAGCCTCGCTACCGTCCGCAACCACTGCTCCACCCTCATCCATCTCCACATTCCCTCTTCCTTTATCTCGTTCGTTTTCTGTGTGTTCTATCTCCACAACATACCATCTCTACGCTCCTTGTCGGTCTCTTGCCCCGCTTCCACGAACGCCACCTACGCCTATCTGTGGATCCACGAGCATCGACTCCAGGTGTTTCCCTTACGATCTCGATCCCGGGAATTCAAATACGGTCCGAAGCCTCCAAGCCTCACCCGGTGACTGGTGCGGCCTTCGAGCGGACTTTGACTAGGCGCTGTTCCGGCATCTCCATGCCAGCAAACTGGGCCTGATCGTAGCAAAAACCCAGTCTCCATAGCTGTCCCATCGTCAACCCGGAGTCTCGTCCGATACCCGTTGTCTGCGATCTCCCCTTTCCTCACTGGACCAACAACACCTCTTAATCCCTCGTCTGTGCCAGGCCGACTGTTATCCCGATTGTCGCCACCCTACCGTCTACACTTGTTTGTACGACTCTTGAACGTTCGACGTCCTGTGAAGTCATTTAGTTATATCGCTACTCGAAAAACCACGGACCACCATGACACAGTCGCTCGCGCCGAGCCCGGCATCGCCGCTCAGCCCCGACACCGCGTAAGTGCCTCGTCACACCCACTTCCAACAAAATCATTCTGACTATCCATAGCATCAACAAGGCATCGTCCCCCGAGAAAGCCAAGCTGCTCTCTGAGGTGAGTGTACTCGAGATGTGCAAGGCGCTTGTCAATTGTCGCACCTGTGTGGTGGTCGCACTTGGCGCGATCTCGTGACTTTAAACGCCGAGGGGCGTTCTGGTGCCGATGAGAACAAGCCATGCTAACTTGAATAGCCGCGACGTGCACCTCGTTCCCCTCGTTCTCCCACCACTGCATCCGACTCTTCGCCCATGTCCCGCAGCCATCCGCACCCATTGTCCCAACCTCCGATAAACGCATCTGGACCACAGACACCCGGAACGACTACTCCTGCAGCGCTGCCTTCACCTCTCCCCGTCCAACCCCTCGTCAAATCGCAAAGCGACGCTCCCAAGGACCGTGGACTTCCCAGGCGCCGTTCGTCGTTCCCGCCGGGCGTAGGATGCTCGGTCACCGGGGCCGGTTCTCCTACTTCCAACGGCGACGGAGCTGCAGCCCAGGCGTTCCCCTGGGTTGTCGGAGGTACCCCGTCCGGGCAATCGTTCAACTCGCTCATGTCTCGCGATCAAATGTCCGAATACGGCAACAACCTCGAGACTTCCAAAGGCAACAGCCCGTGGGATGGATCTCTGAAGCTGGATGAGGCCAAGACTACGCCTTCGAAAGAGTCGCAAGTCACTCCCTCCCCAGCTTCCAAAGGTGTGTCGAATGTCGAGGGCACTAGCCTGACAAACGCAGTCAACCTGTCCCTGTCATCAAAGGCAATGTTGCGAACGCCCTCTATGGAGAGGACGGCATCCGGGTCGGAACACGGATGGAGGGTGCTGCTCAACCGCAACCTCGACGTTGAAGGCATGGGAAGCATCGGTGTGGCCAGGCTGATGTCTGAGGTTTGGAAGCGGGGAGGACCGGAAGCTGTAAGTGTGCTATTTCTAGCCAAACCGAGAGCCGCATGCTAACATCCCGCCAGGTATCCAGCCAGAACCTCTGGCCGAGCGTTGTCATGTCGTTGACATTGTCGCCCGAACACGGATCTAGCATCAGACAGACTGCATCCAATGCAGACGCTGCGTCGGCATTGCAGAAGGCGTACGAAACGAACATCCGCCATCAGGAGTCCCTGGTATTTGCCGGCTTCTTAGCGAACTATCTGGCCACTACGGCGCCACCGGCTGTTAACGCCTTCCAGGGTACTAAGGTCTACGGAGAGTCTACGCCGACTATGGAGATCGACTTGTCACAGTGGACCACCTTCACTCCTGGTGAGGAATGGCCGTCACTGTCAACGACGTTACCTTCGGGTCCGGGACTCACGCCACGACGTGAAATCACACCGAATCTGGGCCTTCCGCCAATCGATCTGTCTGAAAATCTTGAAACCATGTCCCGGTCCAACTCTAGAGGAGGAATGGATGGCGCCGGTGGCTTGAACGAAATCCTAGCCCAGATCGAGGAGAACAACACGCAACGAGAAACTCAAAGCGATATGTTCGAGTCCATTGGTGGAGACTGGGGAAGGACCAGCAACATCTCGAGCACAGCGCAGAGCAGTTTGCAGCTGGGCACTCCTGAGACAAACATCGTGGAACTCGACAAGGCTCCGCCATCAACAGGACCGAAGAGCGTGTTCCTCGACGAATCGTCCAGCTCGAACTCGCCGGTCGACCAGGCGATCGGATCGTCGCTGAATGTTTCCCCGCATGTTTCTTCTGGATCGCTGCTCTCAGCTTCGACTGTCAGCTCGAATCTACCTGTCGCTCCGCAGCAGCAGTACTCTCAACAAACGATGATGCAGCAGCAAGCGCAGATTCAACCCGGTTCGAGGCAAGCCCAACTCCAGCCGCAGCCTCAACCTCAGCAGATCAACCAGCAACAGGCGCAGCACATGCAGCAGCCGCAGGCTATCGCTCCTCGGCCTTCTAGCGCGCGAAGAGCACCGCCGCCATCACAGATCGCTCTGGCGCCGGTACCATTCATCCCGCCCCCACCCATGTGCATGTTCTTCACTCCTGCGTTCCGGGATCTGCAGAAGGGCAAGGTCGGAGTATGGAAGGGCGACCTGGAGATTCGCGGCCGCGGAGGTGGCAAGTTCAACGTGCTCATCGTCGGTGAGGAGGGCTCAGACCATCTCTGGTGAGTTAGCCACGCAGGACTGATGACTGACTTTCCAGGCAATCCCACACTTGGTCCGACTCGCTCGTGTACCCTCCCCAGCCAACACTCACGGAGAGCTGCACGGCGACGATGATTCCGGTCTCGACGCTGGCTCGCGAGGGCTTGCTTCCTGTGACGATGGGCATGGTGCTCTGCAATGACGAGAACATCGCGCCCTTCGTGCAGATGGTGCAGGGCCTGCACGCAGAGGGCGTCGCGTTCCACCTTCCACTCCCCGGATCTGGACTGCCCATCGTCTTCCTGCCCGCAAAGTTCGACGCCACGGACCAGCTGCAGCGCCTCGGCGTCGCCTTCATGGCGAAGGGCGGTATTGCGCCGATTCCACCCCGCCCGTCGTTCAGCAGCGAAGAGAAGGCGAAGAGTCCCGTGTCACCGCCGAAGAAGCGGCGCAAATCGAACTCGGTCGGTCAGACACGCACGTCGGCGCGCCGAAAACAGACCTAATAAGCGCTCTGTCTCTTCCTCTGGATGTTTGGCTCTAATCTTGGTTAATATCGACTGTTCTGTCAAAACGCCCAATCATCATTTTCCTAGTTATCTCAACAACAATCATGTAGCACCATTTCTGAACGTAGCACATACGGGCGATGTAACACGTACGAAACATGCATAGACCATGGAACGGCTGGGGAAGCGAGCGCAACGAGCGTCCCCGCAGGACAAGTTTCCGATGTTCTGCGCAATGCATGCATTAGCTCATTCGCAATGCAGTAGAGAAGTCGCAAAATATGAACCCGCTGAGAACGACATTCATTCACTGACTACGACATAGGCTCGACTATTGCGAGGCGACGCCACAGGCTATAACGCCGTGGGAAAAGGTCCCGCTTTCTCGGATCGCTCTCGCGCGCCCGTCATGATCGCCGGGAGCCGTGGCCGGGCAGCGACGAGCGAGCACGAGGCCTGACGTTGTTGCTAGCTCAGTACTCCGTCCCCAACCCTCCCTCACCCACCACTCAGCCAAAATGCCTGCCGTCGAGGAGCTCATCGTCGGAACTGGCCCGGTCTACCCCGGCCGCGACCGCCTCGGCAACAAGGTAAGTTGCAACCTGCGCTTCGGAGTTTTCGGGATGCTCGGCCGTCTCCCTCCCCCTCCCAGCTCGCCATTCCTCGAGAACGATTTCGGTCACACGGACAGGTTGTGGCTTCGATCGCGGTCTGAGGTTGCGTCGACGGCCTCGGCGGGCCCTCTGCTATCTGAGAGGGAGATGAAGTGGTGCTGTGCAGCGCGCGTCGTGCATAATGAAGCTCCCAAGAGCTCGCGACAAGAAACGAGAACGCGGAACGAAGCCACACCGAACTCATGCTTCCCAACGCGGCTGTAGCTAACCCCAGCTCCCCATCTACTCGTCGCCCGATGACGAGCGCGTCGTCACCCTCGTCGTCACGCCGAACCCGCTTACCGAGTACATTACGACCGGCCGCGAGGCCGCGCAGGGCGTCCTCGGCGAGGCGCGCGAGACGATCCAGAAGGGCGTCCAGAGCTGGGTTGGATTTGAGAGGAACGTTGAGCGTGAGTAGGACGAAAGAAGGCGCTGGAGGCGAAGCGGATCGCAGGCTGGAGCTGGAGATCAATAGCTGCAGGCAGGGGAGGACTGAGCCGGCTCCGCAGCGAACGTCGGCCGCTCCGGGGGGAGTCAATCTCAATGATACTCTGCTCCCTGCAACCGGCGCATCAGGCTGTCGCGTTCCGGTCCTGCTCTTAGAGCCCACGGCGATCGACTCGGAGCTCCAGCGTCTAGCTCTTTACTTTCGGAATGGCTAACCCTCAGGCGAGGTCAAGCAGATTGTTGACCCTACCGAGCCCCTCACGCCCGGCATCATCTACGTTCTCGTTGCCGGCCTTACCGGCTCCGTTCTTACCCGCACTCGCTCTTTCCCCGTTCGCTTCCTCGCCCCGCCGCTGTTCACGCTCGCCGCGATGCCGTACTTCCTCCCGAAGACCTCGCACAACATCCGCGCCTACCTCTCGGACGTCGAGGACCGGGTCGCGCCCGAGTTTGCGGCCAAGCACGACCACTTCAACTCGATGATGAACATGCACTACCACATGGCGCTCGACAAGCTGCGCGGAGCCAGCAGCGACGTTGACGGCTGGGCGCAGCGCGCCCGCCAGGGAGTCCAGGACGCTACTGGCCTGAACGTCGGTTCGGGGTCGGCGACGAGCCAGGCGAAGCAGTGGGCGCAGCAGGCGCGCGACAACGCCGAGGGCTGGAAGGCGCGCTCGCAGGAGGAGCTGCGCCACGCCGCCGACGTCGCGCAGGCCAAGCTCGCCGACGCCAAGGCCGCCGTCCAGGACAAGGTCGCGGACCTCCGCCCCTCCTCGACGCCTGTTGACAACTACGCCTCCTCGACGTCCGACAAGCGCGCCACCGGCGCTAACGCCGCCGCGGGCTCCAAGCCGGCCGAGCAGGCCCAGGCCCCGACGCAGGAGTACGCCACGGTCGCGACTGTCGTTGAGCAGAAGCCCGTCGCCCAGATCGTCGTCCCCGTCGAGTCGGCGCAGGGCGTCGAGCCCGCCACCGTCGTCGTTGAGGACACCAAGACGGTCGTCGTCTCCGCCCCCCGCGACGTCGTCGACAAGCAGAAGTCCCGCGACGTCGTCGCCCCGCCCCAGCCGAAGAGCGAGGACAGCGGAAAGCGCCTCGTCTAAGTGCTCCCCCTGGTTGGGTGCAGATTAGATAACAAAACTCAATGCATTAGATTATAGCTGACAGAGCGGTGGTTGGTCGTGTTGCTATTATTGACGAGATCGACGCCACTGCTGGCGACTGAGAAGCATTCAGAATGGAGCTGAACGTCAGCTAGCATTGCGGCAAACGAAGCTTACGGAAGGCTGCAGAGGAAGCACTGAAGGCAGCTACAGATTGAGCGACGCAGCTTGCAGTACACAGCTTGTCACTCGCTACAGAGGCTTGCCCGCCTTGCAGCGTACGAGCGCGTTCTGATCGTCAGCTAGGATTGCCGGCAAGAAGCTCACGCTGTGGGAGAACAGGGGCATGAGTCAGACCACTAGCGTGCAGCGTGATCTGGGCGTCAGCTTGAGGAGAATCGGTCAAGCTCACCCGGCCTTCCATCTCATCGCTGCAGGTCAGCTCTGTAACGGGCTTCACAGCTTACGGTGCGGAGCAGCCAAACTTCACCACTGCCCGTTAGCTCGGGTGAAGGTAGAGCAGCGGAAACTGTACGTGGTGCGATCGGTCCTGGTAGCTGCATGTCAGCTACTTGACGGCACATGAGCTCACCGGTACGTCGAGCGGGAGCTGCAGGTCAGCTAAAAGTCGGGGCATGGTAGCTCACACATTGCCCCTCCAAGTCCAGACAGATAACCCAACCAGTTCAGTTCCGTTCACGCGGCGAGCTCGTTCTGCCGTTAGCTTCGATCCGAATGACAGCTTGCTTCACTGCAAATCAGACGACGGGGATAGACGCGCCCACTGGTCGTTAGCTTCTGTTTACATTTGGCAGCTTACGTGCTTTTCGGTGATCTGTGACATCTGTGGCACTGACGCCACGCGAACACCGGGACTGCGAGTCAGCTACAGAGCCCTCCTGTGAGCTCACGAAATCCTGATGACAGCTGATGGAAGCGACTGTATGATCATTCGTGTGCGACAGTAGGTGAGAGGCTGCAGGTCAGCTGCGGTAACGTCCAACGAGCTGATTTGCAGGTTGTCGTCTGGCATCAGCTAGAGCTTCGACCGAACGCAAAGCTTTACACCTGCAGCCAAACGTACTCTGAACATCGGCTCCTGCCAAAGCCCACCAAGCTCTCGCATTCTTAGTCTTTGGCTGGTGGTCAGCTCTCACAATCGTCTGGAAGCTCACGGTACTTGACGTGCCGACATCGGTGGCGGGGACAGTATCCTTTGGAGCAGCAAAGTGGCCACACCAGTGGGGCCCGCGAGTCAACTGGCCTTGCGTCAGAAAAGTTCGTGATGACCTGCTCGTCAGCTTAACGCGCGCCACCAGCAAAGCTCACCGTAGCCGCAACCTTCACGTGTTGCGAGTGCACCGCAGTTGCAACAAGGCGGGTACGTTTATGGTGGGCATCGTGCCGTCCCTTTGCAGGAAGAAAGGAATTCGCGACGCGAGTAAGAGAGGAAGTTGAACCTCTTCGTATGTCTGCTGCAAAGGTCGAGATGGCCGGGCAGGAATGCACAGTTTGAGCACAGCTGTTCCGTTTGCTCTTGTCTCCTGGGAAGAGAACTTGCGAGCGTGCAGCGAGATTTTAACTTCATCGTTTGCGAATCCTTGCGTTGTAAAATACATGCATGTCCTCTCTATCAGCCGTTGTGCGGTGGCAGCAGTGGACGTCTGGATATCAGATGGCGAGTCTCTGGACAGCTTACCAGTCAACTACGGCGGTAGGATGTGACAACCGAGCAGTCCGCGTCCAGACCACTGTCGCGGCGTCAGGCGGAGCGCCTTGCGTTCAGTTCCCCGCTGAATGAGAAGCGTAAGCGGTGCCTGCTGTCAGTTTCGCGGACGGCGCATTAACTTACTCCCTCGCTACGCTGCACGAGCGGACCGATGGCGGCCATGGCCGTTGGCGCCTGGATGCCAGCGAAGGTGTAGATGAGGTCGCCCGGCTGAAGACCCTGCGCTGTTAGCTTAAACGCACTTTCGAAGCTTCGACCTCGAATGCTTGACAGCCAAGCATCTGAGGGGCAAGCTCATGCACGAGCTGCTGCACCGCAAGCAAGCACGAGAAGGTGTACCACTTCGACCCGAAAACGCGCTACGGTACGAAGGGAATGGTGGAGTTGAGGATAGTTCACTCACAGCATCAGCGGCTGGACTTCCTCCAGCAACAGTGTTGACCTTAGCGAGCGGGCGCTCAGGCCAGGTATCAGGCAGTTCGAAGCCGTTCGCACCTGCTGCGCTGGAGGCACCGTTGCTACGCCCGTTGGTTGCAGATGACGATCCGTTTGATGTTCCGTTCGGCAGGGGCTCAGTAGATGACTCCAAGGGCCCTCCACCGGAAGAGAAGGCGCCCTCGAGCGCCGACGCCAGCCGCCGTACAACCTCAGCGCGGTCATTCCTCAGTCGGGCCAGGGCGGCACGGGCATGTCGGATAGAGTACTACTGTCAGCTAAGGACGCAGCACAAAGCTTGGCTGATGGCGAGTACAAGCTGTCTTCCTCATGTTGTTGGGCTCTTCGACGTTCGTGCCTTCCCTCACTCGTGTCCCAGCACGCGGAGCGCGGGGTGGAGCTTTCTTGGAGTCGAACACTCACCACGTCGATGTCGCCGCGTGGGTATCCTTCTGGGTCGACAAGGGGAGTGCTGGCGTTTGCGTTGTGCTGTTGTCAGCTGGGGATATGCTTAAACGAGCTTACAGAAGCGAGGACGTCGTTGAGTGCGTCGATCTCCTTCTCGATATCGTCTTTGCGCTGCATGAGAGCGCGAGCATACTCCCTCGGCTCGCCGGGGTACGCCTCCGGGTCTGGGAGCGGCAGCTGGACGTCCTGGTAAGGTTCGGGAATGGACATGACGCCGGTGGTGGAATGGTGTGATGCTCAGAAAGTGAGGGCTGGTCGCAAGGCTGATACCGTTATCGATGACGAAAGTGTGCCGCCGCTGGCCGCCCTGGTTGTGCGAGTGTGGGGGTCCGGCTTCGATTTGGGAATTCACCGGAAACCGGTACGTGCTTGGTTGCTCACTCGTTATTTTGGCGTCTGACCGACCAACGACATTCGTCAAGCCGCCGCCTGCACGCCGCTGCATGATCACTTTGCTTCGGACGACCCGGACTCGCTCTCTTCTGCTCCATCGCTCTATCCGGACGTATAACACCACCGTCATGTCTTCGTCGCTCCCGTTCACAAAGTACAAGAAGGAGGCCGAGGTCGCCATCCTCTCCGTCCTCCGCGGATGTGGGCTGTGAGTTGTCTTGCCTGGCTACAACTGACGTTCAGCACGAAGCAGGTTCAGGACACGCTGGTGACGCAGGACACGGTCATCAAGAAGGACAAGTCGCCCGTGACCGTCGCCGACCTCTCCGCGCAGGCGCTCATCTCGCTGCACCTCATTCCCGCCTTCCCCAAGGACGAGATTATCGGCGAGGAGGACACGTCCGAGCTGCGCCGCAACGATGCTCTCTGTGACAAGGTCGTCTCTCTTGTTAACGAGGGCTTCACTCGTGTCTCTGGCCCTATGCAGAACGACACCTTCTCCAAGGACCAGATCCTCGACGCGATCGACAAGGGCTCCGCGGCTGGTGGACCCAAGGGCCGTTTCTGGACTATCGTAAGCTACTTGTCGCTTATAGAGCTGACACCGCAGGACCCGGTCGACGGAACCTCGGGCTTCATCCGTCACCAGCAGTACGCTGTCTGCCTTGCGCTCATTGTCGACGGCGAGGTCGAGCTTGGCGTGATCGGGTGCCCGAACCTCGGCCCGGAGCCGGCCAAGATCGGCGAGGAGGTCGTGCCGAACGGCAAGGGCGTGCTCATGGTCGCGGTGCGCGGCGAGGGCTCCTACTCCCGCCCCCTGACTGAGGACAAGTACACGCGCCTGACGCTGCCGCCGATGCCGCCGGCAGACAACCCGCTCACGTTCCTCGAGTCGGTTGAGGCCGGCCACTCGGCCCACGGCATCCAGAAGCGTATCGGTGAGCTTCTCGGCGTCCAGCGCCCGTCACTCCGCATGGACTCCCAAGCCAAGTACGCCTGCCTTGCGCGCGGCGAGGGCGGCGTCTACCTCCGCATTCCGACCAAGTACTCTGGCGGAAAGGAGTACCAGGAGAAGGTCTGGGACCACGCCTCCGGCGCCCTGCTCATTGCCGAGTCTGGCGGTGTCTGCTCCGACATGCGCGGAAAGCCCCTCGACTTCACCCAGGGACGCACGCTCAAGGCCAACGAGGGCATCGTCGCGGCCGGAAAGGAGATGCACGAGAAGGCCGTCAAGGCTGTCCAGGAGGCTGTCGGCGAGGCTGGCTACAAGCTCTAAAATCATATTATACATGTAGAAGAACCAGATATGCAAATGCTAGATTAGATCATGCGGCGACAAGCCCAGCGTCATCGATCACGAACGTCCACCGCGCACCTCGCGGCGTGCCCGCTTCACCTCCACCGCCCGGTATCCGGAGCACGCCGATGTACTCCTGCGTTTGGCCCAAGTGTCGAGCGCGTAGCGCCTCGACCGCGGTCGTTTCCGCGGGGAACTGGAGCGACCTCTTCCTCCCCAGCAACGTCAGCTGGAACGTGATGCCCCACCGTTGCCCGTCAAAGACAGAAGGATACGGAGCAGGCAAGTGCGGCTTGAAGGTATCCGAGCTCGGGTCGGGCTGGCATCAGCTCGCAAGCACAGGAGAACTAGCTCACCTTCAGTCCCTGTACCGTCACGACGACCACGGCGCCGACCGTCTGCCGGAGATGCGTGAGAGCGTCCCAGGCGTCGCGCATCGTGTTCCCCGCCCTTCGCTCCTCGTGCTCCCACCTCTCCACCCAGTACCCGTCCCCGAACCCATCACACACGACCATCTCGAGGTCCTTTTTGGTCGCAATCTTGCGGAGGGCGACGGCCCAGGACGTCCATCGCGGCTGAGGCTTCACAACAGTCAGGTTGGCGAGCGCAGCGTCAATGACGATGTCAACGTCCGCGGCCGTGTGCGGAACCTGCTGGAGGCAGTCCTCGATATGCCGCTGCATAGCGCGCCGCAAAGCGGGACGCACGGAAGCATGTGACGGCGGGGACAGGATTGCTGCCTTCTTCCCTCTCCCGTCGATCGTGACCTCCACACCACCCACTGTCATCGTTGCTGGCAACAGCGTCGTCATGAGGAGGAACACGCAGAGCGCCGTCTTCCCCGACCCACTGGGCCCGATGACCTCGACCAGGTCGCCGCGCTGCAGCGTGGACCCTCCGGGGTGTGGGCGGCTCGCAACGAGCACCTCGTCAAGCGACTGAATGAAGGTAGGACCTGGCGGCGAGTCTGGCGTCAGCTGCCCGGCATCATTCGCCGCTCACTGATGTATCGCGACGCGAGCAGCAGCTGAGGTTAGCTGCCAGGCAAAGTTCAGAGCTCACCTCGGACGCGGTACCGCTGCCTATCTCGGCAAGCATGGATTGGGTAGTGACCATGGCCGTAGCATGAGGAGTGTATGCGTGAGAGGGTGATGCAAATAGTGAGTGATGTCACGAAGTCCAGAAGCACGATAAGATCGACTAAGCCGATCAGAATAGGGTCGATTGTGGCACGCCAAGTGGCTTCCAGCCCCTCTTCACTCAAAACTCATCTTTCACTATGTCTTACTTTCTCGTTGATCAGTCAGAGCTCTGTGCAACATGCAACTGCAACCGGATTGTCAAATTTCCCAATGGCTATGTCATCCACATCCCATGTGCATCTGCTACAGGATCCTACAAGGGCACGATACCTAATATCCTACAAGAGGGCAGCTGCTTAACGCGACTGGAAGCCCTTCTGGACAGCGCGCTTGATGCCGAGCTGGGCGCGCTTGAGCTGGTCGGTGGTGGCGTCCTCGTTCTCGAGGACCTCGAGGGCCTTGGCGATCTCGGCCTCGATGGCGGACTTGGCACCACGACGGAGCTTGGAGGCGAGCTCGGGGGAGGTGATCTGGCCCTCAACGGAGTGGAGCTGAGCCTCAAGGTCCTGGCGGGCCTCGTGGCGGGCAGAGAAGTCCTTGTCGGCGTTGCGGTAGGTCTCAGCGTCCTTGATCATGTTCTGGATCTCGTCGGCAGAGAGACGGCCAACCGAGTTCTGGATGGTGATCTGGGCGGTCTTGCCAGAGGTCTTGTCCTTGGCCGAAACCTTAAGGAGACCGTTGGCGTCAACCTCGAAGGTACAGAGGAGCTCGGCCTGGCCACGGGGCATCGGGGGGATGCCAGAGAGCTCGAACTCGCCGAGGAGACGGTTGTCCTTGCACTGGGTGCGCTCACCCTCGTAGACGGGGAAAGTGACAGTGGTCTGGTTGTCCTCAACGGTGGTGAAGACACGCGACTTGGAGGTGGGGATGGGGGAGTTGCGGGGAACGACAACACCGAAGATGTCACCCTGAGTAAGTTAGCAAGCTAGCAATGCACGAGTCTCATACCTGCATGGCAACACCGAGCGAGAGGGGGGAAACGTCGAGGAGGAGGAGGTCGGCAGTCTTGTCCGAGGTCTGGTTGGTGAGGACGGCACCCTGGACGGCGGCACCGTAGGCGACGGCCTCGTCGGGGTTGATCGACTTGTTGAGGGCACGGCCGTCGAAGAGCTCGGAAACGAGCGACTGGATCTTGGGGATACGGGTAGAGCCACCAACAAGGACGATGTCGTCGACCTTGGCGGCGGGGATCTTCGAGTCCTTGAGGACCTTCTCGACGGGCTCGATGGTCGACTTGAAGGCGGCGGCGTTGATCTCCTCGAAACGGGCACGGGTGATGTTGGCGGAGAAGTCAATGCCGTTGTAGAGGGAGTCAACCTCGACGGTGGTCTGGGTGACGGAAGAGAGGGTACGCTTAGCACGCTCACAGGCCGAACGGAGACGACGGAGGGCACGGGCGTCGTCCGAGATGTCGGCCTTGTTCTTGCGCTGGAACTCGGCCTTGAAGTGCTCAAGGAGGGTGTTGTCGAAGTCCTCACCACCGAGGTGGGTGTCACCAGCAGTGGCCTTGACGGCGAAGACACCGCCGGTGATGGAAAGGAGCGAAACATCGAAGGTACCACCTCCGAGGTCGAAGATGAGGACGTTCTTCTCCTCCTTGGACTGGGAGTCGAGACCGTAAGCAATAGCAGCGGCGGTGGGCTCGTTGATGATACGGAGAACGTCGAGGCCAGCAATGGCACCGGCGTCCTTGGTGGCAAGACGCTGGGAGTCGTTGAAGTAGGCGGGGACGCTGAGTGGCGTTAGTCGTGGAAAAAGTGGAGGAGTGTGGCGCCTCAATTACTCACGTGACGACAGCCTTCTTAACCTCCTTGCCGATCTTGGCCTCGGCAATCTCCTTCATCTTGGTGAGGACCATGGAAGAGATCTCCTGGGGGGAGAAGGTCTTCTTCTCACCGAGGTACTCGACCTCAACGAAGGGGGAGCCGTCCTTGTCGATAACGGCGAAGGGCCAGTGCTGAACAGTCAGTGTCCGCAAAATTTACTATCCAGTTTCTACACACCTTCATGTCCTTCTTAACGTCAGCGTCGTCGAAGCGACGGCCGATAAGACGCTTAGCGTCGAAGACGGTGTTGCGAGGGTTCATGGCCGACTGGTTCTTGGCGGCTGAAATATTAGCTCCAAATTCCTCACAACAAGACCGATTCGCTCAATCAACTCACCGTCACCAATGAGACGCTCGCCGTCGGTGAAGGCAACGTACGAAGGGGTGGTACGGTTACCCTGGTCTGTAGAATGTTAGTTCATAGTTCCCGAAGTCCGAGGTTCAAGAAAATATTCACCGTTGGCGATGATCTGTTCCGACGTCAGTGACCGTTCCTGTCTAATGTTTGCACGCCGATCTACTCACCTCAACACGGTCGTTGGCCCAGACACCAACACACGAGTAGGTGGTACCAAGGTCTGCATAGGGTCAGCAAATCTTCCCGAAGATGTCGATCCGTCCCAGGTCCCGAACTGCAAGTCGAGAACTACCGGGTTCCGGCTGCGTACGCACCAATGCCGATGGCACCCTCGAAAACGTCTTCGGCGGACATGATTGCTATTTTTTGGTGGCTGCGGTCGGTGTGAGCGAAGGAGTCAAGAAAGTCGAGCAAGCAACGCACCTAAGTACTGCCTTTTAGGATGGGGAGGGGAGAGGAGATTGGAAAGGCAAACTAGATGCACGACGTGAGTGGTCGTCCAGGTCTCGGCGGGGCTACGGGCGCCCAACCAGAGAATTGTGCAATTTTCCAGGCGGTGAAGCCCTCGACCCGCAAATTTGTGCCGAAAGTCCGCCCGCATGTGGCACTAAACCACTTTCACCATGTGGCCGCAAAATTCTGTTATCGATAATCCCCAGGCACGGGTTATCATCTGCCGTTTCTCGCACTTGGCGTCTTTTAGAGTGTCTCAGTAGACAACAGCGATCATCGCCCAGCCCAGCCCACTGCGCCCAGGCCTCGTCCCCGCGGCGTTCTTTGCGGGCCTGCGGCCTCTCCGGCTATGACGGGCTGGGCGTCTTCGGCATATCGGCAGAGCGTTGAGCGCTGAACCGATCCGATCGGCGCTGTGTCGGTGCGGACCTGGGGCGTGGGTCGATAGTAGCGAAAGAGACAATGGATGACTATTCTGGCTCTCGTATCTCTTCCAACCGAACATCACATCAGAACAATGGGTCTCTGTTGCATTCGCCTCCAAGCGCTCTGCAATGGTCCTGTGAAGGCCACGACGTACTGAGAGCGCGGTTCTCAGCTTTCGAGCCGTTCTGTGTCAGGAAGCCCACTAGCTCATTTGCGTCAGTTCCAGCAACTGTCCTTCTTCCTGCTCAGCCTCCCTCGCGATCGGTAGCTGCATTTCACGTCATGCTTGAGGTGACCCGTTGCCCTTTGAAGCTTCTGCGCCTGGGTCATAAAGGATGCAGCAGGTGACTCGCGAACCTCGAGGTTCGGCTGTCCCCCGACCTTCTATTTCTTCTTTTGCGCGCGCCTACGCTCTGTCATCCTGGCGAATGCTGCGCAGTGGAAAACAATCCAGTTATGTTAGCCCGTTGCATCACATCCGTCTCGTCGCCATGTCGCGTCAGCTAGCTCTCTCTACTAAAGTCTCAGTCAAAGGTGCGCGATGTCGTTGCGTGTGAGATCCACGATACGTACTGCACTAGCACACCGCACCTTCCTCCAAGGCGGTCTGGCGACGTGGTTCGCTGGTGAGCCGCTGATCAGCTATGCGGGTGGCAAATCAAACTATCCTAATGGAGAATTTAATAGCGGAAACAAATCACTAGTAAGTAATCACCCCTTCCCCTATTGTAGAATATGCCGCGCCAGATGACGCTACCCCGCAACTGCGGAGATCAGATGACGAACGTTGGCTCTCTTGACAACAACAACTCTGTGACCCCACCCTCCACCGCACGCGGCACCTCCGACGATGGCGAAGATTGTGCCGCCGATGAACTTCGGCCTCGTCGAGGACGGTGAGTTTCCATTTGTGGTCCGTTCAGCTGACAACAGCAGGCTTCTACCGCTCGGCGCAGCCGACCGAGCTCAACTTCTCCTTCCTCGAGAAGCTCAACCTGCGCACCGTGATTTGGGTCGGTGCTGAGGAGCCGAGTGACATCTTGTGAGCTCGACGACCCCCCTTGAGCTAACGGCAGTGTATCCTTCCTCGAGTCGCAGGGCATCACGCTGCATAACCTCGCGCCGCAAGTCAGCTTGAATCCCCACTTTCCGCCGCCGTACTGCGATGCAGGCGTCGTGCCGCTCAGCGGACAGTGTAAGCTACCCAATCTGCGTTCCAGCTAACGAGTCTCAGATCACCTTCCCCCACTACCGCCGCCCGCGGAGCCGCTGATCATCCGCGCACGACACTGTCTCTAACGAGTCTCTAGCATGGTACCGGATATGCAGTAATTGTACAAGTATTACAGATCAGAACGTGACGACCTTGGCCTTCTTCTTAGGCGCGGCGGCGACGGGAGCAGCAACAGGAGCCGGGGCGTAGGCGCCCTCCTCGCCGGGCTGCTTCGCGGGTCCGCGCATGCCGTTCTTGGCGGGCTCGTGCTTCGGCCTCGAGTAGGGCTTCTTCTGCGCCGCCTTCTCGGCCTTCTCCCTCCGCTGCTCGCGGTGCTGGATGCGGCGCTCGACCATGAAGTCGTCCTCGTCCGCTCCGGCGTTGGCACCAGTGCCGACAGCAAGGTTGCCCCGCATCGCTCCGGGCTCGGGCTTCGGCCGCTTGTCGTCGGGACAGTCGTTGGCGCGGTGCTTGACGGATCCGCAAACCTTGCACGCGCCGCCGTTGACGTAAACGCCGCGCGGGTTTTGCGGGCACGCACCGGAGAGATGCCCAGTGCCGAGACAGACGAAACAGGTGGCGAATGGCGTGGGGTTCTCCGGGTCCATGGGCTTGGGACAGCGCGAGAGCGAGTGCTTGTCCGAGTTGCATCTGGGTGTCAGCTGTTCGCGTCCGCATGGTAGCTGCGAAGTCCTAGCGAGCAAGATGACCTTCTTCAAGGCTAGAGACTGGGTCGACTCACCGGTAGCACTTCCCGCCAACGACGTCTCCACCCTTTGCCTTCTTGTCCCTCTTGCCAGACTTGACCTTGCCCTCGCCCTCGAGCAACTCGGCCTGGCGCTTCGCCATCTCGTCCGCCTCGAGCAGCGCCGCGCTCCCATTGGCACCAGAGGCCGCGAGGAGGATGTTCGGGCAGTCGCGGGCCGCATGTCCAATACCACGGCACGCGAAGCAGGTTGTCTGGTTTGTGCGCAGATCCGCACGCTTCTGGCGACGCTCCTCGGAGCGCTCAGCTGCGTTGCGCGCGCGTTCTGTTATCAGCTTGCGCCAGAGGCATCGAACAGCTGCCTCGTCCTTCCGCCCTCGATTCTGTCCACTTTTTTCATATGAAGTAGAGGAATTTTCACGATTGAAATGACTCGAGATGAAGCAAGAGGTCAGAGTTCACTCACTGGCAATGTCCGGATCCCGTCCCCATCCCTTCCTCTTCCCCTTCGACGGCCCCGCCTCGTTGTCCTGCTGCCGGGGCTCGTCCGTGGCCGCCTCCCGCTCCTCAGCCGCAGAAGCGACAAAGCGCTTCTTCGGCATGCCAATGTTGGTGAATCGCGCCATGCTGCTTCAGTCGATTATGTCAGTGGACTGGAGGTTAGCAATGATGTCAACAATTTTCTGGAGCCCGTCCTTCCTCCATCGGCGGTGGGTGGTTCGAAATCTGGAGAGGTGGAGGTCAAGAGTGGCGAGTCACGTGATGACCGCTTCATGTCCTCAGAACGCGCGACGCGCGTGGTTTCTTGGGCCATTGAGGTACCAGGCACGGACTGCAGATGATGTAAGGTTTACAGTGCTGGTCAAGTTGGGTCGTTACGACGGATGCTTGCGTCAGACGCATGTTGCGGTATGCGCGGATACGGGTGCTGCGACCGACAAAATGAAAGGAAGCACGTAGAGTTGGCACCGGGAAGACTACTTGTCCACTTTGCAGTGGACGTCGACGCGAGCGACAACAGAACCCACAGCGGGCAGCTTGACGGACTGCCAAGGGACAAAGGAAGACGCTAAGTATCCTAGCAACGAGACGGACACTTTGCCCTCTACTGCTCCTGATGGTGGCACCGGTGTTCGGGCCGGAAATCGTCCTTGCCTGCATTCATGCATGTGCAGCCAGCTTCAGCTTCAGCGGAGCGCCTTTACAGGCCCGCTGGCCCTTTTCCTAACCTGACGAGTGAGTTCAGCCAGCCTGGTGCCACGTTCCAGGGTGCCAAGTCTTCATCGAAGACCTCGAGCTTCGGATAAGCCTAGCCAAGGTTGTTAGTCTCCTCGACATCTCGCCCGTGATAGCCCGCTTGTTGCTGCGATGCAGTGCGGTATTTTGGAGTCGTTGTATCCATTGACTCTCCCTCTACCGCCTCCGGGACGCCGTTTGTCCATCGGTGCCCCATTGCTAGCCCACTACTCCCTCTAGACTCCAACCTCCAGACCAGTGTTCTTCGTCAATGTCTGAAAGAATGGGCACCCGAACAACACGACAGCCAGGACAGTCAACTGGTCCAGGTAGGCCGCTGTCGGTGGGCAATACGGAGCATGCGGATCATGCATTCAGACGTGCATGCGGCGCAGGCAGCTGCGGCGCCGGAGGGGCGGATGGGCGGCGGTGATGCGGCGTATGCGGGGTACATGCGGGGCGCAGCGAGGGATTGAGGGGAGTTAGGCGCTGCGGCGCCAGCGCCAACGCCGTCAGCGGGGTCTCACATCGTGGCTTGTGCTTTGGGTCCGGTTTCGCTGCTGATTCCACTGTGAATACATGAGCCTGGAGGTGATGAGGTGATGGGGCAGAGCTCGTCCCATGCGGAGCTCGACCCCGGACGGCGGACTGCGCCGCATGCGCCGATGGACGTCACTGGGGGTAGCTGGAAACCCCCATCAATGCCATCAATGCAGTCTCGCAGCCGATATGCGCTACACGATGGTTGAATCGGCGCACGTATGCGGACAATTCTTGTCAGTTGTGGGCTCTTGTCGAAGGACAAAGCGGGGCTTCGTCGCCTGCATCGCCTCGGAACTTCGTGGCCTACTCATCGATAGGAAACTTGGATCTGAGGCTTTGGCTTGGCTTGGGTTGCCGGTTGGCGTCCAGGAAGCGGCCGACTTACACGTCTGCACAGGTCTCTCACACGCAGTCGTAGCATCCCGTATCGTCATCAGCGGATGCATCGGCGTACTTATCAACTCATCGCGGCGCGAGCGTATCAGGTCACCGATCCTGGGCACGGTGCTGTCGTACGGCACCTACGGGCACAGAAAGAGAAGACCGAAGCTGCCCCGGTAGCCTCGGTACCCGTCGGTCCCCTCCGTACCTCTGTCCCACCAGAGTGCGACTCGAACACACGGGGGTGTGGACACAAAGGGTCGTGTGCTGAGCTTGTTGATGGTCACCTGGTGAGGCGGACCCCGGACCTGATGGTTGTAGCCATCAATTGGACCTCGATGACACCGGATCTCTAAATCTCTTGGACCGTTTGTGAAGCTGCAAGGCGCTCTCCGTAGAAACCAAGCTGCTGCCCCAAACGTAATGCGCTCTTGACTGGGACTGAGAGGGGAGCCGATATAGTCAAGCGGACAAGCGGTCAAGCACGAGCTGGCGCGAACCAGGCTCGCTAGGGTCTAGGACTTCTGAAAGGCTAGGCAAATAGGAAAGTAAGGGGCAGCGGGTATCGAGTGGGCCGTTCCTATGATTCCGGACACTTTGCGGGCCATCGATCCTGGCTCAGTTGTGATCCTGAGACATCAAACCTGAGGGCTGCCTAGGGCTGGCGTTAAGCTCAGGCGGGCGGGGTGAGTGCGTCGAGTCACAGATTCGAGATGGCAGATTCGACGGAACTTGCTGTGACCAGATTCAGATGGATGCGTGTTCTCAAACGCAAGCTGTATCGATGCATTGCTTGGGGTGACTGGCGACAATCCATCGGTTAGTGTAGAAAGAGTGACGAGTGACTCGGGGTCAGGCTATCGTTAGCGTTTGGAGTGTGCGAGTGTTGAGTCGAGGTCCGTCGCCCTATCTCCATTGATGGTCGATTCGATGCAAGGTGCAACTGATCGTGGGACCCATTCCTCAAACACTGAGCCTGGGTCTTGCCTCGGCCTAGTTCACTCTACGACCGACGGACCGCAGGCCGCAGTACCCCACACGCCAGTGCCGCCAGCGCATGCTACGTATGCAGACGCAGACACAGCGACACAGACGCCTGCCTGTACGCCATTTGCGCCAGATGCTGCGCCAGCGCGCCAGGCAAGTCAGCCGTGAGACCAAGACGACCCGACCACCCCTGACCCGCTCGATCAGACCAACACACCGACACATCCTCGCCGCCAGTCTTGGACCGCTGTCCTTCGCACATCGCACAGCTCTCACGCAAGTCGCCTTCGCGCATTCTCGTCTTCGCCTTCGACTCATTTGTCTCTTCTCGTTCTCGCTCGCTCGCATCGCATCGGCTTCCGCCGTCACAAGAACAATCAAGAGCCGGAGGACTGGGGAAACAATAACACTACTCTCCGTCCCTCGCTCTTTTACAGTAGATCGCGCGTCTCACGTCTGTGTCGCTCCGCCCGTGCTTTTTGCTTCAACCAGCCCCTGTCCCCTTTCGACCCCATCCCATCCGATTACCCCTGTCTTCCCTTCTTCCCTCCTCCCTTCTTCCCTCGGAGCGACCCCCTCGGCCCCCTACGGCACAACAATCCGCACGCTCGTCTTCTACCGACGAAACCGTCATCCCCGCCCGTTGCCCGTCGCCCGTGTCGCCCGTGTCCCGAAGGGACGTCGAATGCACAGGCTCACAAGCTCACGCTCACTCCTCACGCTCGCCTCGCACACACCGGGTACACCTACGCTATGCCCAATGCACACTAAGCACTAAGCCTCGAGCCTCGACTCCTCGCTCCATCCTTACTCCTGACTCTTGCCCATCGGCTACGCGCTACGCTACGTCGCTACGGGGCTACGGCCACGAGACATTGACATACGGCGTACCTGCACTCCCTCACACCTCACACCCGCTGCACACAGCTACGACAAACGACCGGTCTCAACCACGACTCTTCTTTTGATCCATCACATTCACCCTTCACAGACACCACAGCCCATCGTAGCCCATCATTGTGCTGCGCCTGCCCCATCACGGCCGACCTGACCGCACGATATATCATAACCCCAGACCGACAAGAACCATCAACAACAAACACCGCCCAGTTGATCTCCCGCCACCCCAGCTCATCCCCTATTCTTCCCTCCCGCCTTACCACCCAGACGCCAAACACGACCACCTCTTGACGTTTCCACTTCTCTAACGGTAGCGACTACGACGACAGCATCGGCACTACCAAGCCTTCCCTCTAGCGGCAGCAGCACGCTCGCCACCCTCCATGAGCGCTAACTCACCTATACGAGGTGTACCGCAGCAGGTCGCTGAACCCAACTACTTCATTCAGCGGTTCCTTCGTTCGGTCCAGCCCTTCTACTACCAGCATGCGCAGTATGGCCAGGAGTACTTTGAGCGCTCCCGACGAACGGGTGACAAGCTGCTCAACGAAGACTGGGAGCTAGCGGCACAGTGGTCCCCCGAGTCGACGAATTCCGCGTTACCGCAGTATCTCCAAGCAGACCCTATCGTTGCGCCTTCCCTGCCCTCGTCGTCACTCCTCGGAACGACACAGCCCGTCGCCAGACAGCACAGCACGAGTCCAGGACTCGGCCCTGTGGACAACTCGTCTGGGCGTGGGAAGCATTCTCGGCCACGAACGGGGAACGCTCTGCGCACAGCGCCCTATGCACGGCGCCCAAAGGAAGCAGCGGCCCCCGTGTACTACTCGCACCACGCTTCGCCTGCTTCACCAGGATCAGCCGACGACCTTGGGGAGAGCAGGCGGCATGCCGGAGCTGGGCAGGAACGGCGAGTTGTGTCTGCTGACGACAATGTCCGTGCGTATACTCAGTTTGCGGAAAGCTGTATTCCGTTATTGCGTCTGGTGTTGTTATGCTGACACATCCCCACAGACATCGCCCTGCTGAAGCAGCAGTACAACGAACGTCGACGACGAAGCAGTGAGGAGCAGGAACAGGTACTGGCGTCTGTCACGACCCCGGTGGAGAACAACGAGAAGAGGAGCAGGGCTGCGTGTCCCCCTGATCTCGATTTCGGTCACACGAATACCAAACCACGTACAATTCAAGCAGAGGCCGGCCGCCTCACACTGCACCCTGTGGCCGCTCCACCAGCAGATGTTCAGCACCCGCGTGGAATCTTCTTACGGGGCGTGGCGTCGCACCCAGTGACCGTGTCGCAGCACCCGCCAGTGCCCGATGCGAACGCCCGAGCGGGCACCGGTGGATTCGACCAGCTGCGCTTCCTTGGCGTCAGCGAGGAAGCAAGGCAGCAGCAGGCACCCCCCTCACAGCAACTGGCGTACCCGTCCACACTGGCTACGTCTGACCAGCCATTGCCTCAGGCGTCTATGCGCACGACTCCTTCCGACATCCAATTACCCCCTCTCCGCACCTTGGACACGGACGCCCTCGCCCCTCGCTACCGCGAGACTGCGGATCAGTCGTACTCGTGGCGGGAAGGACGCACGACTCCCCCACACGAGGCAGTCGGTTACGCAGGCTTCCCTTCGTACGCTGGTGTCGGGCGCGGTGAATCTGCTTTGCCGAGCGTCACTGTGACGCCGGAGACGACGCCAGAGAGCTACTGGGGATCTGCCTATCCGACAGCTGCACGCCAGTCACACGTTATGGACTACCAGCGTCAACAGCAGCAGTACCAGCAGTTCAACACGCAGCAGGTCCACTCGCCGTACTACCCGCCTCCACCGGTTCCGACGAACGACTACGCTGCGTATCCGTACGCCTCGTGGGCTAGCACTGCCTACCCCGCCGAGACAACGCAGCCGCGTGAGAGTGGCACCGCCGACCGCGCTGTTTCTGCAGACCCTAGGCGGTATGACGACAGCCGGTCATGGGACCGGCCGTACTCCGCCCCTCCACCCCTTGGCCGAGAAACGTCGCACCTTCTCAACGCCATGCGAGGTGAGCCGACGACGACCCGACCGCGTCCGGTGCCAGCGCAGTGGTCAGTGGCTGCCGACGTGCAGGGCTCGCAGGGCTCCCCTCCGCGCGACCCCCGGCGACAGTGGACGCCTGTCGGGCCGGAAACGTCGCAGCCCGTGGCGGCCGCGACTGCCGAATGGCCTGAACCCATCACCGTGCCGGGAAGCACGCCGACGTGGGACCCATCCCCCACGAGCTCGCACTTCCAGGTACCGTACACGCCGCAGCCTTACGCGACGCCCCTGTTCTCCGCTCCGACGGCCACGAGCGGCATGCCGCCGATGATCGAAAAGCAACTCCCTCCCATTGACATGTACCATACGACCGCGACGCCCTTCTACTGAACTCCCCATCGCATCACCATTGCCGACGACCAACTCCGAACAGTGCACCCTCCCCTCAGTCCCACTATAATGAACATTTGTACCATGCCAATTCCACAGGTCCCATCGCATCGCAGCATTCCTATACGGTATAATCTGTACTTGTTTCCCATATGTCATGAATTGCACATAAGCGCGACACACCGCGGCGAAGCGATACCGGGGAGCAAGCAGAGCGAGCGCAGGACAGAGCAGGAGAGTAAGAAGCGCCATGCGCGAGCAAAAACCAGTGTCTTGTGAAAAGCGAAGCACAGAGGGAGATGCGGAAAGATGCTCGTGGGCGGAATGTGGCGGTTGATCCTAGAAGATCCCAAAGGCCCAGGCATGTCTAACCCGTCGAGGCGTGGGTGCGAACAACGGGCTGAAACAGGGCTTGCAGTGCCCAAGCTTGTGTGTGGAGTGAGGTGGTGGCCGCAGTGGCGGCTGAAACGTGTGCCCCGTGCGGTGATCCAGCGCCATGCGTTGGGACAAAGGGGGATCAATGCATGTCTAACAGTAAATACAAAGGGGATACAAAGACTGCCCACTTCCTCTCCTTCCTCCTTCCTCCTTCCTCCTTCTCCTGCTGCTTCTTGCGATTGTGGCTGGGGCTGGGGCTGGGCCTGCGGCGTTGGGCTGGGGCAGCGATCGGCCACATCAGCCACGTCGGCCACGTCGGCCACATCTCATCTCCTGCATGCGTCGCATGTGGCGGCAGGTCCGGGCAGCTGCGTGCAAAGTGCGGCCTGCGTCGTGCTTTTCTCAGGTTCTCAGATGTCCGATTGTTGCAGATGTTAAGAATGGAAACGTCGCGCGGTTCTGGAATGATGACGTGTAGGGAGAACTAGATGTTGGTCGTGAGACGTGCGATCTCGCGTTCGATCTCGGCCAGTGCCACCGAGAGGGCCTTGCTGTCGTCATACTTGCGCTGTGCGTTGGCTTGCGCGATGAAGGATCTGACTGTCAGCTAGCTTTCTACGAATTTGTCCCCAGCGTCAAAAGGGCAGGGCAGACCACTGGTGAAGTGCGTTGATTGGAGAAGGATGAACGGTACTTACTCAAGCTGTGCCTGCTGCTCGAGCAGCGGCTGGAGTTCGCGCGCCAGCTCATCCTCGCTACTGCTGTCGTTGAGGTTGTGCACGACCAGACCCTTGGACTGCTTCTGCAGGATGCGGCGCTGCAGCTTGCCCACACTGTGCACCTGGCTCATGCACTTGGCGAGGTAAATGCTGGCGATGCGGACAATGGTCGCCTTGACTTCCTCGGCCTGCTTCGTGCTCTCGCCCTCCTTTGCCCCGCCCTCGAGCAGGACAGCGCCGACCTTCTTGTCGTCTGCCTTCTCTCCCGCCGGAGTCGGGGGCGGGCCGAACTGCACCGACGCCAGCTGCTTCGTGACCGTGTCGTACTCGGCAAGCAGGGAGAGGAGCGTCCGGTGGTTCTCGAGCAGATCGGAGAGGTCAATCCGGTCCCACTCTCCCGCCTCTAACAGTGCGTCGGCGTGCCGAATCCCCCCGTCTAGGTCGGGCAAGATGCCGTCAATCTCGGACTGGATCAGGCGGAGCGTCTCGTACAGTCGCGCGAAGCGGGAGGGTTTCAGACCGTCGGCGATGATCTGCTTGCGGGACACGATGCGCCAGCATTCCCGGCAGACACGGATACCGCGTACCTGGACCTCTTGCGGTTGCTGGGGAAGAGGGGTCGAGGCGCCACTACCAGGCGCACTGCCTGCGGGACTACCGCCCGCACTTGCAGTAGAGGTGTTGCGCACATGGCGCTTGACGAACGTCTGTTCCCGCTCCGGCGGAGCCTCGGGGTCCAGCTGCATCCAGCCCACGAAGCCTTCATCGACCTCCTCGCCCCTTCCCGTCTTCCAGTCCGCCACGAGCAACAACGAGCATCGCTCGCGTCGGAAGCCAGCGGGGAGGTGCTCCATGTCCCCTCCGAACAGCTCGAACTGGATATGCAGCAGTCCCGGGGGCGACGGCGGGAGTGAACACACGATGCGGCCACAGAGCCGGCAGTGGTGTTTCCGGTTACTCAACGAGAAAGAAGTCGCACAGATGCGGCACTTCTTGACCTCGCTGTCAGGCTCCCACTTCACGATACTCTGCTCCACGGCCCTCTTCCGCGCCTCATCTGCACTCGGCCCTGCCGCCGCCTTCAGACCCCGCCACACTTCCTTCGGGTTCAGAGAGTCGAAGGCGCCGTCGAATGTCGACTTCTTCGCCGGTTGCTGGGATGGGCCGGGGCGCGACGCGAGGGACGGGTTGAAATGCAGGTCGACGAGCTGGAGTTAGCTTATCGACGGGGTACCGAGGCTGATACTCACCTTGGCCCATCTCCGACCCAGCCGGCCCTCCTCCTTCTCTCGCTCACCCGCCTTTTCCTTCCGCTCCTTAAGAAAGGCTGCTGTTCGGTCCGACCGCACGCCGCTCGGCTGGAAGCCGATCTTATACGGCTGACCTCTCGAGCGGGTGCTGGCTGAGAGGGCTGGCGTGTGCGTCCTGCTCGACGTGGAGGCAGCCAAATTCTTGCTCGAGCTGCTTGCAGTGCTCGCGTGCAGGGGCGTCGTTGCGCCTGTTGGGCCGCTGGGAGCGGGCGAGTGGCTCGGCGATGGTGTCGAGAATACACGCCCCGGGGGTTGATGTTGTGGTTGAGGTTGCTGGAGTTGTGGTGCGGGTTGGGGATGGGAGGTCGAGTGTGTCAGAGCTGTTGTCGAGGCTGCTGAGCCGGTACGCCTGTGTTCGCGGGCGGCATATGTCGTTGTGATGGGATGGTTGAAGGATCTCTGCGTCGGGCTCGCGACCGGGCTGGAAGTAAGCGGCAGATGGACGCTCTGTGGCCGCTCGGGGTCCGGGCTGGCCTTGGGGAGACGGGCGGCGTTGGCTGGCGCCGCTGCTCGTCGGACCGGACCAACAGGCTGAGGCGAAAGTGACCCAACTGGCGGCGGTGACGTCGCAACCAGCGAGTTCGGGCGAGAACCTCGGTCCCTAATGAAGCCGTTCACCTCCTGCGCCGCCGTCGAAGCCACAGTTGCAACACCGCTCAGCGTGCTCGTCAGAAACTCGCGAGAGCGTCCCTCACCCCGGGGCGCAAGTGCCTGCAGCCAATTGCTTGCTCGCTCGACTGCTGCTCCGCTTGCACTGCTGACGGACCGTTGACGCTGAATCTCTGGCCGTCCGGGCGCGTCGGGTGTCAGCGCCGGTGAGCCGTGCGTCGTTGCTGATCCATTCCCGGGAGCGGCCAGGGAGCCATTGCTGCTCGATTTGGGAATGCCTGTCCGCGGACTTTGCCAAGATGTCGGCGCGGAGCCCACACTCGCTTGTCCCCGCTGATGTCGGGTTGTGGTCGAGGACCGGAGGCCGTTCGTGGTCGCGGTCGAACCGGAGGCGGCGGATGTGCCCGAGGCCGCAGACGCAGTCGAGTTTACTGACGCTGTGCCGAATGCCCGACCGCTGGCGCTGGCACTAGCCATGTTTGAGTGGTTGACAGATGTGGTGGACACGATCAACTCGCCAGGTGGATCACGATGCACCCATCGTCAGCGTCACTGCTCTCGGACCTGGCCACCGCCCATCTGGTCCCGTGGTGGAGGGGTGGACAGTGGGGGTGGAGGTGGCTTAGGTGCAGATTCGAGGCTTGCGCATTCCTGAAGCCTGAACGAGGTGAAGGACGACCATCTTTCGACTGCACATCTTATCTCGCCCCCGCCTCCGCCAGAGTGTGAAGCTGCCCAAGATGGGTCGCTCAGCCAAGATGATGAAGCGCCCGACGCAGAAGCAGAAGCAGGTTTCGAAGATCGCAAAGGCCGCTGCTCAACCCCTCAAGAAGCGTGAGCCGAGTCCCGAGCCTGTTGAGGCGCCGAGTGGCGGAGGAAAGAAGAAGCGCAAGAGCATGCGCACGAAGGCCGACAAGGTGAGTGATCAAAGAACCGGGTGCCAAGGTTTTGAACAGGTGGAAGAAGACTGCTGGTAGTTGATGGTCTGCTAACGCAAGCAGAAGTCAAAGGCCTGAACCTCATTATCCGCAACCTTTTGACCCGCACCCATCACCACAACTCATTTTGGATTCCTCTCGTCGCGACAGGCGATTGTATGCATGTAACCCTATTACCCAAGACAACGGAGGCAGACTGATGCTGCAACATAAGATCTATACGTCTACATACATGGACGAGTGGGACCTCGCCTCAGAGCAAGTCATGGTATCTCCCAACGACTCACATCTACACCTCACGCAAGCTTAGTGGCCTTCACCTGGAGCCAGATGCGGTACATCTTAAGCTGCTCTTTCCGGTTCACGAGCAGGCGGCGGTCTTCGGCCAGCTGCTGGATGGAGAACATGTGACCCTCCTCCTGTCCCCAAGGAGCAGCAGTGAGCATGTTGCCCAGCTCCTCCTTCTCAAAGAAGTAAACGCGTGTGCCGTCACCGCGGATGTAGAGGTTGGGGACGTCGAGAAGACGCTGCTTCTTGATGCGGAGCTGAGCGAGGTCATGGCGGCCGTAGTCACGAACGAGCAGAAGACCACCAGGCTTCAGCGCCGAATAGAGGTTGTGCACCGCCTGCTTCCACTCGTCGGGGTGAAGCGCCGAGAGAACGTAGACAACAGTCAGAACGTCAACAGTTCCGGGCTCAACACCCTCAGGAAGAGCGTATGTAACGCCGCTTCCCTCGGCGGGTTTCTGCGTGATGTCCCAGACGGCGGCGCGGATCTCGCCGATGCCGTGCTCGGCCTTCGGGTACAGCTCAGAGGACTGGACGACCTTAACGGCCTGGGCGGAGTAGTCAGTCGCGACAATCTTGAGGTCCGGGTTCTCGTTGTGCATGAGGAGAGGGAAGACGGTGTTGCCCGCTCCGCAGCCCACCTCGAGCACGAGCTTGGGGCCGGCATCCGGCTCACAGCACATGACGAGCTCGGGGAACTCGAGCGGGAGCCAGCGGCGGTTCTTGAAGAACTGATCCTTGTGGTTCGAGTAGAACTTGTCCCAGAACTTGGCCGGCTTGCCGTTGTACTCCTTCGTCTTGTCCTCCGGCACAGGCGAGTTGCGGTGCTGTTCCATGATCTCGGCCGCGCGCTCCTCGAAATCGTCTGGCAGCTCGGCGTGGTCCCTGGGCGTCAGTCATGATGTCGAGATTACACCAACTTACCAAGCATTGTTGCTGAAAACATCGTCGGACTCCTGCAGCTTCCTCGCTCCAAAGGAGGTGCCCTTTGGCGGTCCAGCCGGGTTCAGCCACTTGTCGATAACAGACTGCCTGATCGTCGTCGAGGGGCCGGCCTCAGCCTCCGGCTGGGGGACGGGAGGCGTCGTGGTTCCATCCACAGGCGTACCGGGAGTGTGTGTCGGGACTTCGGGCTCCATGCTGTCTGTCGTAGAGTTGGTCAACAACGCTTTCGCCCAGCTCATGAAGGCACTCACGGTACAGGGCTTGCAACTTTCTGGACAGGCCGACTTTCTGGAGTGCACGTGACCTTACAGCCACGTGGTGAAGTACAGGGCTAAGGAGGAGGGTCACATAGCGGTATCGTTGACTGTCGTTGGCTAGAGAGTGCGGGGCCGGCGGTATCCGGCTCTAGCAGGAGCTTGGCTTGCTGATCGTCATCACGTGGTCTTGTTGAGGCAGCTGATTAGGGAAAATTCGAAATCGGCGCTGTCGGTCGTCCTAATGCAGTTCTAATGAGCAGGTAAGAGCCGATAATCGGCCGACTGGTCGATGACGCTGCTCGCGACGTTCCCTATGCTTTTTACCCTGACAGGTCGTCGCTCCTGTCTCCTCCAGCAGCCAGTTGGTGATAGCTTTTCATCGACCTCCTGTCTCTCACAACAACATCCTCCTTCTTCAGCGTTTCCTGCCCTTTCCTCCCCATCCTCCCTCTCCCTCCCCACACCCACACCACAATGTTCGCCGTTCGTGCCTCTGCCACCAACGCCGTTCGCGCGGCCGCCCGCAACCAGGTACGTGCTCCTGCACACAGTTCTCACCGCAATCCCCCACTGTGAACCAGCAGCAAATTTGGTCACCGCCCGCCATGCTGACTCCTACAGCGCGTCCCCGTTGCCCGCTCCATGGCTACCATCACTGAGGAGAACCGCGTAAGTATGCTAGCTCTAAGCATTGCAAGCGATCAAAGCGCTGACTTGTTTCCCAGCTGCCTGCCAAGTTCGGTGGTTAGTGTTCATCGGACATGCGCGAGGCGATCAGTCGTCTTATCATGCCGTAGTCCGAGGCTGCGACGTTTATCAACTCGGATATACGCGCCAAGCCACGACAAGGTGTGGATGACGACTGATCTGCCTTGTGCATGACCTCTGTCATCCGTTTCCATGTGCTGACGTAGCAGGCAAGTACACCGTTACCCTCGTCCCTGGTGACGGTATCGGTCTCGAGGTTGCCGACTCGGTCAAGGAGGTCTTTGAGTCGCTCAAGGTCCCCGTCGAGTGGGAGCAGTACAACGTCTCCGGCGAGCACCTCGACGACAACCTCTTCCTCGAGGCCATGGAGTCGCTGAAGCGCAACAAGGTCGGTCTCAAGGGTATCCTCTACACCCCCTCGACCGTTTCTGGCCACAACTCGTGGAACGTCGCCATGCGCCAGCAGCTCGACATTTACGCCTCCGTTGTCGTCTGCAAGTCGCTCCCCGGTCTCCACCTCCGCCACAAGGACGTTGACTTCGCCATTATCCGTGAGAACACCGAGGGAGAGTACTCTGGTCTCGAGCACCAGTCGTACCCCGGTGTCGTTGAGTCGCTCAAGGTCACCACCCGCGCCAAGGCCGAGCGTATCGCCCGCTTCGCCTTTGACTTTGCCATCAAGAACAACCGCAAGAAGGTCACCTGTGTCCACAAGGCCAACATCATGAAGCTCGGTGACGGTCTCTTCCTCAACACCTGCAAGCGCGTTGCCGAGGAGGAGTACGGCCACACCGGCATCAAGTTCGACACCATGATTGTCGACAACGCCTCCATGCAGCTTGTCTCCAAGCCCCAGCAGTTCGACGTCGTCGTCCTCCCTAACCTTTACGGAAACATCATCTCCAACATTGGTGCCGGTCTCGTTGGTGGCCCCGGTATCGTTCCCGGATGCAACTTCGGCCGCGAGTACGCTCTCTTCGAGCCTGGATGCCGTCACATCGGCAAGGACATCATGGGCAAGAACAAGGCCAACCCCACCGCCCTCCTCCTCTCCTCGACCATGCTCCTCCGCCACCTCGGCCTTGACGAGCAGGCCAACCAGATCGCCAAGGCTACCTACGACGTTATCGCCGACGGCAAGCACCAGACCGCTGACGTCGGCGGCAACACCTCGACCACCGACTTCACCAAGGCGGTCATCGAGAAGGCCATTGCCTAAGCGAACCAGCAAACACCCCCACATCAACATCTTCCTCCTACCCTCATAATCCTTTACTCCAAGGACTCCCCGCGCTACCCATCGGGTTTTAGAGACCTTCCGGCATCGCGCATGTTTGGAATTAATTGTATATCAAAAAGAACGGATGATCTAAACAGATGCATCCGTGGATCCAACAGACAGGAGGCGCGACACCCGTGCGTGTCCGTGTAGCAGAAGTAGCGTTTGCTGGGATTACTGACGACGCCTGATTGCACTCTCACCACGTGCTAGCTCACTGCAGACAGAGACACCTTGAAAGATACGTTGCGGCGACTTGTGTGGAGGATAGACATTGCAGCATTCCACAGAACAGGAGTGTGTAATGTCATGACATAAGCTGGTTGGAGGAAGGGCCGACGCTTGGACCGTCAGGCTACGCGGCTACGGGGGCGGCAGGGCGGGGTAGGGTGGTCCTCAATGTGAGACAAGGAGCGGCGCGGGCGTTGCGCAGAGCCTGGAGGCGTTGAGACGCGCCTGAGGGGCTGCTGAGGGGCCGGCCGGAGGGGCGTAGACGTTGCACTAGCGCCCTTTGATGGCCAACTCTGACACTCTGCACTCAGACAGCCTCGTTCCTCATGCCGACGCCTTACACTCTCTTTCGACATTGCTACCTTCCTTCCATTCTTCCTCCTCTTTTCTGTCTTTCCTCTCGCTCTTGACGCTCGGCGACTCCCCCCACCCTCCAGCGCCATGTCCGAAGAGGGGTCCTGGTGGCGGCGCCTTGGCTCCGCTTTCCAGCCCCGCTCTGAACACAACGCGCCCTCTCAGTCGACGTCTAATGTTGGTAATGTTGGACGCGCACAGAACACTGGTGTCGGTTTCGCCGCACTCTCAGTTCGATCTACTGCGTCCCATCGACATCGCCGCTCCGCTCTCGAGAACGTTAGGAGTACCTCTAGCTCACAGCTCGCCGCTCCTTCCTCCGATCTAGCCCCTCCCCTGTCTATTCTTCCCCCACGCTCACCATCCACGCCCCCTTCCACTCAACGAAAACAACAACTTCACCGCCAACTACCGAAATCATGTCCTTCCTCGCCGCCCAGAAGCACACTCACGCCCCAGCCCCAGCAAAGGAGTGCCTCGGGGCCTTCATGCACACCGACTGCTCAAGTTCAACCTGGAGGTGCTGCATCGCCGCCCCCTGCATCCAGCCCACAACCACCCTCCCAGCCTCAGGTGCAGATCTCCTCACCGCAACCTAGGCACCCGTCTCCTCAACCTCCATCGCAATCACTGCAGTCTGAACGAGAGCAAACTTCTCCTTCCCCGAGGTCCACTCCAGTCAGGCATCGCCACCCGTCCACCATCGCCGAGGAAGGTACCCCTACTCCTTCCCCTCCGAGCGACCGAGGGAAGATACCGGTCTCTTCGCCTCCAACCGCGGCTACAACGTCAGCCCAGAGCTTGCAGCCTGGCCACCTGCCCTCTAGCCCAGGAACCCCTGCCACCTCTGGCCACTCCAGAGCAAGTCCAGGTTCGCCTTTCTCGACAACCCGCTCCAAGCGCTCGTTGTCTTTGCCGCGCCCCGTCTCGGTGATTCTGTCTTCCCCGGCGTCCATAAGTCGGGCGTCGCAGCGTCAGCAGTCACCCTCGCCAACAAATACACCTCCTAGGGTCTCTAAGGACGACTACTACCACCAGAGGACGCATGGCAGCCATTACATCATGCACCCCTCTCATCGACGGAGGGCGAGCTCTACTGGGTCGCTTGCTGAGGCCGCGAACTTGCTTGCCACCAGGAACCAGTATTCGGCGACGCTTACGTCGCTTGTCTCGATGGGGTACTCGAAACAACGTGCCGAAGAAGCCTTGTGGAAGCATCCGACTAAGGCAGCCGCTTATCTGGAACATCAGGACCACGCCGGACAAGACATCTTAATTGGCGACTGCGAGTGGTGCATCCCTTGGTTAGGCCTGGCACACATGATCGAAGTCGGAACGCCTCCCAAACCCAAGCTGAAGCCGCAACCAAAGCCCGAAACCGTCACAACCGCGCCTAAGAAGATCGAGAAGCCGATACTAGTTGAGAACCCGCGGGACGGCGGGAGTACTCCGGCCCCTGCCGCCGCGAAGCAAGAAACGCCCAGCCCGTCCAAGTCGGAAGACTCTGAAGCCCCCAAGATCGGAATCACGACGCCGACGAAGAACTCAAAGCGCAAGTCGACGCTAAGCCAGACGAGCGCGTACAGCCAGGAGACGGCCGCCGACTCGATCGTGCCGGTGATCGGCCATGCGAACGGTGAGAACTGCCAGATCTGCAAGACGGCAGTCGGCGGTGTGTGCCAGTGGAGTGACTGGGGGTGGGAGCACGGGAAGTGGGAGCTCGAGTTCTTTAACGAAGAGTAGCAGCCAGGTTGACCGTGTGCGCAGGTGCGAGCAGTACCAGTTTGAGTGCGAGTGCGAGTAGACGACGGCGATCCCACCGTCCCATGTTCAAGACGCTCATGAGACGATTGTACAACAGCAACAACAGCAGGAAACCAAAGCCCCGTGTTGAAGATTAGACCTAGACATGACCTTGTTACGATAACCAACCTAGACGTAGACATTAATATACCCTCATCCCCTCACCCATCGACCCGACTCTCATTCTCGCACTCGACTCGCTCCTTTAGACTCTTTCAACGTTGTCATAGTTTCGCCCCGTCCATTGTAATGAATAATATCCATGTGTAGTACTACAAGTCTAGATGCTCAGGTCGCGCACGCCCTGCTCGATATCCGTCAGGTGGAGCACGTCCACGCGCTTGCCTAATCCGGGCCACGGCTTGCCCTGCACCTGCGCCTGGACCTGCGCCTGGACCTGCGGCGTAGGCGTCGGTGAAGCACTGGGAGGGTTGGCGGTCACGCGTCCCGGCACGGTAGCCCTTCCAGACGGTGCCGGCGCAGCCCTCCTCGCGCGCATCGGGGGAGGTACGCCGTCCTGGATCTTCTTCAGCGTAGCCGAGACAAAGTTGGCGTCTGTCAATGGCGAGAGGTCCTCGGGATTCTCGAGATACTGCAGTGTCAGCTTGACGACGAAGAGATCTGCAGCTCCAGCTCAGGTCCGCGCCTTCAACGCGCAGCGGTGCACCTTTGCAGCGACGGTGGGGGGAAGCAGGGGACAACTCACGCTCTTGACAGTCTCGTACGGCGCCTCCATCCCGCTACTCTCCCTGACGACCTCGTTGCTCCCGAACGAGTGGAACACCCGCGTGTCAAAGATACGAAACACGACCGCGTCGACGCGCACGAACAGCCGCGCGAGGACGAAGAACGCGTGCGGCATTACCCTCACGCGCACGTTGAGCTCGGAGCCGCCGTGGTCGTGCAGCTCGTCTTCGTACAGTGGCACGTCGTCGTAGAACAGGATCCGGTCCAGGACTGGGTCCTGGCGGGCTAGGAGTTGGAGCGGGATCGCGTGGGTGTCAGAGGGGGTGAATTGCTGGGCGGTCAGCTACAACCGCAACGGTGTCGAGCTGGGAGTGTGTGAGGAACTCACCCGGCTAGCATCGGCTGTAGGTTCAGAAGATGAAGACGTAGACCCGTTGAAGCAAGTACTGAACGTCCAGTCGTGCGGCCGCACCGGCTTCGCAGCCACGTCCTCGACCTTCCTATTCTTCCAAGCGTCGGCCATGGAGACGAGCACGCCGCCGCCACATCTCTCCTCCCATCCCTCGCCTACTGGAACTGCACGCAGCGCGCCCAGCGTATCAAAGGACAAAGTGACGAGGGGATGCTGCAGGACGAGGGAGTTGTGCCCAAACGTCATCTCGGGGAGCGGGAGACGGAGCTCCTTCTCGAGTCTGGCGTCAACTTGTCGCCGTATTTGCAGCTGAAGAGGTGGGCTCACGCATCAATCTCCTTGCCGTTCAGAATCGGCTTCTTCGTACTGCGTACTTCCCAGTCGCCGATTCGCAGCCGGCGGATGTGCTTCCCCTCTTCCAGCTGATACTTCGGCCCAATGGCCTGGCGGGGCGGCAGACTGGCGGCTGCTGGGGGCATGCCTGTCGTCATACCAGGGTGTCCTGCTGCTCCCGGAATGCCTGTAGCACCGGCGCGTCCTGTAGCTGCCGGATGTCCAGTCATCGTCCCCGGAAAGCCAGTCGCGCCGGGAAAGCCGGTAGCAGAAGAGCCAGGGAAGCCTGTCGGCGGAGGTGCACCTGGTGCTCTTGTCGGCGGAGCGCCGGGGAAGCGTGTCGGCTCGGACATGGCGGTATGTGTGAAGTCAAGTGAGACGCGTTGGGTGGACGCTGCCTTCTGGCTCGATCATTTCGGTGACTTCCTCTGGGCGGCGCAGTGGACTGGCCGATGACGTCCGGAACCAAACTGACGGTGGCAAATGGCCTTTCCTGCCCAGATCTTTCCTGCTATCTGATAACGAACCGCAATTGGCATGCATTTGTACAGAATGCTCTGGCGGTAGTTCGGGGGAATGGCAGTGCCGTGTATAGATAAGGAGAGGCCGCCAGGGCCAGATGCATGGGCACGCTAGATACAAGATAATAACAGCAAGACTGATGACGGGGTATTGATACTGAGGCTGAGTTCACGCGGTCGTCGACACGGCGCTCAGTCCTTCGTAGAACCGCTGCTTCTCCTTGATCACGGGGCACACAGCTAGGAGTACTCTCTCCTCCTCGCGCCTCCAGAGCCAGCCTGACTCCTGCCTGACCTCGAGAAAGCGCTTCGTTCCCAAACCTTGTGAGACGAGAGAGTGCTTGATGCTCTCGAAGCGGCGCTGTCGCTCCAGCGTGTGAATCTTGGCCGCGAGCCGACCTCTAACGTTCGGAACGGGGAGAATGCCCCGCGCGATGAGGGATTCGCGCGTCGGTCTGGCGTCGAGGAAGGCGGAGAGGAAGCGGCGCCGATTGGACAATGTCAGGCGCTCGTGGATCATCGACAGCCGGACGGCCTGGCATGTGAGCTAACACGAAGGAAAAGCCAACTTACGCTGTTGGAAGCCCAGTAGGTGCCGTCGCGGATGCTGTTGACAATAGCGATTCCGCGCAGTGTCCCGCGGCGAACGAGCTCGAGCGGGTCGGGCCGGAAGGCGAAGAAGTGCGACAGGCGCGAAGGCACGGTCTGCGTGTCAGCTGTACGTTCCGTTTGGCCATCAGCTGAAATGATTACGCGCGAGAAGAAGCAGTGTCGATTTCCCTGTGACATGTCCAGGCGAACCGTTCGCCGCAGTCACGTTGTAACACAACTCACCCGGTGAATCCACACGGTGCGGAGGTACTCGTCCTTCTCGATGCCGCTGAGCTGGGGTACAGACGAGAGAACGCTAAGCTCGTCTGGGGAAAGGAAGAGCAGAATCTGCGTCTGCAGCTCGGAGGGGAGGGTGAGGAAGCGTGCGGCGAAGGGACTCGGCGCCGGTATCGGTGTCGGCGTGCCGGTCTCGTCCGGCGATGACGTAGTGTCGTTACTGAAGTGCTCGGTGGCAACGACCTGGTCGGTCACCTGGCCACGGAGGTTGGGGGCTGGACTCATTGCGGTGCTGGGGCGAGGGCCATGGCTAGCGAAGAAAGGAAGGTGAAAGAGAAGGGAGGGTGTTGAAATATGAGGAGGAGCGAGAAGGCCGGCTGTGTGTGTGAGGCTGTTGTTGTTGACCCGGAATTGAGACACGAGACCTCCCGTTGCCCGCCGTAGCCCCACCATGAAACACGCCAGCCACTGTGTGGCATTCACTCTCGGTCTGATACCCCTTCACACCGCTCGGGACGTACAGTGCTCAACGTTTAAGACAGCATACCGAAACTGTGCGTATGCATGCGTGATTCTGTGCGGTTTACGGCCCGTCTGGCCGCCCGAGTGTCACAGCAGTGCGGCAGTGTGCGACACCGGGTACCGATAATGGGGTAGGTCTGATCGCGCGATCGCGCATCGGTTAGCACGTTATCACACGCAGTGCAGGGGCATAGGGATTACATTCGCGATTATAGGCTAGTATGTAGAAGGGTATAGGACGAAAATGACTCTAGAGACCCGAACCATGCACATAAGACGTACGCACATCGGCACCGCTGCAAGCCCGTATCGCTGCACGCGGAAACCATCCGGCAGCTCATCAGGCCCAGCATGGCTGGGTTAGCTAAGGTCTAACAGTTACAGGCGCTCTGCGCCTCCTGCTGCTGCGGGTTCACCTTGACGCCGCCCTGCTGTCCAGGCTTGGGGGCGTTGAGCGGAAGCGCCTTCGCTGAGTTTGTCAGCTGATGAACACAAGTCGTGTTTGAGATAAATGAGCGAGAAGCTCGGATCGCGAGCAAGATCTCGCTTGATGAATGTCACCCACCGATCTCCATGAACATGCTCTCGACGCCCTCGCCCGACTTGGCACTCGCCTCGCAGAACAGAAGCCCCTCTTCCTGCGCGAACTGCTGGCCGAGCTCGCGAGGGGTCTTGCGCTGCGAGGCAAGATCGAGCTTGTTTCCGACGAGCATGATGACAATGTTCGGATCCGCCTGGCGCTGCAGCTCGCGAACCCACGCCTTCGCCTTGTCGAAAGAGGTCTGGAGTCAGCTATGCTACCGTAGAAAGCGTTAGTTAGCTCAGCGTACCTCTGGAGGCTGCGTAATGTCGTAGACAATGATCGCAGCGTTGGCATTGCGGAAGTAGATGGGGGCGAGACTCTTGTAGCCTAGAGGTTAGACAAGCAACTCGCACTCGTCACGATACGTACGCTCTTGTCCGGCCTGGATGTCAGTTACAGGTGGACCACGGCAAACTCACAGTGTCCCAGATCTCGAACTTGACGTTCGTCGCCTCGTCAAGCTTCACGGTTTGCGTAAGGAATGCGGCTGTTGTCAGCTCCAACGTTTGGTGCGATTAACACCGCTGACGACCAATCACTCACCACCTGCATATAGCAGAAACGCAGCGTCAGCATCGCAAACGACTTGGACACTGTTGCACTAACCAATCGTCGATTCCCTGCTGTTAGTTGAGACTTAGCTTAGCAGGAACTCACCGGAAGTCAGAGAACTCGTCTCGGACCTGGCATTAGCATGGCGAGTCCGAAGCGGCAGCGTACGAAGCGGAGCACAAGGGAACTCTTTCCCACGGCAGACTCGCCTGCACGTTAGCTCGGCGTAGGTAAGGATCTAGCTACTCACCGAGAAGAACAAGCTTGCTGGATACAGTCCTGGGCATTGTGGGTTGAGGGGTAGTGGACGATGGGGCAAAGATGAGTGTCGTTTGAGACGATCGGGTGGCAACATCCATGCACCGCTGCGGTCCCTGGCGGTGACGTTAGGGTTCAGCCCGAAAGTCGCCTGCTGGGCGGTACGGTGAGCGGTACAGTGGGTGATACGCAGATAAGCAATCACACGTCAGAAAAAAAGTTCACAATACCTCCACCTCCCGCAAAGCTTCGAGACTAGCCCTGGTCAACTACTCCAGATCGCTGATCACACCACCTGTCACCGACGACATCGAGCAGCAACAATGGGTCGCAAAGCCAGATTAAAGCAGGCGCCTCCTCAGCCCCTCCCCGGGAGCGACATGGACAAGAAGAGGAAAAAGAAGGGCTCCGCCGCGCCTAACCCCGCCAAGGCTATCAAGGCGACCAAGCCTGCCCCGGTTAAGCGCAAGCAGCGCGTCAAGGCTGTCGACCGGGTAGACGACGACAGCGACGATGAGGACGCTCTTCAGGGAGGGTGAGTAACTTTATCATTGTGCTGAAGCTAACAAGCAGTGACTGGTCTTCGGATGAGGAGGAGGTCCCCAAGAAGAAGCAGAAGAAGTCGAAGGGCAAGAAGAAGGAGGACTCGCCCGACATCGAGCGTGGAGAGGTTCGCGAGCTCGTCTTCTCCGACAGCGAGGACGAGATTGATGCCAACGGCAAGGAGAGCATGCCCACCGGACAGCACATGTTTGACCTCGACCAGGCTCCGGAGGACGAGAGCGACGAGGAGGACGAGATGGAGGACGACGAGTTCGCCTTCCCGGACGACGAGGAGATGGAGGAGGATGATGAGGTCGACAGTGCGTTTGCCTCCAGCGACGAGGGCGAGCCGGAGGAGGCTATGGACGAGGATGAGGAGGAGGGCGACGAGGACGGTATTCAGACCAACCTCGAGGATGACCTTGAGGACGAGGGCTTCACGCTTCCGGCTGTCGACGGCGTGGTTGAGGAGTACGAGCACGGTGTGTCGCTGCGTGATGTTGAGAACCGCATGCGCTGGCTCACGCGGGTGTGCTCGGCCAAGGATGAGAAGATCAACGGTGTTGCCGGCAAGTCGCGGTCAGACCACCTCTTGCAGCTCGAGCACGACATCGCGACGTACTTTGGCTACAACCACTTCCTGGTGAACAAGCTGATGAAGCTCTTCAACGCCGACGAGGCCCTTGCCTTCTTCGAGTCGAACGAGTCCCCCCGCCCTGTCACCATCCGCGCCAACACCCTCCGCACACGCCGTCGCGACCTCGCTCAGGCTCTCATTAACCGCGGCGTCACTCTCGAGCCCATCGGCAAGTGGTCCAAGGTCGGTCTTCAGGTCTTCGAGTCGCCCGTTCCCGTCGGTGCCACCCCTGAGTACCTCGCCGGCCACTACATGCTGCAGGCGGCTTCATCGTTCCTGCCCGTCATCGCCCTCGCTCCTCAGCCGGGAGAGCGTGTCCTCGACATGGCTTCGGCTCCCGGAGGAAAGACGACGTACCTCTCCGCGCTCATGCAGAACACCGGTACCGTCTTCGCGAACGACTCGAACAAGGCGCGTACCAAGTCGCTCACTGCCAACGTGCACCGCATGGGGTGCAAGAACGTCGTTGTGTGCAACTACGACGCGCGCGAGTTCCCGAGGGTCATCGGCGGCTTCGACCGTGTCCTGCTTGATGCGCCGTGTTCCGGAACCGGTGTCATTTCGAAGGACGCCAGTGTCAAGGTGAACAAGACGGAGAAGGACTTCCAGATGCTCGCGCACCTGCAGAAGCAGCTTATCCTTTGTGCCCTGGACTCGATCAACCCCAACTCCGCTACGGGTGGATACCTCGTCTACTCGACGTGTTCGATCACGGTCGACGAGGACGAGAGCGTCGTCGACTACGCGCTTCGAAAACGCCCCCACGTCAAGCTCGTCGAGACCGGACTCGAGTTCGGTGTCCCCGGCTTCACCTCCTTCGAGGGCAAGCACTTCCACCCCTCGCTCTCGCTTACGCGGAGGTACTACCCGCACAAGCACAACATGGACGGCTTCTACGTTGCCAAGTTCAAGGTCGGCAAGCGTCTCAAGAAGTCGGAGCGCAAGGCTGAGGAGGCCGAGGCCCCTGCCGCCGACGGCGACGTTGAGATCAACGACGAGGCCAACACGTCTGCATTCAACGCCGAGGAGGACGAGGAGTACATCAAGGAGAGCAAGCGCAAGCACCTCCTTAAGACCAAGGGCATCAAGCTCGCCAAGAAGGGAGGCAAGGAGGAGGAGGAGTCCAAGCCTGAGCCCAAGCCTTCCAAGGCTAAGAAGAGCAAGAAGGTCACCGAGAAGAGGAGGAAGTAGTTTGTTCACTGTTTGTCCCGCGGCACTCGTGCCGTAACCACCCGTACCATCTCTAGATATGCATTTCACTTTCCACCCAGGTACTGATTCCACCACTGCGCGAACGGTGTCTCCTCCTTTGTGTCGATACCGAGATCCTCGAGCACCTTGACGCTGAGCTCCGTGTTCCATGGCCGCTCGGTGCCAGACGTGGGCTTAGTGGAAACAGGCGTGACGTGGTCGAGTGGGAGGTTGAGCGACTTGGCCATGGCCTGGACCATGTTCCACTTCGTCATGGGCGGGCCCGTCGAGCGAATGTGCGCAATGGGGGGCAGCTTGTTTGAAGGAAGGTGGCTCAGCTCGTAACAGACGCGGGCGACATCCCTGACGTTCGTCGGGTTACGGATCTGGTAGTCATCCATCGTGTACTTCTTGCCGCTCTGGTCCTGGACGACTGTGTTGTCAGCTTGGCGAAGCGATCGTTACAGCTGCCCCAGAGGGTTACTCACCATCGACGAGAATGTTCACGGCCGACTCGCTGTTCGTCTCGGCAACACCGTAGAGCACGGGGACGCGGAGAACGACGACCTTGGCGCCCTTGTCCCTAGTCTCGAGCGTGACTTGCTCGCCCTGCAGTTTCTGGCGGCCGTACTGGTTGAGCGGGTCGGGCTTCGCATCAACCTCATAGGGAGGGCTGATGTCAGCTTGTATGTATAGGTCACAACGCAGCACTCACTTCCTGCCGTTGAACACATAGTCGGTTGAGATGTAGATCAGAGTGAAGCCATACTTGAGGGAAAGCTCGGAGAGGTGCTTCGAGGCATCGACGTTAATCCGCTCAGCGGCCTCGGGGTTAGCCTCAGCGACATCCGGGCGGCGCTCGGCGGCACAGTGCACGACAACGTCGACCTTGTTATTGGCAAAGAAGTCATCTACAGCCTTGGCATCGGTCAGGTCGAGCTTGACGTCCGCCGAACGAGTGTAACCGAGGCGGGTAACTGGTCATGAGCTCGACTTCTTCTCTAGCTCAATCATCACAACAACGTACCCTTGTCGCCCTTGTCGGCGAAGTAGGTCGAAACGGCACGACCCAGAAGGCCGCTGGCACCTGAATTGTCAGCTGCGGGTGTATGACTTGCAGCTTACCGGTGACAACCACGTTCTTGCTCATGTTGAATGCAGTGGGAGAAAGGCCAGATCGTGGCAGCCGCTGATGTCGTTGCCGCTGGAAGAATCTAGGCACGCCCAAAGTCGCGTCATGAAAAGTGGAGGTCGAACGCGAACACGTCCAACCGAGAGGGCGATCGAGCATTGCCGCTGACAACGCACACTCACTCACCAGTAGCCATGACCTACGTTTCTGTCTTCGTATCGTCTCCGGACACGCACTCTGAGCGGCGCTTCGACTCAGACCTCACCGTCGGTCAGCTCAAAGTGAGTGCCTTCCTCCCCACGACATGGTCAAGTGGTCGCGGCGACGCACGGTCAACGGCAGCGCTAACAAGGCAGGACAAGCTCTTCCCCATCACTGGTATCCTGCAGCAGTACCAGGTTCTCAGCCTTTACCAGTCCTCCGAGTCTCAGCAGCCTCTCGCCGCTCTCAATGACGACAACCAGACGCTTGCTGCCTACGGTGTTAAGGAGTTCAATTGCATCAAGGTAAGCTTCATTGAGAGCCTTAACAGCTGACGGTTCAGGTGGACAGCACTGACCCCAATGCCCGACCGGGAGAGTTCTCTGATCTGTCTGCCGTCGACAAGTTTGAGCTCTCGCAGGAGGAGTACGAGAAGCGGAGTGGTGAGCCGCCGTACGTATCAGCTTGGCTAACGAGGTAGACACCGTCCTTGCGCACTTGAAGGCGAACAAGCTTGGTCGCTTCGCCGACACTCCCACCCCCATCGCTTTCAAGCCGCCGCCTGCTGAGACCGTCTCTGACGAGTACAAGGTCGGTGCGCGCTGCGAGGTCCGAAGTGACGACAACATGCCGCGAATCGGCACGGTGCGCTTTGTTGGAAAGACGGAGTTTGGCAACAAGGCCGGGGTCTGGATAGGTGTTGAGCTCGACGAGCCGACGGGCAAGGGAGATGGATCGTAAGTGGAGCTTTGCGCCTCTCGTAAGTTAAGCTGACCCTTCAGCGTGGACGGCAAGCGCTACTTTACTTGTTCGCCGAAGCACGCCGTCTTCGTCCGCCCGGACAAGGTCACGATCGGTGACTTCCCGGAAGAGGACCTCATGGCCTCTGACGACGAGATTTAGAAGTATGAAGCTTAATTGGACGTGCTTCGATGTGGAGATGCGTAAAGGGACACTGATGAGCATGTTGAGGACACTGATGACGACACAGAGGAAAGCTATGCCGGTCGCAAAGGAACACACACAGCACACACATATGGGCGCTTGCTCCCCTTGCACTCCGTCAATCTTCCAGATTCCACACCTCCTCTTCCTCACTTCACTCTTGCCACTCACCAGTATCTCACCAACAACATGCCTGCCGTCCGCAAGACGAAGAAGACACCGAAGGCGGCCAAGCCCTACGTCAAGACCGAGCAAGGCGCCGAGGCCAAGATCGAGGAAGGGATGTCCAAGGCTGACGTCAGAAACGGCACCTACGACCGCATCCAGATGTTCTCTGATATCATCAGGGTCAGCTTCTAGGCTGTAGACTGCAGCTGACAAGTAGGGAGCCAAGCCTGACTGGCCACAGCTGGCAAAGAAGCTCGGCAAGACCGCCGACCGTGAGCTGTCTGAGTTCTCTCTGAGCTAACAGCAGAGTGCAAGGATACGTGGCGCAAGGTCATCCTCCCCGCTCTGTTAGACGGGCGCGAGTGGTCGAACTCTGGCAGTGCTGCCTGGAGCACCAAGGCTAAGATCGAGGTCCTCGTCACTGTGCTCAAGGTATTCAGTGTGCTGCGGATTCCCGCTGACGCACAGGGGATCAACCCCGACTGGACCCATGTAGCCGCCGCGCAGGGTAGGACTCCGACTCGTGAGCTGTCTCTCACCGGGGTTAGCTAACAGTGCAGAGGTGAAGGACGTGTGGCGCAAGGTCATGCAGCCCAAGCTCCTCAAGGGCGAGACGATCTCGTAGATTTATGGGTAAGCTGGGGAATTCTGGAAAAGCTGACTTGACAGCCTCACACTCGAATCAAGCACAGCGTCGCGCTCAGAAGACGGCCGTTCCCTTTCATGCCTTCCCTCCACGTATGTGCTGTGCAGTTGTGCACCTTTCGGTAAGCTAGGGGCAGTCCAATCCTGAGCTGACCCCAGTACTCATGATACACTTATGCATATCCGTCTCCTCAGTCGCGAACTTGGCTGCAAACACTTCCCTCTATGCCTCAACTGTTCAGATTGAGCCTCAACATCACCGGCCCCCAAAGGCATCTTCGTTGCATCTCCAGAAGACTTTCGTGGCACCTCCCCAGCATGAGGTTGCTGCCATACGCTCGCCAATGCTTAAACGCGCGGCTTAATTCAACTGTGCGTGGCGGAATGCACCCCCGAGTACGTAGTTGCTTCGGTGTGTGACAAACTGACAGCAGACACTTGTGTTGAGTTGTGGTAAGTGTAAGTGAACGTTGGCCCTGTTTCTCGTGCAGCGGCCATCCTGACATAAGACAGGCTTACTTATGCTCAGAGAGGGCTCACACGCAGCCGATCCCTCGAGCAAAACCCTCATATCGACAGAGGTAAGCTACGCTGTATGGGCAACAGTAGCTGACGTGCAGCAACTCTATCTGACTGCACTGTGACGATTGTAGGCAACGAGATACTCAGAGCACCAACTCACATTCAAGCGGATGAGTAGCATTAGTGTTAGCTAGGAGATAGATTGCCTTAGCTAACGGACCGGAGCTTCTTGTCAAGGTGAGCTTCGAAGCTGTCTAGCTCAGCTGACAGCAGCTTCCCCTTGGCCGGCAACTGTGGCAGCCTTTAATCAGAGAGAGCCTTGGCAGTCACGAGCATGACGTTCGGTGTGTGGCTTACAGCTGATTGCAGACTTTCTCCTTGCACCGTGAGCCCCATCAGCGAGCAGAGTGTAAGCCCCATCGCGGTGGGGGTCGTGAAAGATGTGTTGATTGCCGTCATCTGTAAGCTGCAACGTCCACTCTCCACCTGACTTCACAGCTTACCTCTATCCTGGCATATCGCTCGGTAGACATAATGTTTACAGTAGGCTCGAAGGAAAACCACTTCGAGCCATTCCTCAGCTTGCGCTTGATTATGGCCGCACCAGCCAGATCGTAATATCGGCGGCGGTGGCCAGCCTCTTCTAGTGCTCAGCGGTACGAGCTTTCGGTCGCTGATGGGAGCTAATGCGCAGGCATGGAGTCACTCGAAGTAAGCTGCTTACATCCCTGTAGCCTGGCATGATCGTGGGCTAGCTCGTTATTGCGCGGTAGCTGACGTCCAGAGGCAAGAACCCTGTTATCGACCGCGAGCTCGCTACCCAGGCGACGGACGCCAGGCCTCGGTCAAGAAGCCCAAGGGTGAGGTATAGCTTTCATTCACTCCTGATGAGCTGACGAAGCAGAACAAAGACTAATGCATCAGCTTAGCTGCCATCACCTGTTGATCAAGCTAACAGACAGTTAAGCACGCTATACAATAGAAGAGCGCGGATGTCAATATGCTCCTACTTTCGTACGACCAGCTTTCTCCGTCGCCGTGGAGCTGCCGATAAGTCTCTTCTTTAGCTGTGCAGATTGTACGCTTTCCTAGGCGAGTTTCAGTTGACTGGCAAGACACACACACTATCAGCAGTTAGACGCAGTTTCAGAAGGTGAGTTATCACGGTTGGGAAAATAACTGAAAGGTCAGTCCTCCGTTATCCGGCAGCACACAAATACTTGACAGCTATCTTAAGCTCAGTACGCTTGCAACTGTGCCACTTCCTTCGTAGCTGACCCCAGCCTATATACAACGATGCATGATACAATCACCTCCCAACCCACTCGGCGATGGCAGCTCGGAGCTGCTCTCCGTCCTCTCTCCTATTGTAAAAGTGCCCGGCACCCTCGATCTCGACCTTCCTGACCTGATCACCTCCCAAAGCTCTTAGTGTCGAAGCCCCAGTGAAGTCATCGCTTGTCCCGAAGACACACGTGACAGAAGTCTGTGACAGAGTGGTGTCGAGACCCTGCTGGAACGTCGGCCCACCCAGAGCTGTGAGGGCCTTGAATAGCGTCGGCGCGGGCGACACGAGTATAACTCCGCTTACAGGATGTGTTATCGGTGCGTTGAGCGCCGGAATCGTGCCGTAAGAGTAGCCCTGGATGTCAGCTCAAGAAGAACAATGCGCAGCAATAGCATTCTCGACATTTGTCTTGCCAACGACAGTTATGAGGCGATCAAGGCTGGAGGCACCGCGAGGAAGACGGAGTCATGGGCTCAATAGCCGGCCTGCTGGCATCGGGGGACACAACTCACCAACCGGTACACCTTCTCTGCCCCCGTCAGCTCTAGCCCTGCTTCTTCAACTGCGGCGAAGTCGAGGTGGTCGCTCCCCGGATATCTGCCCGGCCACGGTTGGCTTCCCTGCGACTTGCCAATACCCCTCGCATTGAACGTCAGCACGGCCGTATCCGGTCCAACAGCAGCGGGGAGATGTCGCGCGATGACACTGCCGTTAGCTCCTACAGCAACTGCAAGCCCAGTTCATACCCACGGAAAGTCTTGGTTACCGCCTAGCCGGCCCCAGGGGTGCGCAGCGGTCACGAGCTTCTTCAGCCCAAGGGCGCGGACCGCGGGCTTGAGCTCTTCTGGCGACGATGATGACGGGACGGCAGAGGGGAGGTAGAGACGACACTCGAGAGAAACGCCTGCCGTTGCACTGGGCAGAAGCAAGTTCAGAGCGCGCATTGTTGATGGAGGAAGATGCAAACAAGAAGGAAGGTGCCGTTGTCCCAGCTCTGTTGTTGCTGGAGGTGGAGGGTGGAGGTCGGCTTGGTGGAGGTCTCTCTCGCGTGGCTGAAGTCCTTGTCGATCACATTCAACGCAGCCCCTCAGTCCAAAGATTTGAGGATTCACCTCGTAGGGAATGAGCAGTCTAGCCCACGAGGGCTCATGTCGGCCGCCTTGCGACGAATAGCCCTCCATGGCAGCAAACCTTGCTATCCAAAGTGCCCTTACAGTCGCAAGGCGGTGACATCGACGAGGGCCCTTTGCTCATGCACACCCTGGCATGCAAACGGTATTGACTTTCGGGGGCCTGGTTCACACTTTTTCACTGTGCTTAACCTTGCCTGTCCGGCATGATAAGATACTGGAGCTGTGCAGGCGTACGCATCTGGTAACGACAGATGAGTAACGTTCTTGAGCTTCATTCCTGGTGAGCAGTTTGCCGGAACAGTCCGAGGACTCCGGTATAGCGTTGCATGTCGCCCACTGCAGATGCGGTGGGAGCGGCGACGGCGTCTGACGACCTCATCGCCCAGACGAGAGCCGAGAACAAGAGTCGCGCGCCGCATGACAAGGCACAGCTCCGTTCCTCCGTACCTTGCTCGCGACGCTTACGAGGCATGTGCGCCTGTTCGAACGTTACCAGACCACTCAAAATCCGCGTAGAGTTCTGCAATCCGCTACGGCGATTGCGGTGTCCGAGGGTCAGCTAGGCCGGGCGTGAAACGTAGCAGAAGAACGAACGGCACACTAGCGGCGACGTCTCCGTAGAGTTATGTCCTGTAAGGTCTGTCCATTCCGACGCACTTGGGGCTGTACCAGAACGCCGGGCTCCCAAAGAGGTGAACAGCAAGAACAAACGTCCATTTCCGGCTCGTCGGGCTCGGTCGTTCAGGACACTGTCGATGGCGAGTGAGGGCCAGTGCGGCGGAACCGGCATCCCCCGGCGGCCCAAAGCAGCGGCAAGGGGCTTAGGGCCAGTTTACCTGTTTGTTGTTTGTTTTGACGACCCAGAAAACGTCTGTGCGATGAAATACACAGGGGGACGCAAACGGGGCTGACACAGTGTGGCTTCGATGGCTTCTTCACCGGCTCAGTCTCACTTGCCCTTTTCTGCCCGGGTCCGTCCCTTGTGCTGCCCACGGGAAGCTGGCCAACATTCTGGAGACCGAGTGGACATACTGCCCCATCTGCTGTAACAATTAGTGACTTGCGCCCGTGCAGATTGCCGGCGCGCAACTTTCCAAACCTTTGCAGACAGACCAGTCCCTCTTGCCTAATATCAGCATCTCTGATTCAACTCGCTTGCTGCTGGGGGCAAGCGTGCTGCGGTCAGCGGCCTTTGAATTCCATACCATCGGCGACCTGTCCAAAGTCTTTGGCGGAGGGCTGCGGGCCGAATTGTTGACCTGAGGGGCCATGAGGGGCCGAGGGGGGCGACTAACTCGGTCGTTTGAGGGCGGCTGGTGCAATTCGGACCAGAACTTGGGAGTCCTGGAGGCTCGATTGCAGATTCAACGGAGTATCTCTGGTCGTCATCGTCATGGAATAGGAGTAACTTGTGCCACCTCCAGCCCTACGTTGCAACTTTCTGCTCACAGCAAGATGTAAAGTGAGAGATATTGCCCCCGAAGCCTCGAGGCCGACAGGCTCAGAGGAGTATGCAGCCCAACATGCATGCTCACAACATCTTACGCTGAGCAGATGGTCAGTCTCAAGAGTGGTAACGGCAGACCAGACTCGTCCCTTGAGGTCCCTGAGATGCCCTGGGCGTCCAGGGAAGGTGTGATGGACAGAAGAGCACCGAGGTCCTGGCCATGCACAGTCACCGTCACAACACTGTGGTCTCGTAAGCACCACACTGACGACATTGCACTGAAGCTGTTCCTTATGCCCAGCAAGTCACTTAATGTTTGGGTCCTGGGTCCCGTCATCGCAACCGGGCAATGGTACCCTCGTATCGCATCGCGTCCTGTTCCTTGATTGCTCTTCACTGAAAGATTAATGCTCATTCATGTGCGCACTGCAGATCTTGCGCAACTCAAACACAGCACCAACGCCATGGCACGCTTCTGACACTCTTCATGTGCTCGGCGCATCGTCTTGTCGCTATTCATGCCGCTCCATGTGGCTGACAGCCAATGTTTTCTTTTCTGGCCTCAATGCCTGACGCAAGCCTGACGTTTGAATATGATCTCAAACACGTCAATTCCGCTTGCAAAGGACAGGATGGCGGATCTGGCTTCGGACAGAGGGCTCATTGCGCAGGCTACGGGCTAGAAGGAAGAAGACCAGGCAGAACATGGGCTCGGCCGGCTCGAAAAAGCTCCCAACTCTGCGGCCAAGCCGACATCTCGAGCCGCAGGGGAAGGCTCAGGGCTTGAGTTGCTGGAGCAGTGGTGAGAGGACGGAAGGGGTGGGTCCGGTTACGTTATAGGGTTGGGCTTCCCTCAATTTCGCTCTGAACCCTCCAAGCATGCAACAACTACTCCCAACTTTTCCTTGATGTCGTCGATGCTCAGGTCCGTCAAGGGCCAAAACGGGCCCATGTAAGTCCCTCGCCAGTCGCACCTGTGCTAGCATGCCGGTTGCAACCCAGCCCAGGGGGAAGACCATGGTCGAGTGTTGTGCGGACCAGAGGTAAACAGCTGCCAACCGAGAATGGATCCAGCTCGATGAAGGCACACTCGGCGTTGAGCGTAAACATTTCACGATCTCCACACTCACTCACCTCACACCCTGGCCTGGCACGGCACTGTCCAGGATCCTGCCTGGCCTTCCCAGCACAGCTGCTCACTCAACCCCTACTATCTGCTCATCTGCGGTGCAGACGCCCTACGCCCCCGCCGCCGAAGATTCAGTGACTGCGATCCACGATCAGCCGTCCGCCCGTCCACCCGCGTGTGTGTTCGGCTGTGACCCGTATCTCACTCTACCGACATCTCATCTGTATCCATCTTTCATCTTTCATCTCACTCAGTCAACTTGCACCACCTTCACTCGCCGCCCTCAGCCTGTCTGCAGCATCCGACTAAGCTGCCCGCCGGTTCCCCAACGTCCTCAAGCTGTAAGTCGCCATCCCTTCCCTCCCCTTCCCCCATTGCGCGGTGTTCAGGTCGTTCGCACCCGGGGATCAACCAGAGTGGCCAGGATCACTGGTGTTGTGTACCCAACCAGGCAATCACTATGCCCATCTTACAGCATGGTTGTCGTCAACAAGCGACTTTGCGTAAGCTGCCCTTGCACCCCTTCGTTTTCTACGGCTCGCTGCCTGGTCGCTCCTAGTCAAGAGTGCGTAGACTAGGGACAGTCCTGTCTTCCCCTTTGGGCTGTCTGGGCTGGTTTGCACGGCTATAGTGCCAGGACTGCTTCGCTCAGACATTGCATCAGGCAGCAAGGATCAGTGCAGTAGCTTGAACCCTCGATAATGCGCCACGGCGTTGTCACTCCCACACGCCAACCCAGGTCTCCAATCGTCGGTAGGAAGCCGTAGGTCCAAGCACCAGGCCTCCCTCCTTTTGTTATGTGTTTTTGTCTCCAGGACAGGGCCGGAAGAAGGATCAGTTCAGACACAACAACTGGCAACCCAGCAACGAGACTGGGAGACCAGTGATCAACCGCTTTTCGGTGTCAACTCGGCGACCAGGCTGGTCTCGATCTTGGGCTCTTAGCTCCTTCTTCCTGCCTGCACACTTTACCAACTTCGCTTGCTTGCTCTCTCCATCCCCTTCTCTACTTTCTCCACCGCTCATGGCGCTGACGTTGCTCTCATGACTCCCCATCCGCGGCCCCCGACACCTTGCGACTATGGACACTCTAACCAAAATGCGACTCCCATTCCTATCCCCGACATCATCGTTGCCTTCCCCGACTCTCTGGAGGGCCCCAACTACTACGGCAACTACAACGACTTCTACTGCGGCTCTGAGTTCACTTCGACATCGACAACATTATCTTCTCTCACGCGTCTTGGCTCTTTTCGCCGTCTCACTCGTAGCTCGTCAAGCTTAGGACCGAAATCTGGGCAGAGGGGCCGCGCTTACAGCACCGGGGCAACGACCGGCCTTGGCGACTTTGCTGAAGCGGCCCGAGACGCCATGGCCGAAAAAAGGAGGCCATGGGGGCGGACAGGTTCTTTCCGAACCTCCGGGGTCGACTCCAGGCGTGCGCCACCGCCGCCTGATGATGACGAGCTCGATGGCTATGTCCCATACCGCCCACCGTATGTATCACAGCCCACCCCATCCACGAGCCAGCCCATCGTGATCAAGCCGTCGGGTGCCCAGGGGATCGGCTTAGCCCCTAAGCGGACACCTCCTAAGCATGGTCGCCCTCCGATCTCAAAGAAACCCAGCTTTTTCCGCAAACTGCTGGGCACCACCCGCAACGACAGGTCCAAGTTGATATCAGCCTCAACGCCGTCTCTTAGCTTGCAGGAGAAGGGCGATCGACCGCATTACCACCAGCATCAGCATCAGCACTATCATTACCAACGACACGGACGGCAGCCTTCTCAGTCTTCAACGCAGTTCTATCAAGCCAACACCTTCAACGGGAGACATTACCAAACAAGGCGGCATGACGCCCGAAACATCCCTTCTGTCGGAACAGGATTGTCCGGTCCTTCTGTTCTGTTTTCTCCTCTTACCCGCAACAGCAGTGTTCGCCACAGCGTTCGAAACGGATCGACGGGCGGCTCGAACGTGAGCAATCTGAACGTCGCGCTTCTGGGCGACTCCTCAAACATGAACATTCAGCCCTCAACGAACCACCATCTTTACGCCAGCACGCCCAATCTGATCGATATGTCCGAAAAGCAGTCTCAACCTGCGCATGACTGGCGACACACGAGAGAGCACAGGCGACCGGGAGCTAGCATTTCCCACTCGCAAGCCCCAACGACGCCGCCCACGCGCAGGAGGTCATTGCGCCGTGGTGACTCGACGTTGTCCCTGCACAGTGAAGGGTCGCGGTCTCGTTTGGCAGTTAGTACCATGTGTGACGCCTTGACATTCCCTCGACCCCGAATGTACGCCCACGAAGTGACTCCCCCCGACTCCCCCACCGACGATGAAGCCCTGAGCACTCAAGCCACTGCAAACATCAACGAGTTCAAGCAGGCGATGCACGCGACCGTGTCGCGGAATACGGAGCGCGAAGATTGGGCGGCTATCACACGGCGACCAAGTGGCAGCAGCATGCACCGCAAGAGCTCTAGCTGGAGCCGTGGGTCCGACTGCTCTCACTCGCAGCCTTCGATCATCAATGGCCCCCCGTCCGCCTTCACGACGCCCAGAAAGCACAACCGCACGCCCTCTCGGGAACGTAGCCGCGATCGAAGCGAGCGCGACTATGGGGAGCGGATCTACCCCCAGCGCACGAACTCTGTCGCGGGCTCGCTCAGGTCATTCTTCATTGGCTCTAGTAGTAATGCGCACTCGGAAGACGACTTGCTCGGCGGCGGGGGCAGGCGATCGCGTCCAAGCTCACGTATGTCTTACAGTGACACTGAACAAAGTTCAAACCTGCATTCGGGTCCAGTTCGACCCGGTTCTGCCTCTTCGGGGCATAGCCTCACCATCATCGGCAGCTCGCGTGGACTGCCTAAGAGCACGAGTACGCCATCTCTTGTGCCCCACAAGACGCCTAAGTCGACAGGCCATACCCCGAGGAGGTCGAAGAGTCACCGGCACTCGCGACGTCATTCTCGCAATGATTCGGGACCGCAGTATGTGCCACCGCCTCCTGTCATCCGTCATGCTGGACCACCGCGCGCCTTCCAGTTCCACCTGCAATCAGCTGCCAGGGCACACACTGGGGTAGTTACCATTGGAGGGACTTCTCAGGAACGCACCACTCGACACTTCCGCCCTCCTCCACCCCCTCCAGTTTCAGCGCGTCCAGTTGATTTCGCCCAGGCAAGATTACGACGTCCGCAATCAACAGAGCCTCCCGTGCAGCGCCGCAACAGGCCGCGTCGTTTATCTTCTCCCGTCAACCTTGACCGCCCTCCTGTCCAGATGGTCAGCATCAAGGCTGCCCCAGATGAAGAGATTGGCGTGGCAATCACGACCGATCGTGATCAGCCATTACGTTCGCCTGTTCGCCGGCGTCTTGACGCCGATGACGACTCCGCATCGGCTCATGCGCGGTACTTGGCAGCACGCCAGCAGCGGCAGAATGCTTCTCTGCCCTCGCTTCTCTCGGATGGTCCTGTCACTCCGACCGCTGATCGCCAGGTCTTACCTCCTGCGAAGTCTCAGACAGGCTCTGGACCGTTCCAGTTCCAGTCTTCGACTTCTTCGGTCGTTCCTGTCTCGCCCAAGGAGCCTCGGCGATCACTTGAGAGGAAGGACCGCTTCTTATCCACCTCTGATGTACCGCCTGTTCCTTCGCTCCAGGCCAGCTGGTACGCCGCGCACGCGCGGTCTCCGAGTACCCCGCCTCTATCTACGCAGTCGGTGGTCAACATCCCCGCTGAGACTGAAGTGGGCCCGTCTTCGCCCATGAAAGTGGCTGGCAAGGGCTCTGAACGAGGATCGATTTTATCCGAGAAGCCCATACACACCCTCTCGACGCCGACTGCCTCTTCCTCTTATCCTGAGTCGCCCACCGAATCCTCGGTGCTTCAGTCTCTGGACTCGCCGACAATTAGTCCCTTCGCGGACGTACATCGCGCTCCAGCTTCTGCCCCGGCTAGGATTCCTCCCCGCCGCGCCCCTCCAACACATCCTCCGCCCCCTGCGCCGATCTTCGCGCCTTCACATTCTCGCAACAACTCCCAATCGCGTTCAGGATCGTCCTGGAAGTTCAATGCCCCGTCTGTTTCGAGCGGATCTCAGCACAGCCAGAATGTGGTGACTCCCGCCCGTTCTAAGGCGATGACCGCCAACATGACGCCTCTGGGCTTCCTTGCCGCTTCCTCTCCGCCCAAATCGACGCGTGAGCTCACCCCCGAGGATCAGGAGCCTGCGATGGAGGAGTCGCCGGAAGGCACTCAGCCACGATCGGACACTCCGCCGCCGAAGCAGCGTGAGACGCTCATGGACGAGTCGCCCACGCCCATCAGGACGTTCCGAGTTCAGGCCCTCGCCCCTCCCCGACCTTCTCCCTCGGCTGCTGCGTCCTTCGCCGCTCAGCAGGCGGCCACCCCTGTTTCATCGAGCCTTCCTGCTGCCCAACCCTCATCACCGATGGTTCCCCTCTCGCCCACAACCCCGCTCGGAAACCGCCTCAACATGGGTTCAACGACTTCACTCGTGCCTGGGCCGGCTATGCCGGACTCGCTTCCTGATTCTTCGCCGCTCATCGGTCAGGTATCGCCGGTCTCGGTGTCGCAGCCTCTGGCTTCGCCCGCACCGGAGACCCCCACGTTTGGCGCGGAACGCAGTCGGTCAAACGACTCGATCAGCACCACCACCTCCGTCGCTATGCCTTCCCTCAGTGGCCGTACGCCGGAGAGCGCTGAGCGGCCCCCCGCTGCTGCTGCTGCCATTCTCAAGCGGCGCGGTCAGGGGAGCCTTTCCATCCAGACCAGCCCCTCTACCGACCGCATCCGTCAGGACCATCGTCATCTGAGTGTTACCCGGTCTCTCACTCCTGACTCGATTGCGAGGTCTATTGCGGCCTCGGAAATGAGCGAAACTACTCTTCCTGACCTCTTCCCTCCACCCGAGGAGTCAGAAGCCTCCCACTACTCGTCTGCCATGGAGGACAGCGGTTCTGTGGACACTCATGATCCCGCGCCTGAGGAGTTTTTCACCCCCACCATCGAGGAGCAACAGCCAATGTTCCCGGACTTCCGCCTGTCTTCCATCGAGCTGGCCCTCGAGCCGTTCCCTGAGCCTCCAACACCAGCTGAACGTGATCGGCCCTTGCCTCCTCTGCCTGCTCTCGGAACACGGAGCGTTCTTGGCATTTCCAACGCCACTCCAGGTCCAAGCCGCCCGTCTACCGCTCGTGCCCAATCCTCGGGCGCCGTTACAACCCTTAGTCAAAAGAGCTCTAATCAGTCTATTCGCTTCGCAGCCTCTGTGAAGCAGCAGGAAGAGAAGCGCTCCGTCTCGGGACCGAGGGAAGTCCTCGAGAACCTGCTGCACACTCCCCGTGCGCTCTCACGGCGCAGTTCTGGCCACTCTACTGCGCACTCGACTGCATTTGAGTATGACAAGCGCAGCTCGCTCGCCTCGCTGTCATCCGGGAGTGAGGGCTCCATGCGCCCTAGTTTGGATGGAGACTTTAACGGATTGTTCTTCCGAGCTCCCCCTGTCCCTGCGCCACTTGGCCATCCTTTCAACCGCAACTCCCAGCACTCTCAGAAGCGGCTGTCCGCATCATCTTCGGCTTCAGGTTCTGTCATTGCTCCTCTAGCCTCTGTCAAGCGGACCCCTGTCATCGAGCAGTTGAACGAGCCTCGCTCGGCCATCACTGACTCGCCTTTCGTCGGAGGCAGCGAGGGCACTCCCGAGTTGCGCACTCCCCTTACAGGCGATCCCCATTTTGGTCGCACGCTTCCTACGCCTCCTCATCCGCCTTCGCCCCGAGCTTCTCCCCCCAGGGTGACGCTCGACATGAGTGTGCTCGAAAGTCCGCCACGAACCACCTCATATGAGCCACGCGGCGAAATCGACATTAGCGCCTCACCTGTTCCCGCTCCCGCCCGCCAACTAGACGAGCACTCGTGGATCACCGAATGTAAGCATTCACTCGATTCCTATGCATGCATCGCTAACGTCTCAGCATACAGGCTATCCCAGCAGTCTGCGGTAGTACGGTCGCGAAGTGCCACATCGAGCCGTCGGTCATCGTGCCGTAAACCCCGGAGTGGGAGCGCCAGTGGTGATGTCTCGTTCTCGCCGACGACATTCGGCGTGCACTCCTTACCATCGTCAGCGCCGGGCAGCGGAACCTCCACCCCGATTCTTCTAGACGAAATCCGTGTTCAGAGGCAATACTCGTCCCCTCCCTCCAGGAGGCGCTCCTAAGCTCCTTTCCTTCAACACTTTCTGACCCTTCCTCCTCCGCTCAACATGTCCTCCACCACTGAAGATCAGCCTATGACGTCGTCGCTACCGGAGCACCATGCTTCCGCTTTCGGGCAGCTTGTCACCGGTCCTCCTGGTGCGGGCAAGTCCACCTACTGCCATGGCATGTACCAGGTAAGCATTGAAGCTTTCGACGGAGCTAACAGACAGTTCCTCACAGCTCTTGGGCGTCCCGTGAAGGTCATCAATCTCGACCCCGCTGTCACTGATCCCCCGTATCCATGCGCCGTCTCCATCACCGAGCTCATCACCCTGCAAGAGGTCATGGACGAGTATGGCCTGGGTCCAAATGGTGCCATGCTGTACTGCATGGAGTACCTGGAGGAGAATTTTGACTGGTTGCTAAACCGTCTGGACGAGGTGCTGGCAGGCGAAGGCGGTAACGGCTACATCATTATCGACACGCCTGGTCAAGCGGAGCTGTGGACGAACCACGACTCCCTGAAGCACATCATCCAGAAGCTCCAGAAGCTCGACTATCGACTGGCCGCGGTGCATTTGACGGACGCGCACGCCATTACAGACCCGAGCAAGTACATCGCTGCTGTGCTGCTGGCTCTGCGCGCCATGCTTCAGCTGGAGATGCCTCACATCAACGTTCTCAGCAAGATCGACACAATCGGCGGTTTTGGCGAGCTTCCCTTCAACCTCGAGTACTACACGCAGGTGCAGGACCTTGGCTACCTATTGCAGACGCTTCAGGACCAGCCTCGCGCCGGCGGGAAGAAGATGAAGAAGCTCAACGAGGCTATGGTCGAACTCATTGAGGACTTTAGCCTGGTCGGCTTCGAGACGCTTGCGGTCGAGGACAAGCAGAGCATGATGCACCTTGTGCGCGTCATCGACAAGGCGACGGGCTACATCTTCGTGCCCCTCGACGGATCAACGACGGACGACAACATGCACGCGCTGTTCTCGACGGCAGCCCGGCCCATGGACTATGACGTGAACGACGTGCAGGAGCGCTACAGCGCGGAGAACAAGGAGGCGTACGACAAGTTCCAGGAGGAGCAATGGGAGAAGGAGTGGGCAGCGCGCCACCAAGCCGAGGCGATCAAGAAGGCGATGCTCGGCCAGCAGGCGCCGCAGGAGGGTGACGCCGCCGAACACGACAACGCGGACGCACAGGAAAACCCGCGCAGCGGGCGCGTCCAGATCCGACCTAGAGACTTCTCGGACGAAATAGACTAGAACATTTACACGACCCGACACAACATCAGCAACAATCACTACGAACATTGGAAGAACGGCTTCGTTCTGCCCAGCGACCTCTACATTCCGCTTCACATCATCGATCCAACTTTCCCATTTCGGGTCATTCATCTCCAACGCATCTTGCCCATGCTCATCTGAAGAGGCTCGTGATCGTTACCAACCTATAATTCTAGCATTCATATCCCTCCCGAATACAGATCGGGGACGCTGTTGTATTCACCACTTCCAAGCATTCATCAGTCCATTAACAGTAGAGATCTATGTGAAGCAGCCTGCAGGCATTGCACAAGTCTTTCTCGCGAGCAGGCGCAGCAGGGGTTAACCAATGATCATGTGTTTGTGGGTTTGCATCACAGATACTCATCGTCTGTCTATCTACTATATAACTGTTTCGTTGTAACATCGTCACCTAGCCCTAGCGTCTACCTACGGCCCGGTCCGCGGGGACGGGCAAAGCCGCCTCCGGCGCCTACGCGGGGTCCAAAGGCGTCAAAGGCATTCTTAATGCGCTCCTTGGAGTCGTCCTCGTCATCTGCCTTCCTCTCGCTAGCCGCCGAGGTCTCACTAGGGTCGAGGGTCTGGGAACGCTGGGGAGCACGGCCGAACCCGGCGGGCGCCGGCGCGCCAAAGATGGGTGCAGGAGATCCAGGCTTGGGCGCTCCAAAGCCGTGGACGCGGGTACGCGGCATGGGGAAGGCGGGGCCGGCAGAGTGGGATTTGGCGGGCGTGCTCGTGCCCGTCGTCGAGCCCGAGGGGCCGGAGCCGGGCAGGGCCTCCTTCAGCTCCTTGGCCGAGACGTCGGAGCGGTCGCTTGCCTCAAGCTTACCCGCCAGCGCGATGCCGGCCTTGTCCTGTGCGTCTTGCTGCATGCCGCGGACTGTTGTGGAGTAGACCATGCGGAACTTGACGGGCGAGCCGGGCGGGCACCAGTACACGAACACGACGCGGCCCTTGACGGGTTCCGGGCTGGACGGGGGGAGTGGGGAGGGAGAGCGCGTGACGCGGTCGGGCTCGTCGATAGCGAGGTTGGACACCGAGGGCGTGCCTTCCTTCTCGTTGCCCTCGCCGGCCTCGGCCTCGTCATCCTTCTTCTCCTCGGTGTCCTCATCCTTCTTCTCCTCATCCTCGTCCTTAGGCTTTTCCTCGTGGTCCTTCATGTCGGCATCGTCGCCCTCCTTCTCCTCGGCATCGTAGCGCGGCGCGTTGCTAGCCTCGACGGGACGAGCACCACCAGCAGTAGCCTGGAAGGTGTTCTTGGCCGCGGCCGGTGCAGCGGTAGCAGGCTTGGGCGCCGGAGGCGGCGTCGCAGGTGGCGGGGTGGGGTATGAGTAGAAGACGTATGCCGGCTGCTTGTCGGGCAGCTTCCCAGCAAGCTCCTCGGGCTTGCACGCCTCAGACGTGAGCAGCTCGATCGTCTTGGCGTCGCTTCCGATCTGGACAGCAACGACCCAGCCGTCATCAGAGCGCTCAGCGACCTTGGCGAGCGCGTCGGCGACGCCGTCCCTCCACTGCGTCTTGCCACCGAGACCGATGACGGCAGCTCGTCGCGCGCGGTTCGTCTCGGCGTCCTGCGCGGCGCGCTTCGCCTCCTCGGCCTCCGCCGCCTTGACCTCGGCGAGAGCCGCCTCCGAAGCAGTGAGCGGCGGAGGAGAGAGGATATGGTCCAGGTGCGCCTTGAGCGCGCGAGGCGTGAGGTCATCGTGCGACGTCGCGAACCAGTCATGCTTAAAGTTGTTCGCGCCGAGGGCCTTCATGAGTCCTCCGCGGGAGGAAGCCTGCAGCATCTTGGCGCGGACCTGGACGTTAGCTTAGGAGCTAGTGATCACAAGCCAAGATAGAGACACTCACGCCGGCATCGTCGGGGACAAAAGTGACCATCATCCACTCGTACAGGCCGCCCTTCTTCGTGTCGAGGCGGTACGCGAAGGAAGCCGGAGTCTGCGGCGTCGGCAGCGTTGGGCCCAGGAGCGCGATGTCGTCACTCCAGCTGCCCTGCGGTGCGACCGTGTCGTGGTGCTTGAACTCCTCTGATATGTTAGCTATTCTGCAGCGCACCAAACAACGTTATGCCGGGTCCATAGTTATTGCCTGTTGACAATCACGGTGGACGAAGACAGCAAAACTCCTGCAAAACATGACTCACCACCATCGATGACGAAGACGAGGGCACGAGTGTTGGCGGCGTTGCTCTTCGCGTCCGCGAAAGCGCTCGTAAGCGTCTCCGGAACCTTGATTCCCGATGGCGCCGACATGGTATGTGGTGTTTTGAAGCTGAGAGTGCAGAGGGAAGACACAAGTACAGCAAGACCAGGATCAGCTGGTGACGAGGTGGCCCGCTGTGGCCTGGTGGGAGTGCGTTGTTGGCTTAGACCCGGCGCTCAGGCACGGACCTCCACTTCCATCCACCACCGACCCTGGATGACGAAGGGATCTTCACCATGGCGCTGCCAGCTGCTGGATGCTCCGAGGAAGCACCTATTTAAGCACAAGAGAACCAAAATGCGATGCATATGTACAGGAAAGTCTATGTGCTGGAGGTGGAATGATCGGGCTACTTCTTCGTCTTCTTCTTGACACCGCCGGCGGGATCTCCGGGCCGCTTCTGCTTGCCGTCCGCCTTGTTTCCATTCGGCTCGCCTTCCGTGGCTGTAGTGTCCTTCACAGCCTTTGTCTCATTCTGCTCCTCAGCAGCTTCTCCGGGTCCGGGAACAAGTCGAGGAGCAGACACAACGGCCTTGTACGTCCTTCGGGCCTCTTAATATTAGCCTGATGCGCGGATGTGGCAGAAACCTCAGTCAGTCAGTACTCACGGGCTCTGAGCAGCACGGCCTTGGGCGTCCGCGACACTGCGTCCTTCGCGAGATTCGCAGGTACGCCGAGAATGGTGGCAAAGTTGACAACGTCCAGCGGTCCGCGAATGCCATCCGGAGCGCCCCCGGGACCTGAGGTGAAGATGATGTCCTTCCCTCCGGTGACACGGACGAGCTCGCGCGCGTTCGTCAGGAAGTTCTGGCGGTATCGCCGCGCGATGTCGGACGGTACAGACTTGGACGGGAACAGGCCAGCAGCGTACGGAATCTCGAACTGAACGTCAGCTTATGTGATGGATGAGGAACTCACAACGACGCCGTTGCGCTGCGCCTGGCGGATCTGTTTCCGGTTTAAGCGGAAGTGGTACGGCCGCTCGTGGAGAGGAACGGTGATGATGGAGACCTGGAGTTAGCTTGAGGGCTCGAGGTTGGCGCAGCTACATACCTGGTTAGGACCTGGGTTGGCGAGATCGGTGCAGGCGATCTGGAGTGCCTTGTCGCAGCCGACGTGCACAGAGAGTAAGTCGTAGTCACGAAGCGTCGCCGTATTCGTGGCGGTCTGAGATCAGCTTCCTAGTATGATCGAAAAAAGCTCACGATCGGGTTGACCTTGCCGTCATCGAGACGCATGTGGTATCGCGTCACCTGCACCAGCGTGGGCTGCGAAGGCCCGGCGAGTTCAGCGTACCGAGGGTCCAGTGAAGGATACGGCAGGCTGCGGTCATCGGGGCCGCCAAAGGGAGATGGAATCACGTTCGGAGACTGCTCAGCCGTCACCGTGTACGCGATGACAGTGTATCCGACTGAAGTCAGCTTATGCTGCAATCGCGGTCACTTACGGTGGCCAGCAAGAGAGACCTTCCTCGCGACATCGGCGCGCTCAGTAGCGGACAGGCCCGCCCAGCAGTTCGGTGGTGCTTTCGGCTCCTCCTCCTTCGCCTTTCCCTTGTCCTTGCCCTTCTTCTTCGGAGCAACGTCCGGCGTCCGGTACGGGACGTGGAGGTCGTAGTACATGGCGAGCTGGTAGTTGAGTTGTAGACAAGCTGGCCCGGCCGCCGGCTCGAAATATCTCACAGATGATGAAATCTCCCAGACAATCGTTATCACGATCAAAACACGCGGCCACCGCAGAATTTCCGACCACGTAATTTTTCTGCGCTGGCAAATCAATAATTAATCTTCAGGCGGTTACATCAACCCTTCACCCTCCCTCGATCCTTGTTATCCTCCTCACCCCGGTGCAGATTATCATCTCGGCAGCTCCTCCTCGACTGCATCGCACCTTCTCCGACTCGGATACCCTTTAATCCTCTCAAAATGGCTGCTCCTACCACCCCCGCCAACGGCGACAAGCCCTCCGCCGGCAACATGACCTCGGCTGACTAGTGAGTAACCAAACAGTGCTCACACCGTGGTGCCGCCTGCAGCTTTGCGCCGACCAGGTAGCTAACTTGCAGCTACGCCGACTCCTACGCGCACTTCGGTATCCACGAGGAGATGCTCAAGGACCAGGTCCGAACGCTGAGCTACCGCAACGCCATCATCCAGAACAAGCACCTCTTCAAGGACAAGGTTGTTCTCGACGTGAGTTCACCAGGCAGTCTCATAACGGACTTGCAACTAATCTTCAGGTTGGTTGTGGAACTGGTATCCTCTCGATGTTCGCTGCCAAGGCCGGCGCCAAGCAGGTTATCGGCATCGACATGTCGAACATCCTTGACACGGCCCAGAAGATCATCGACGCCAACGGCTTCACTGACAGTGAGTTAAGAATGCCCTCATCGTGCTGACTTTGCGCAGAGATCACCCTTCTCAAGGGCAAGCTCGAGGACGTTGAGCTCCCTGTCAAGCAGGTTGACATCATCATCTCGGAGTGGATGGGCTACTTCCTCCTCTACGAGTCCATGCTCGACACCGTCCTGCTCGCCCGTGACAAGTACCTTGCCCCCGACGGACTTCTGTTCCCGGACGAGGCGACGATCTACCTCGCCGCGATTGAGGACCAGGACTACAAGGAGGAGAAGATCAACTTCTGGGACGATGTCTACGGCTTTGACTACTCGTGCATCAAGGAGATTGCGCTCAAGGAGCCGCTGGTCGACTGCGTCGAGCTCAAGAGCGTCGTTACGCAGCCGTGCGCGATCAAGCACATTGACATCCGTACCGTGAAGAAGGAGGACCTCGACTTCACCGTTCCGTTCGAGCTCAAGGCCACGCGCAACGACTACATCCACGCCTTCCTCGGCTGGTTCGACATCAGCTTCTCGTGCTGCCACAAGCCGGTCCAGTTCTCCACTGGCCCCCACGCCAAGTACACGCACTGGAAGCAGACCGTGTTCTACACCCCTGACACCCTCACTGTCTCAGAAGGCGACGTCGTCAAGGGCACCCTCAAGTGCTCGCCGAACGCGCGCAACAACCGTGACCTCGACATTGAGATCGACTACGAGGTTGAGGGCGCCGAGGCCGTTAAGAACAAGATGGTTTACAAGATGTGAGTCACACCAGACTGGTAGCGAGTGAGGAGAGCTGATCTGACCAGGTCTTAATCGTGGCGAACGATTTCCTCCCTTGTCTTCTCTTCCATTCTTGTCTCTGCTACATTTGTGTCACTTCGTGTTCATTACATGTCCCACTACATCACCAACATCTCACCGACCCCGACATCACCATACAACAATCAATCTCCTGTCTTAACCCCCGGTCTTCAACAACAGGTACTGAGGTTGAGGACGTCTAGTAGAAAGTGCATTGTACGATATCCCCTTTTCATGCGACTTGCAACCTTGCATGGGTTTTAGCCATATCTCACTGCTGCGGAGCTGCATACAAGGCTAACGTTGGCGTGACACTTCATTGGCATGACTGACTCTTTTCTTATGTCTATACAGCGAACTGAGAGGGGTCTATAAGCGTTCTGTACTGTACTTCTTCCTTCTATGTCGAGCACCTCTTAAGCGACAAGGCGCTTCCTTTCTCCCCACGAGTCGTCGACCTTGTTCAGCTCTCCCTGGAGGCGCTTTACGCCGTCCTTCCTCTCCTGGCGAGCATTCTTCCACTCGCTGGGGATGTTGACGCCGTCGAGATCCAGCAGGCCGCGGAGTAAGAGCTCCGACAGACGCGCGTGCTCGCGCTGCAGCGTCTCGAACGGCGGCACCTGCTTCGGCCGGTTGGTCGCCTTGGGATTCGTGAAGGAGACAAAGGTCGCAATGGCGGGCTCGAGCGGCTCGACGACGCCGTTGACGAGGTTCCGGATCCAGCTCGTCAGGACGTCCTCCTGGTCCGTCTCGGGCTGGACGTTCTTCTTCTTCACGACCTGCTGGGGCTTGGGCGCCGGCGGCTCGGGGCCCTTGCCCTCCTTGCCAACGAGCGCGAGGTCGGCTCCGTCCGTAATTCCGTACGAGGAGATCGTGAGCGATGGGTCCTTCAGAACGGCACCCTTATAGATGAGCTTGAGCTGAGAGGCGGGCACACCAGTCTGGTGCGACAGAGTCCCAATCAGCTGCGAGAGAGGCGTCAGGCTCGGATTCGGGATCGGAATGTTGAACCTGTTGTCAGCTACGAGCAGGAGACCACGGCTTGTAGGTGCTGCGTGGGGGCTAAGGTGGAGGCCACACTGTCGTCCTGCGCCCGCATGCCAGCGCCAGCGAACATGCGCTGTGCCGCATACATTCCTTCCCAAAAGTCTACTCACCGGTCACGCCCCCACTTGACGTGGACAGTAATCTGGCCCGAGTCGTTCTCCTGCTGCGCGCGCTTGAAGGGGTTCTTGAACTGGGACATGGCTGCTCGACCGCTCAACGGTGGCACTGGGGTGTCAGCTGGAAGTGCTACCGAACGCGAAGCTGAAATTAAGCTTTTGAACTCACCGATGGAATCGAATGCTGAGAACGACAGGTTGGGCGGTTGGGTAGGGAAGTAGAGGGGAGAATAGTTGTCGCGGTGAACTCGCGGTGATTCCGACGCGCCAAAAGATCCATGGCACACCGTCATCATCCACCGCTTGGCCTTTGCGGCCTGGCCTCCACTCCGCGCTGGCGGGCTAAGCTGAGTAGGCCGAGACGAGGCGGGACCTAATGGAGTCATGAGCGGGGTTCGCCTGACCTCCGCGTCTGGCCTCCACTCCTGTTATTGCTTGGCGCTGAGATGTGCAGCCAGAAGAGACGGTCCAAAGTGACAGAGGCGCAGAGAAAGGTAGTAAATGAGAGATGGAGAGATGCATGCACACCCGGTTTGAATATCCTACAACATATGCTCATGAGATTATGACAAGCTTGTTACTTCCACAGACCCGAGAGGCGCGTCTTAATGCTCTCCCAGTCGTCGAGCGCGGGCCGGGCGTCAATGTAGAACGCCATCTTCTGCGGGTTGTTCGGGTCGGGCTTGCCTGTGTAGAAATCAATCACGTAGCGAATCTGCGTCCCACAGCGGTCCACGATCCAGTCGTGGCGGTCGAACGGAGGGGTGTATCTGCTGTTAGCTGCCCGATTCCGAGTCAGACAATCCAGCTCCCAAAGCCTCAACTCACCCGAACATGGTCTTGATCCAAGCCTTCGGCGAACGCTCCTTAGGCCTTCCGACAAAGCTAGTCAAGCGAACTCCACCACAGCGGTCCCCACCCTTGCCGGCTTCCCACATAAGAATGTCCTCCCAAGCCTTCTCGTTGACAGCGTTGTGGATCGGGACGATCGTGCGCATGTCGGCTTGGCGCGGCTTGTGGTTCTTGCGTAGCATCGCGTTGAAAAATTGCTGCTCAGAGGGGTACACCCACTTGTCGGTCTGCTCCTCCTCGGGCGTCGGAAGCGCTGCCTGCTCCGAGTTGTGCGTGTACTGGCTATGCGAGGAGCGGGGAATCGACGAGATCTCGCGCTCCGTAGAGAGCTGGGCACGCTGCGGCCTAGCGGGAGCAGCCTTCGAGGCCTGTTCGGCCACATCGGTCCAGACCTTGCGCGCATCGTCGTTAACGGGGCACGCATCGGCACCCATGCCGGCCGGCACTGGCGGGTGGTCCGCCGGCATCGCAGCCGCGGGCTTGGCGTGCATGCCTTCGGGGCACGTCTTTGGGGCCGCAGGCGTCGCCTGGGTCGAGTCGGCGCCGACGTTGAACTTCATGACCGATGGTGTGGTGGCAAAGAGATAACAGGGAAGACGAACAGAGCACAAGAACCGATTGAGATCGAGAACCAAATCTCGGAGGATCGGGCCTCTCCTTGGGTCATCTCAGGCGGGGAAGGCTCTGACTTTTCTGCGGAAGCAAGTCGCATATCCGTGCCTGAGCTTCGGCCTCGCGTGGCCCAGGAACCGGACCCTTCCTCGCAATCTCAGGCTGTTGCGTAACGGTACGCAGGCAGGCGCCAGGTCAGAGAGGCGAGACTGAGCATCACTGTGCATTGTCAACATCGGTCAACCTTCCCTCGACGACGGCGCCGTCTGCACGACCTATGGCGGCGAACAATCAGCAGCAGGAGCCCTCCTCGGGGAGCTTCAATGCTGCGCCCCCGTTCGATACGAGTCGCTTCGCGCTGCTGCAGCGTCACCGTTCTGGTGGCCAGGGCTCGATCGGCCGCGCTGTTGACGGCGGTCCCCGCGACGAAGCCGACGCCGGCCCACCCACCGGCGGACAAGATGGTGTCTCCCTCGGCCAGATCAAGAATGCTCAGATGGCGGCCAAGCAGAAGGTACAGCTGTGGTAACTTGCGTTAGCTGACCATGCAGACGCAGCGATTCGACTTCCGATATGACGACACCGACACAACCATGAATGAGCTCGACGAGTTCTACCCCTACATTGAGATGAGCCAGGTTGCGCAGATGCACACACGCTTTGAGGGCTCGTTTGACGGAGAATGGACGTCGGCCTCCGCTACCAAGCGTCGGGCGTACATTGAGACGCAGCTCGAGTACCTCGAATCACCGGTTAGCGACACGCGACGAGCAGCTCAAGGACGCCTGCTTTACCTTCTGCAAGGTGAGCTTGAGTTGAACTGCGGAAGAGCTGACCCCAGGTTGCTTCGCGGAGACAACTTCCCCGAGTATGCAGCTGCATTGGATTATTGAGAATGCCAAGATGATTCGGTCGCTCGATGGCATTTCCACCCTAGTCTATGGCCTGCGCGACGCGGCTCGAAGATATGATGCTAATGAGTAGGTTGAACTATCTTCGTATCCATCTAACCTGGCAGTGTGATGGAGAAGCCGGGAAGCGGCGGTGCCCCAGCCCCGGGTACCCGCGAACGTGCTGGGTCCACGAACCTAGTCTCGGTCGACCCATACGACGTCAACAGTGCTGAGCTCATGGACGTCCTCGCGATGCTCTACTTTATTGTCGAGGTATTCCGCTCTGACGAGACGTTTGGCGATGAACTCATGGCGATGGACCCGCCGCTGCCCCTAATGCTGGTCGGCATGGTTGCGGGTTTGAAGGACAAGAAGGTCCCGAAGGGTTACCCTGTCAAGAAGGTGTTACTCTTGCTCTGGAAAACTCTTCTCGCCTGTCTGGGAGGGATGAATGAGGCTGCCAAGACGAAGGCGCTCTCGCGAGAGCTGGAGGGTTTGGGTCCTGAGAAGAAGGGTGAGTTGAATGTTTCCGCGGTCCCCTTCGCTAATATCAGACTTCACCCGCGCTACGCCAATGGACGTTGCGACCTGGCGACGAGACACCTCGACCAAGTACCCGACCTTTGCTCCTCCGCCGTCAGTACCATCAGGCGTCCCAACGTCCACCGAGTCGTTGGCAGAGAGCGTTCGGCCGCTGCCGAATCGACCGAATTACCACTCAACCGAGATCCCGGAGAGCTCATCTGCGCCCTTCAGCGGCATGCCGCAGCCTGGTATTCCTGCTCCCACGCCACCGCAGACACCGCAGCAACGCCCGAAGAAGCTGCAGTTCCAAACGGATCCGACACGTCCGTTCGTCTTCCCTTACTCGCAAACATCTACGGGACCACCTACCAGTCTGGTTCCGTATGCGATCGCTGAGGCGGACAAGCTGTACAACTCGCACTTGTTCGTTTCGCTTGGTTTGTATCAACTGTGGAAGGCGAGGGAAGACTGCATGCGGGAAGAGCGCGGACTCGGCGCCTCTGGTCTGATCGGGTTCTCGAGCCTCAGGATAGACGACGAGGATGATGAGGCCGCTGAGCAAGCCATGCGACGCGATTGGAAGTACGAGGAGGAAGAGATGAAGGCTCAGGAGAAGGGAGATACGGCTGGAGTCAAGCTCGCACAAGAGAAGCGAGCTGCTTCTCGTCGCCTGTACCGCGTTGAGGTCATCTACGTAAGTTGATGTTTTCGATGATTCGCTAACTTTCAGCGCTCGATGCTTCCAATGATGCAGAACGCTGTCATCGTCCTGCTGAAGCTGCTCCTGGCTACGGTGACGGGAACAGGAGCGCAGGGAAGCCAGTTAAGCACAGGTGGCATGGCTCCGCCACTCGGCTCTCCAACACAAGACATGCCGCCTCAGCAGGAGGCGCTGCCGCCTCCGACGAAGGAGGAGATCGACATTGCTCGTCACCGTGAGATCACATCCAAGGCTGTCTCGGCGATCATTCTGCTGCTCCTCAAGTGGTTCAAGGCCTCTCACATCCTCAAATTCCATCACTTGACGCAACTGCTGCTTGACTCGAACTGCCTTGTGCTCGTGCTCAAGATCTTTGGTCTACAGGAGCTCTCGCAGATGGTGCAGACGAAGAACGAGATGCCTGAGTGCAGCTTCTTCCAGTACCTACATCTGAACGCCTCCAAGGCAGCACGGGAGAAGACTGCCGAGCCTGAGCCGCCCGTCGAGAACTCGGTCAAGGTGACGGAGGAGAACGGCGAGGAGGTCGAGGTTATCACCGACTACTCGTGGCGCAACTTCTTTGCCGCGATCAATCTCGTCAAGATTCTGCAGAAAATCACAAAGCACCGTGTTCACCGCATCCTGCTCATGTGCCAGTATAAGAGCTCTGCGATCTTGAAGCGCGTCCTGCGCGTGAACCACCCCATGCTTCAGCTGCAGGTACTCAAGCTCGTAAAGAGCCAGATGCCATACTTTGGCCGCAAGTGGAGATCGAGTGAGTTACAGCGTAAGTTGACTGAACTGACATGCAGCGAACATGAAGATCATCACCTCGATCTACCTGAACTGTCGCCCGGAGCTGCGCAACGACTGGTTAGTCGGTGTCGAAGCAGACCTCGAGGCGGAAGACCAGCTCGTCGGCATTCCACAGGAGCACGCGCTTCGCTCTCTTATTTCGTTCTACAACAAGCAGAACTACGCCGCACACATGGCGCCCTCCATGCCAGACGAGTCCTACCGGCGGATGGAAAGTGGTGGCTTCCTTGACCACGCCCCGCTCAGTCCAAACCGGCGGCGGTCGCGGCTCGACTCGCTCGCGAGTACCGAGGAGCTCTTCGATGCCAGAGGTGACCCGCATCTGCCTTACAACCCTGACGGCATGATCGAATTCTGGATGCACGAGTACGAGGACATCCTGCGAGATGTGTTCGGCGACGGTACGCGCGACGAGTGGGCCGACACAGGCAGCCCTGCCAGCCCTGCCGCGCCCGGTCCAGCCGAGGGCCGAAATGACGCAGCGTGGATCCGTCTCGGAGAATTAATGCGTGCCCGTGGTGCGCCAGAGGACGACACGATCTCGGACAGCGAGAGTGTTGTCTCGGTCGGCGAGCTGGGTGACGATGCCCGCCTCGAGGCGGAGGCTGAGGGCCGCACCATGTTTGCAGCGATGCAGGAGCGCAAGCGGCGCACGTCGCAGGGCGACGAGAATACCTGGGAGGTGAGTTGTATGCACGACGAAAAGCTGACAGCAGCACATGAGCCCCACGACGATGAAGCTGCTCCCGCGCAGGCCCTCGGATCGCCGGCGCAGCTCCAGCGGTGGTTCGCCCCTCCGCCCCGTCATGGGCCTCGGGCCTGTGGAGGACCTCGACGTGTTCGAGGACGAGGAGCTCCCCGGCCCCATGCCCATCACGGAGGGCACGCCGGACGAGATCGAGCGCGACTTTGGTGCCGTCGACGAGGTCGAGTACTTCTACAACGCGTAGGCGGATCCGCCCACGACGAGAGGTGTAGCTTATGTCCGCCCAGGTACAGAGTAGTCACAGTGCAGTAGCAGAAGTAGCAACATAGATGCAAGTGTAAGCCAAATCAACCGCGTGAAGGAATGTGATTTTTGCATATCATAACAGTACAACTGGTAAGGACTTGGAGTAGTTCTCATACTTCTTTTATCTACTGATCCAGAATCTCGACCTCGTGGCGAGCAGCGGGCTCGGCGGGAAGGACAGGAGCGGCTCCCTCGGCGGGGGCGACAGCATTAACCTCATCGACAACAACGGCGGCTGGCTCGGCGGGCTGAGCGGCGGCGGCGTCGGGTTGGGGCTGCGCCTGCGCAGCCATCTGAACGAGCACTTCACGACCGGGGTCGTTCAGCGGCTGGCGGCGCTTGTACTTGTCGCGGAAGCGCCTCCAGACCTCCTGCCAACCCTCGACGCTGCGCCACTTGCGGTCCTGGAGCCAGCGGCGGCCCCACGTCCTCGCCTCCTGGGTCTGAGTGACCTGCTCGCGGGTGGGCTCGACAATCTCGCTCTCCACGAAGCGCAAGCCAAACATGGCACAGGCATGTAAGGCGTCGTAGACCTGGACGATCGAGTTGGCGACGCCAAGCAGGACGAACCCGACAATGATGCTCCGCGAGCCGCCGAGCGCACTCAGGACGGGGTCTAGGCTGATCACGCCCGAGAGCGAGATGGTGTAAATGAGCTGGAGAGGGGCGAGGAGGCGAAGCGAACCAAGGAGCGAGAGAGCGGACAAGGCACCCAGCAGCGCCACGCCGAGAAGGAACCGAAGAATGAAGTCTAACATCAGGGGCGAGACCCAGCGCGAGCCCTCGAACATGTCGAATGCCTGGGCCGTGATCGCGATGAAGGCGTTGATGCTGTCGTCGATCAAGTCGAGAATGAAGGTCGCACCGCCCATGTACACGACCATGGTGCCGTCCTCCGACTCCCACGTAGAGCCCATTGCAGAGGATGAGTGGCTTCCCTTCTGGTACAGGTTCAGGAGGAAGTGGAGGAGGAAGTGCCCCGTGATGAGGGACATCGAAATGAAGGTCGCTGCCGTGGCGAGGCTCAGCGCGCGCGAGGACAGGATGAAGTCGCCCCACTTGCCCCGGCGCAGGACATAGGTGTACTTGCACTGCGGACACTCGAGGAACGTCTTGCTGTTCTTCGCGCGCCACATCGCTAAACACTGCACGTGCACGTACCGCATCGAGCCGGAGCAGAGGCACGGCGACATGAGCCGCCCCATCTCGCCCTCCTCGTCCACGCCCCCGAAGCAGATTCTGCACGAGCGCTCCTTTCCTTCCTCGTCGATTACGCCAGCGCCCGTGGTACCGGGAGCGGTGCCGGGGGCAGTCGCGTTGGCGGCCGTGCTGTCAGCCGCATTGGCAGGCGGTGTGTCCTTGGAGCCGGTCTCAGCCGACTGGGCCGCAGGGTTTATTTCTAGCGCAGCGGCGCTGGCACCGTCAGCTGGCGTGGAAGATTGGAGCGCTGCGTCCTGCCCTCCTTCATCTGGCAGCGGCACCGTCGGTGTCGGTGTGAGCTGCTCCTGCATCGAGTTCTTGGGTTGGGTGTCAAACGAGTGTGCTGTACTTGCGCCAGTGCTGGGGTATTCGCCGGCGGCCGGCCCTGAGGCGGCGACGTTGCCGGGCTCGGGCTCCCCCAGCTGGTCGGCGGCCTCGCGCTCGGCGTGTGCGACGTTGCGTCGGCGGAGCTGGTGCTCGAGCTCGGAGTCTATCCTAGACTCGTCGACGTGCGAGCCCTCGCGCTCCAGGCGCTCCGGATACGTTGCAGACATGGTGGTGGGGTGTTGAGAAGGCGATGGAGAGATTGCGGTAATTAGTTCGGTCGGGCTTTAGCTGGGTGGAGATCTCAAGCGGCCCCGCTACGAGCCGCCTGCCTGCGCGGATCAGGGGTGTCAGCCAGGCACGACTGCCCCAGCGAAGCCTCCGTCGCCACTCTGCTTGTGTGGTTCGTACCCTCGTCACCGTCATCGGCCGACTTTTGAGTCTGCACTCTTCCTCACTCACATTCACATACCTCATAACATCGACATGAGCGGAGCACCGACATCATACTCCAGTCTGAAGGACTTCAAGCGCGGCAAGTCCCTCCGCGAGCCACGCGCTCCGCCTCCGCCCGGAGGGTACAAGAGCTCGGGCTGGAGCGGCTCGAACTCTAACAGAGGCTACGGCGACGAACACATTTCGGCGTCGACCGGCTACATTCCCCCGGTCTCGAGCCACACGCCATCGCCGGGTCCCTCGACGCCGAGCGAGACCTCTGAGCGCAAGGGCTGGTTTGGCCGCTCGTCTTCGACCGACGTTCACCCAACGACGTCAGCGACGTCTGACAAGAGTGGAGGCGGTGGCTGGTTTGGGCGCTCGTCATCACCGGCTCAACAGCCCGGGCGCACGGCGTCGCCCGCGCAGGGCAACGGTATTCGCAACTCGACGCTTCCTAGCCATGCGCGCGAAGCTAGTGGCTCGTCGCGCATCCCGAACGGTACGACGCACGAGAAGGAAAAGTCTGGCGGCTGGGGGCTTCCTTTCGGTCACAAGGAGGAGAAGAAGGAGCCCAAGATGGGCCGCGGTGGTCGCATTCAGCGCTACGTCCCGCCGAGTGAGCGCGAGGTGGGCGAGGAATTCACGGGTCGCCCAATGCGCAACCACTCGCACCAGTACACCGAGGACGAGATTGATGAGAACGTCCCCGGCGGCGTGAAGAAACCCCAGACCTGGACTGAATGGGGAAACGAGCAGGTCAAGTGGGCGCGCGAGACGGCCAACGAGACTGGTGTTGCGGCGCAGAAGCAGTGGCAGCAGGCTACCAGCGGCGACACCCGCGACCGAGTAAGTATCCCTGTCGCTAATCAGAGCACGTAATAGAAGCTGACGAGCAGGTCTTGACTGGAGTCGGAAACGGGGTCACAAAGGCCGCTGGTACCGCGATCAAATACACCGGCAAGGGCATCTGGGCTATCGGTAAGGCCGCTACGCGATAGCAGCAACCATCTTTGCATCGCCCACCCCCCCGTGCCCATAATCATGTGGCCCTGCGATTCTGTATGTTGTAGACAATGAAATTGTGCACTCGCACACACCTGCATCACTAGTATCAGCTCTTCATCTCTGCATCCATCATTGCACCTTTCGCACCCTTCTTGCCCTTCCAGTGGCTCGCTGTACGCACTGACACCATTGCCAAGACGCCTCTCCAGCAAGGGCGAAACGACCTCCACAGCCGCCTACATTTTAGGTTCAAGGCAGTGAGGGAGACATTGCGTCAGATCCACGTGGCCAGTTTTGTCACGTGACTCCCATCGATTTCTGAATGTTGCTGGTTTCGCGTCCACTCCAGGAGAGCATCATCAGCGTCAACACACACAGTCACGACAACGCAAGCAAGCATGTTCAAGGTCTCGAGGATAGCGCCACCGCCAGAGTATGAGCCTAAGATGGTTGAGGAGGACGAGAACGGAATGGAGCTCGACGGGCCTGCCGGCAGCAGCGTCGTCACGCCCGGCGAGGGCATTGCGAGTTCTAAGGAGTACATGAGGTGAGTATATCTTCCTTTTGACCGCAGGCTGCGTCTCTCCCTTGCAGAGATACTTTTGAGCTTGTTGATCTGAGGCATTAGGGCGCATGAAGTCCGCTTGAGACTCACAGCTCCCCTGTGACCTGGAAACTTTGGCGCACCAAATCCTCTTCCTCGGGTAACGGGGAAGATGCCCGCCAGACTCGCAGTTCCTCTGCCGACAGGCAAGCTGACAAACAGAGGACATGGAACCTACGTTGAAAACGACACGATCACGTCGTCGGTCGCGGGCACGCTGGAGCGCGTGAACAAGCTGATCAGTGTTCGACCGCTGAGCACTCGTTATGTGCCTGAAGTTGGAGATCTGGTGATCGGCCGCATCGTCGAGGTTGCGGGACAACGTTGGAAGGTTGAGGCGAACGCGCGTCAGGACGCCGTGCTCATGCTGTCATCCGTGAACCTGCCCGGAGGAGTGCAGAGGCGAAAGGTCGAAAGCGATTCGCTGAAGATGCGCGAGTTCCTCGCTGAAGGCGATGTGAGTATTTCTCATCTGTTCCATGTTATCCTTTCAGCTGTCAGCTATCTAAGGAGACAAACAGCTTAGATCAGGGCAATGTGATGACGCTAACGCTCTAGCTGCTCGTCGCCGAGGTGCAGGCGTTCTTCTCGGACGGCGCAATGTCTCTCCACACCCGTTCTTTGAAGTACGGCAAGCTGCGCAACGGCATGTTGCTGTCGCTCTCTCCGCGTCTGATCCGACGACTCAAGAGTCACTTCGTGCACCTCCCTGCGCCCTGCGGACCGCACGGCGTCGACGTCATTCTCGGCCTGAACGGCTATGTGTGGGTATCGCTGGGCTCGAAACAGTCGAGGGAGGGCGCCGAGGGCCTGGAGTCGGAAGGCGTGTACCGAAACGACAACGACGAGATGGACGCCGAGGACCGCGCGGCGATCACGGACGTCGCAAACGTGATCTCGATGCTGGCAGCACACGACGTCCCGCTGTCCGACACGCTCATCGCTGAGGGATACGCTTGGCTCAGAGAAGTGGGCGTCACACCAGGCTCCCCCGCCAGCAAGGAGCTGGGCGACCGCCTCGTTCGCGAGCTGGCCCTCACGGAGTAATCGCATCAAGCTGTCCTTGGCTCGGCGCACGTCATGTACGGAACAAGTGCGCCATCGTTGGCCACTGGCACGTGAACATGGACGAGGGAGGTGGGGCCAGATCCGCTGCGTGGTTGTGGGATGTGGAATGTGCTGCGCAGCGGCGTCTGCGTCACATTGAGGGGGTGCTGACCGGTTTGGCGGCGCCTCGTCTCCGATCAGGCGCACGTAACAATGGTCACGCCCACTGCGCAGTGAGTCACTTGCTGACACGCATGGTGCGGACGACGAGGTGACACTCGAGTGGGTCGGAGGCGTCGAGGGGGTGGTGTGTTGCATTCAGTCCTCGAGTCGAGGCTGGCTGAAACACAGCGTGGCATGGCATGGTTAGTGGATGGGTGGGTAGTGGAGGGGCATGGATCTGCCGGCAGATTTGCAGATTGCCTCGGGTTGGATGAGGTATGGGGTGCTCGCTTGGCAGTCACACAGACGCGAATTAGAGAAAGGAGGCGACAGAGATAGCCGCGCCCCCTACACGCCGGCCGAAGGCGCGGCCGAATGATTGGCCAGGCCAAGCTATGTAACATCACAGGATAAGTTCTACCGTGTACATGCATATGATCGAAGCATTAGAGTTGATCGACCTACGAGAGACGGTGCGGGGCATCCAGGCTGGGCATCTGGGGGGCGAGGTGTGTGGGCGTGGCTCCAAGGAGACAGGTACAGAGAGGTACAGTGGCCTCCGCAGGCAGGTACCAGACAGCTGAGAAGGGTGACAGTTGGAGGCTCGATCGCATTGCGATTCAAGGACTCAGAGTCTGCGATGACATCGTTGGCAGACCCAGTGGCCGGCATGGTGCATGTTTCTAGTTGTCAGGATCTTGAACCCACAAACGTGTGCGCCGTGTTGCAGGAATCGGTAGTGATCACGCGGTGCTCAGAAGCCGAGAGGCGCGGCAACTCTTCGGCAGCGGCACGACAGCGCACGACAGCAGCAGACGGCGAGACGGAGCTGGCAAACTCCGCGTCAGATCTCAGGTGTCTGAGACGCCGATGCGGAATGTCACCTGTCTGATGTGCTCACTTGTCGCAGAGTACGCCAGGAGAGAAGGAAAACGCCAGGATAACGTGAACGAAACCTGCGAGTGCCTGCAGTGGTTGCCTCGTCTTAGCGCAGGTTATTGCAGGATGTGCATGTTAAGCACTGAATACAAACCCACTTTAGACGAAATCTACCAGAATGCAGCAGTAGGCGAAGGCCACCGTAGTCAGCGTTGGACAATTCAATGGCCCAAGACTGCCCTCGTATTAGACGCACTGGTCCAGGAACTGATGTTCGAAGGACCTTGCAAAGTCAGGACTATAGCAGTGTCGACAGGCGATCAGGATTGCAGACAAGCGACACACGAGTGCTGGTGAATGGGGCCTTTGGGAGGCGTCAGGATGCCCTGGGTTAGAAGTCTGGAATATTGAATTCAGGCATTGACAGAACCCCTCATCTGAAAGCCTGGCACTCCAATAAATCTCATGAACGTCGCGACTATCTTTCTGGCCGAAGTCACTTTGTATCAGCGAGATTGCTGCGAAGTCCTGCACCCGTACCTGTGCCAGTCTGCCTGAGCGCCGCCAGGCTGCTCAGCTGCACCGCCGGTAGTGCTTGTGGGCAGACCTCCGCGAGGGTGACGGCGCCACAGCAGCGCCTCAGTGAGTCGCACCGAACGCCTTAAGACGCCAGCCCGCGCCGTACGAACGCCAACCAAGCCAGGCGGCGCCACTTCCACTGCTGATATCCGACGCAAAGGGAAGCGGGCATGTTGGTCGTGTCGACAGTCTGACTGCGGGTCTGGCTGGCACGATCGCTATGAGGCATTTGAGAGACGGCCAAGGGCCACCCACTGTCTCGACTTTGGCCGTTCGCACGTCCTACGGTCTCCTCTGAGTGTTCTCGCCCCGCCTGACATCATCTGGCGCACTGGCGTTCTCTGTGTTTGGCAAGCACCGTTCACCCGACGGTCCACCGACTCACAGCTGGCGCTTGGCAAATGGCGACCACAGACGTGCGCCGAAGCCGAAATCCGCAAAGGACCGTACGCTTCGTCCGACAGTAACCCCGATGCTAAGTCTGCCTTGTTTAGACTCTGTCGGCCGCAAAAGCTTGAACAGCATGAACCCCAGGGGCCCGCGGACTCGCTGCTGTGCCGAGCCGCCGAACGGTTCCTGCGATCACAATGCGCGGCGCACACCGCGCACCGCGGAGACAAGGCACTGCGGCTTGCGCGGCGCACCTCGACACTCGACAACAGATGGAGATTTGAATCCTGGGATGATAAACGACCAGGACTCACCAGGAATCTGGTCGTATTCACGGCGTTGCATCTCCTAGGCTTGGTTGATGACCTGAGAGGTACGATGCAGGAACACTCACAACCTGTGAGCAACTTGGTCGCCCATTCGACAGTGAAAGCTGGACAGGGCCATCGATGCTCACGGCCAGCCATGGCGCTCATTCATGCATATTCACGTTTCGGAACTTACCAATGTTGCAGGGCCACGCAGCTCCAGATCATCCTGAACAGGCGGAGAGCCACCCCGCATCGCATATCATTGCATTGCTGCTTCGTCTCGATGCCCGTTACTGTAGTTCGCTTGCCAGGCCGAACAGGCAGGAGGCACACGGCTGCTGACAGCCGTCTGCCAAGCTGCCACAGGACAGCAGGGACCAGGTGCCCCAGACTGACCGGAAGATAGGAAGTATTCCAGTCCCAGGACTTTGGGCCTCTTGGGTGGGGTTTCCCATCTCGCGCGCATATTTTGGGGTCTCGCCCGTGCGGCTCCGCTAATCTGCTTCCTAGCGAGCGAGCTACACTGCAGCGCATTGGTGTGCGCTTGTAGTTTCGGCCAGTGCACGCCCGCTCTTGCCCTGCAGCTGGGTTCACTGCCCCTTGGCCAACATCCGATATGTTGCAGCTTCTCTCAAGACCTTGTCTCTGCTTTGCCGTGCGCTTTGCCGTATCTCGGCGCACCTCGCGATGTGTGTGGACTCGCTCCGGAACCGGGCAAAAAGGTGCTGTTGTATGTAACATTTCCTTAACACCCAACATGGGCGCGTCCCGAGACTTCTGGCCAGCACTCCGGGTGCGTCCGCGCTACTCGGCACGGACACGGCATGACTCATCTACGGTTGCGTGTGGTGCCGTGAACGAAAATAGCGTTTCGCTAAACTCTATTGTGGTCTTCGTACCTCCTGGCCGAGCTGGGGTACATCTTACAGCTGCAATCGGTCACCTGCGCGTGTCTGACGGCTGGCGACTGATGTCTCCGCTTCAAATGTCCGCTTGCTTCCCCTATTTCTATTCACGCCTGGGCATGTCCGTTCATGCCCGCCCATGCCCGCCGGACAGAACATGTGATCTGCATGTCTTGACCCGTGATTTTCCATTCAATAGCAGAAGCGCTAGAAGCCGAATAATGCAGCAGAAAGTCGTCAAAACGGCGCTAGTGGACGAGGCAAATCAGAGCACGCCGATAGCATACATGGAGACAGGTCGCGGCGTTAATGCGATTGACAAAGTGCTAATCGAGTGACACTCGGTCTTTACCGCCATCACCGTTGAGCCGCACTTCCCCTATGCAGATGTGCATGTACCGCCTAACAGGCTGGCCCGCACACAGAACGGGACAGCTTTCGGGCGAGCGCGAACTCGGATGGACCGAATGCTCTGAATAGATCAGGTTATCAGGCAGAGGTGATCCAAGCGTCAGGTGCAGGGAGCAAGGGTGGTGGCCTAACGGCCCATTGCGGGGGTGATTGGCGCACGGACGTTCCAAGTTGAGACCTACCTGAGTGGCGGCGCTCACCTCCTTCTCGCCTCGGAGAGATAATGCGTCGTCAAGAACGCAGTCATGGGGACGCAGTTTGCGCAAATGGAGGAAACGATGCAGAAACCTGGATGACAACACCCCAATTGTCCGTCGCACGTATACGACCTGCTGCAGCTTCGTTTCCGCATGCCGTCCGTCTCAGCCATGCGCTTCGATACGTACGACAAGGGACCGTGGCGTTATCGTCTGCCCGATGCACGACACGGTGGAGCGGCCAACTGATGAACATGACGAGGAGGCGAGGGATCAGCTGAGCGGCAGGCTAGGGAGACGAGATGGCGCTGGGGGCGCCGAACTGAGGCTTGTGCGATTTGGCAACGGTGGCAAGGGAGGTGTCAGACATACGTACACCTCCATGGAAGCTCCCAGAGGCCATCAACGGCCGTCCCACAACCCAAAGAGCAACAAGCTTTGTTCTCTCGCTTCTCTCGGACGGTTCGGTCCACGGAACTCGATCACGATTGACCCGACCCGCCGGGTGAAAGAGAATTCAGCAAACAAGGTTTGCCCTCCGAATCAGTGACGGTACACAAACACTGTACCTTCAGAGGACTGCAGAGCCTCGGCGTGAACCAGCAGCGGCCAGCTCGCAAGATGGGAGCACCCCAACTATGGAGTTCCGCAGCAGCAATTGCATGAGATAGCGAAAAGAGGATCAACAACTGAGCACGAGATGAACCTGCAACCGAACAAGATAGCCTTGAATTGTCCCTGGGCCCCATGTTGCCTGCTTGACGCACACGAATGCGACTAGTGCGCTCTTGCGAGGTTATATCGCCCTACAGTCATTCCTATGAAGGTGTGCAGGCAGACCCTTCTTCCAATTCAAGTCGAGACTATCGGTAAAGTGGAGGCGGGGTAGGGCTTCTCTGCGCTCAAGCAACTCAGGCGCGACGCGACGGCCGCGACGACCGAGACCGCCGACGGATCAAGGAAAAGGCCAGCAGAAGATCAACACAGCGGCGATATTGTCGAGGCACGCTACCTGATGATGGCTAACGAGACATCGAAGGGAAAGCACATCACGCTAACGTTCGTGGAGCATAGACGCAATACACTAGCGGCGACTACGGGTCGGGCATCCGCCGCATCTCGTGATGTAGTCGTCAGTGCCAAGTAATCTCGCAGCCGCGGGACTGGGACCCCATAGCACTTCGCAGGAGTTTGCATCTGTTACGTTTATTGATGAACCGGGATCTGTACGTTATGCGGTATCAGCGGCATAGGCACTGTCCTGCATGGAGCCTGTGCGCGTTCCTTGTTGTCCTTGCTGCGAACAACGGATGACGAACTGACACGGTAGAATCCGTGTCTGCAGTGCAAGTTGAACGGTGCCGTGGCGTCAGGTCCGGCAGGTCCGTCATGATCCGTCAGGAAAGCCAGGCGAGATAGGGTTTTCAGCGACTCACTTAGGCAGTGGGCTCAAGCCGTGATCGCACCTGGCCGCACGACCCGGCCGGGGTGCGGGGTCTGCTGGAAGCAACACAGGAGATTCACAGGAGAGTGCACAGGAGCCTGGCAGGAACACAGGGAAGGCGGCGTAGAACCACCCCGAATGCAGGAAACACGCCAAAAACGCCATCAAAGTCAAAAGGTAAGGAGCACCCCAGACTCTGAAAATAGTGCAGAGCCAGTTGAATGCTCACGAGGCGCCGGCTGGTCTGATTGGTGACATTGCTGCTCAACCAACCACCGATCACACTGAATACGGATCTTTGCCCTGCATACATGCCCTCGCAAGCCTTGTTTCTCCCGACTCTTCTGCGCAGAGGGGCCTGCCCTGGGTGTCCATCTCGCGACTGGCGACGATGACAACTGCCGAGTCGCCCTTGACGGCCGGACGATGCAGATGACCTTTGACACCTGAACCAGTCTCACCCCCGCTTCTTACGCTATGAGGCTCTGACAGGTATTGCACGGTTGTTCTGGCGTGCGCCGTACGCTCTTGCGCCGTAGCGCCGCCCGCGGTGTTCGCCCAGGTCCGGACGCCCTCGCCCATTACCGAGTCCCAGAAACGCCATAGACTTAGCCAGGCACTCCTGGCACACTGGAATTGTAGGCTTCGAGGCTAGTACCTAGGCGATTATCGAGGCCCCTCAATCGCTCGAGATCAGCACTCGACACGCGCCTGACCTGCGCCGTCCGCGTTGCCCTCTTGCGACCTGCGGCCTGCAGCCTTGAGGCCCTCTAACCCCTGACCGCCAGGCCGCTTGGTCTGCATGGATGACGACCTCGCTTCTTCCTTATAAACGACTGATAACAACCGTTCGAGGATCCTTTCCCCAGATCTTGCGATCCGACCACCCCTTCCCCCATCTTCTTGCGCAGTCACCATGGCCACTATCCCGGATCAGGACTCGCCGCCCCTTTCCCCGATCTGGACACCGACCGGTCTTGAGCCGTCCAAGAACGATTACTTCATGTCCGACAACTGGCTGCACAACGATCGCTCTGTCCTCGACCTGACCAGGCGGAACAGCGACTCGAAGCCGCACCTTGCGTCAGTCAGCCCCGCCAAACTTGCCAAGTCGCAGTATGTCACCTTTGCCACTGCTACCGAAACCCCCTGCTCTACGGACTCCAACTACTCTTCGTCGAGCGGTGAGCCGCCTTCGCCTGTCGAAAAGCGCTTCACCAGCTATCCTCGACCAGTCTCGATCCACACCAACCCCAAAACACCGACAATGGAGGAGATTGCGCCGGCTCTCCCGGAGTCACCCGACGTGGCCACTGCCGCATACCACACTCCTGTCTTGGGCGGTTCGCGCCACAAGAACACTCTACAGCGCAAGCTCGCCCCGAATCTGACCGAGTCTCTTGAGTTGCTGGTAGACGTGCACCACCGTCGGGACGCGGACCGTCTTCTCGCCGGATCTGGTTGTGACAAGCACTCGCCGTTACGCGCCGATGTGCTAGCCGCGTTGAAGCGCGATTCTGTCAACCGAAGCCGAACTTCCTTAGTCCCAAGCCTCAACCCTGCCAATACCCCGCTACCGCCCGAGCCTACTGTTCGAGGCCTCGGTTTGTACTCTGCCCCTAACCGGGGCACGGAGAGTGTCAGCGCTGTGTACGCTGTCACCTCCCGACCAGAGCGGGTGGCGCGCAGCGCTTCCACGCCAGCGGTGCAAAGTTCCTTAGCGCGTCACGCGACTGCCGAACGGGGTTTGAGCCTGTTGTCCATTAGCTCAACTGAGTCTCTCCGCAGAGGCAGTCTCACTACGAGCGGAACTGCTGAGAGCGTCCCCGCCCTTCCCAGTCTTCCCGAGGCTGGCCCTGTCGAGCACATCGCTTCGTACGCCGAGATCAAGGCTGCGCGCGCGGCCGCCGCAGCCGCCGATGCGCAGACCTTCGACTCGTCCGCTCCTCCTGCCGAGAAGCAGATGGACTACGCTGCTAAGCTCGAGCTCTTCGACGCCACCGGCAACCGTGTCCGGTTCGGAGACCTCTTGAGCCAGCGTACCCTCGTCATCTTCGTCCGCCACTGGTACTCCTCCTCTTGCGCCGAGTACGTGCGTGCCGTGGCTCATTCCGTCACCGACGACGTGCTCACTACCACCGAGACACAAGTGATCATTGTTGGCCACGGTTCGCCATCAATGATCCCCGGGTACCGCAAGCATCTCGCTTGTCCTTTCCCGATCTACACCGATCCGACTCGCAAGCTTCAAGACGCACTCGGCATCTTACCGGCGCCTCTTTCGGGCGACAGCCCCTCCCGTCAAAAGTTCCTTCTACGCCTTAACCGGGCGTTCGACATGTTCGTCGCTGCTGCAAAGATGACATCGTTCCGTGGTGGTGACCGGCGGCAGCTTGGTGGCGAGTTCATCATGATGGAGTCGTCGTGCTCGTTCGCGCACCGCATGCGCCTCCCCGCCGACCACACCCCTGTGCCCCAGCTCCTCAAGGCCATAACGAAGAAGGAAAACCGTCAATCGTACCGTGTCTCGATCAACGGCAAGAGTGTCAACAGCGTCCTCATCGGCCCGAACCCTTCCACCGCCAACTTCGGCATGATCGCTGCGCCTGTGCGGGAGGAGGCTCCCCGCCGCGAATCGCAGCGCTGGGAGGCTGAGCGTGGTCTCGCCATCTAGTGGAAAGTTGTGTGAATAGCAGGATCAGTAGTATAATTGTATATGACCAGGCAGTCCGCCTCACTGTATCTATGCCGAGGCCGGCGCCTAATATGTAGATTAGTCATCAGTCATGTCCTCAGATGTAACGAAGTCAATCTTTCAACAGCTCTCTCATGCTGCGGGCCGAATGACGACATGCCCTGGGCTCAAATGTGAGGCATGTTAGCGGCGGTTGCTCGTGCCCGCTGTCTTCTCGTGGTGCTGACTTGAAACACGCTTCGGGGAAAGCTAAGATACGAGCTTGTCTTCGCCTAGGAGGCTTTGCCCTTAGAGCTGCTGGGAAAGCCCGGAGTATTGCGCATTGACCAACTGCATTGGTCAGAAAAGAGTAGTGCAGTGCGATCTTACTTGCAGTGGTTGCCCTTGGTGCGAGCCCGGCAGCGCACGGGTCAGTCCAGATGTCCGAGCGGAGCTGTTTGTCCCACGACCACTCATGTTCTTTCCCGCTCGCGGAGAGGCAGTGAAGGCCGCGGCGCGCAGTCCAAGAAGGGTGTGGTGCAGTGTACTGCTTACGCTCAGACACTCGGAGCACCAGCGAGAACCTGATCGAGAGTTCTGGCCTCCATGATGTTGCCCGATTCGCCCGTTCTGGCGATCTTTCGTCATCTCTCAAACACGTCTCACGCGATCAGCGAACGGTGCGGACACCGGGCCACCGACCAGCTGGTGTCGAAGCATTCGCATGTTCGACGCTCGGCCCGGCGGCCTGCGTCAGGCCGCACTGCTGTGCTTGGCAGCTGCACTAGGGCGGAGATTGCGCCCAGCTGCTCAAGAGTTCGATTCGAGTTGTCGTCTTCTCAGTGTTCGTTCGATTCGACCCGCTGCTGGCGGCGGTTCTGAGAGCGAGTCCTTGTTGTGTCCATCTCCTGCTCTGTTGTCTACATCCCAACGTTGTCCGATATCCGCAAATCAGCAAGCCAGCAAGCCATCTCGTATCACCAGCAGTTCCGTCCGTCTCCCAATCGACCCACCGAACCAACCGAACCTACACAAACACTCAACCAGTATTCCTGAGCACCAGTAACAGCGTCAGCCGGCGCCTCGCCACCAGCATCACCTCGCTCGCAGCTGCCACCATGGTGCACGCCATCCCCCTCCCCCTCGGCTCGCTCTTCTCGCGCAACCGCTTCGACCCGCGGGACTACGAGCGCACGCCTCTGCTCGAGAAGCTCGAGAACAAGCTAGAAGACAAGCTCGAGCGCCTGCGGCCAGAGCAGCAGCGTCTGCGGCGGAAAGCCGTGGTAGCAAAGTTGTGGATCATCGAGCGTCTCCAGAGGGCAAAGAACTCGTCCCACGCCGCTCGCGAACGTATCCGCGAGGCCAGCGGAGGGTTCGCAGACCACCTCATGTCCGGCTCTCACACCCAGCCCGACAACACCGACTTCATGCCGACGCGTCCCGAGACGAGGCGCAAGGGCCACGGCAGAGACGACAGCGTGAGTCACACCCCCGTCATAAGATGGGAGCTAATGGACAGCTGGAGTGGAAGGAGACAGCCGCGAACGAGTGGTGTCTCGGCGCCGAGTTCACGGACACGTACGCGACGTTCCCGCGCCGGCGACTCCGCTCCAACCGCCTGGGGCGAGTGCGATCGCTCAGCGGGGCGAGCACGGGCAGCGCCGAATCAAACATCTGGCAGTATCGCCCGTACTCGCCCGAAGCGTGGTCGTTCCCGGAGCGGCCCGTGTTCAGTGACGAAAGCCGGGGTCGTGCGCTGTCCACGGGCGAGCGACGGTCCATTGGTGCCTCGGTGGGAGAGAGCAAGTGGTGCCCACACGACGCTCGCGGACGCAACTCGTTGCACGCCGAGGGCAGTGGCATCACAGCAGCCAGCCTCAGAGAGGCGCTGTACGGCGCCCCATGCGCCCGGACGCTGTCGATGTCGCCCACCTCGCCGCTTGAGCCGCTGGTCGAGCTGGCCGAACTTGCCGAGGTCGACCTCACGGACGCGAGTGACGCCAGCTCGGAGACCGAGATCCGCACGCCAGCATCGACGCCTCCGAACTCGGACGGGTATCTCTCCGATCCGGCACTGAGCCCCACCAGCCCTTCCAGCTCGACCCTGTCAGACCCATCCAACCCGTACGCCCTCTCGCCCAAGCAGCGCCGCGCACCTCCTCTTCCACCCCGCCCCTCACGCCTACAGCTCGCCGCCATCGACACAGCAGTGATGCCTACCTTGTCTACGCCCTCGGCGCCATCAACGCCGACAACTGCCGAGAACTTGACGCCGCCCCCGGCGCTGATTCCTCGGCCCTCGCTGGCGTCGCTCAACTCCGTGAACCTGAGCAGCTCGTTCCCGCTTTCAGACCGTGAGGAGTTTGACGATGTGCTGATTTGGTCAGACGGGGAAGGCGAGCACACCCGCTCGCGCCGGCGCTCGGGTGCGCAGAAGCGAGTCCGATTCGCTGCCGCACCGGGCGTGATGGAGCAGCACTGCAACGTGTACTCGACGAGCAGCAGCAGTGTAAACCTCGCCGCGCAGCGGAGCACGAGCAGCACGAGCGTCAACCTGCTGTCAGGAGTTAGGGCCAGTTAGTAATGCTTTGTATCGCATGTATCCTCCTGCCGACCGTATCGGGCCCGCAAGGCTCCCCGCGACTGCCACCCGCCTCCTTTGGTTCTATATTATACATGGTCCCTCTGTCCTTGCGTCGTTGCTCATTGCGGTCCCTGGCCACCGGGGACGAGCTGGAGTCAGCTTTCCACTGTGCATGCCAGCTTACCATGGCGATGTTGTTTCGATGCCTACCTTGTCTACGCCCTCGGCGCCATCAACGCCGACAACTGCCGAGAACTTGACGCCGCCCCCGGCGCTGATTCCTCGGCCCTCGCTGGCGTCGCTCAACTCCGTGAACCTGAGCAGCTCGTTCCCGCTTTCAGACCGTGAGGAGTTTGACGATGTGCTGATTTGGTCAGACGGGGAAGGCGAGCACACCCGCTCGCGCCGGCGCTCGGGTGCGCAAAAGCGAGTCCGATTCGCTGCCGCACCGGGCGTGATGGAGCAGCACTGCAACGTGTACTCGACGAGCAGCAGCAGTGTAAACCTCGCCGCGCAGCGGAGCACGAGCAGCACGAGCGTCAACCTGCTGTCAGGAGTTAGGGCCAGTTAGTAATGCTTTGTATCGCATGTATCCTCCTGCCGACCGTATCGGGCCCGCAAGGCTCCCCGCGACTGCCACCCGCCTCCTTTGGTTCTATATTATACATGGTCCCTCTGTCCTTGCGTCGTTGCTCATTGCGGTCCCTGGCCACCGGGGACGAGCTGGAGTCAGCTTTCCACTGTGCATGCCAGCTTACCATGGCGATGTTGTTTCCGTTCAGCAGCGTCTGGCCCAGCTTCGTCTTCGTGATGCCCTGCGGCGTCACCTCGCTGCTAGTCAGCTTACTCGCTCATTCCAAGAAGCTCAAGAACGCAATTATCCACTCACTACTCCGTCACGTCCTTCAGCACCATGTCTGCGGTTAGCTTGGTCATAGAAGCAGTGACAGTTGAAGCTACGCACTGACATAGTCGTCGAAGCCCATGAGGGTGCCGGTGAACTCGCGCTCGTTCTTCATGACGACCCAGATCGGCGAGCCAATGCACCGGTCAACGAGCTCGAGGGGGAGGATCGTGCTTGCCATTGTTGTCGTTGATGCTGTCGACTTCGTCACGATCGAGCTCTCATCATGTTGACGAGCAGGTCGAGAGCGCTGGTGGAGGTCAGTTGCCACATGGTGTATTTGTTTTCCACGATTTTGACTGAATTTCTCCCAATACCGATCGACAGTCGATCTTGCGCGGGGAAGGTATCGAAGTCCGCTACAACTTCGATAGTTGAAGCGGCCAGCGCGGCCAGTCTGATCACCACCGCGCACCTACGCACTACAACTTGCAATGCATTCCGGCTTACTATTCTGACGCTAGCAATGGAGTACGCCGCTGATGTGTCGTAATGTTACGGCCGAGAGCTGGCCGTGACGATTCAGTCATTCATGAATGCTGAATGAGCGGGCCAGCGCTAAGTGGGGGCAAGTTCAGCACCAAAGCTGGCGTACGCAACGTCACATGTGCCGCTATATGGGAATGATGATCGGTCGGATCATGAGAGACCGCATTCAGTGGTCGTGGTGAGCCGACTCGAGCCAGAGGCCACGAAGACGTCTGCTAGCTTGCGTCTGCCCCACGTCATGCGTCTTTTCGGAAGGCGTGCAGCCCGCGTCGTATGTTCATTCCAAGTAATGGTTAGCTCGCAGATCGCACAGAGCAGTGCAGTGGCGCTGTGGCTGCCGCGGACTGCAGATCTATCGGCGCGAGTCGGCGCGATGCGAGGCGCGAGGGCGCACGGCGCGTTGTGGCGCATGGCCGCCTGCCGCGCCTAGGTTAGACTGAAACGTTGCCCCACAAGCTCACAGCGACAGCGGTACATCAAGCTAAGAAACAGCAAAGCGGACCCGGCAGTGCCGACGATCGCGCACTCTAGCCAGCGCACTTAATGATACCCAGGCGTATAGCCCAGCCGCATTGTGCGTGCGGGGAGCAATGTGCGGAACAGAGATGAGCGTCGGTGGTGGGGAATCATGGGGAACCACTGCGGGGAGGCATGTGGTCCATGAGCGCTAAGCAAATCCAGCGGGCACGACTGACCTAGCGCAACACCAAGGCGGAGGGGTGCATGCGGGCAGCACACGTTAGATGCCGTTTGATCGGAGCCGGAATGCAGTGCGAGAGGCGTTTGGTCTCGGAGCCGCTAGGGAGATCGGTATACAGATCCAAAGAGCCGGAGCGAGCCGGTCGCTGGCCGTCCATGACGATGCACGAACTGGACATTACGGGAACGTTGGCGCCTGCTCGCTGCGTTGGCAACGTCTGCACATTTCCAGCACACCATCGCTCTGATCATCTGCAACCTCGGGGATGGTCAATCGCCTGTGGGGGTCAATTGCATGATGCAGCAGCCAATGCGCACGATACGAGGCTCGGTGTACGGTGCGGTGCCTGGGCTCCACCATCGTACGAAACGGATCGAAGGTGGTCGCTTGGGTCGCTTGGCAGATTGGCTTCGTGCCAGGCAAGGGGGGTGTTCCGCACCTCTGCGATCGCGGGTGGAGCATGTTCGCGGCTTATCGCGGGCCAACCAGAGGGCGTGCTGGGATACGGACAGATCGCCGGAGGGTCACGCTGCGTCAGGATGCGTCAGACCGCGCGATCGCACCAATCAGCATCACCCGGAAATCGGCCAGCGGCCGGCGAGGGACGGCTGAGCGGAAAAGCTCCGTGCCTGGCTACCCACTCCACATCAATCGAGGCGATCACGAGATCATCGCAGCGCAGCACCAGAGAGCTATATCGGTCCCACCGCAGCTGTATTCAGCACCAACCAGAGCTTATTGCAATCGTCCCCTGTCGCCCCCTATTGCCCCCACGCTGCTCCGGCCGGCAGACCGGCAGCGCAGTCGGCCCCACTCAACTTGCTCACGTTTCTGAAGTACAGACCCGGTGTCGAAGTGCGACACGCTCTCAGGTCTTGATCCAATCATGCTGACCGGCGGGCAAGAAGAAGCCTTATCGGCTCTCAGTTAGTAACCGTGTCAGCTGTCAGCCGCCCACTTCCTGGGTTTTTACCCCTGCACATGTACGAAGCTTGATGCGGATACCCTGGGGCCTCGGAGAACTCTTCTCGGGTCTCACGGGCGGCATGCGAACCATGCCTCAATCCCCTGGGCGACCCGGGTCCATACCATCTACAAGCTCGCCAACGTCGCTTAGTTGCTTGAATGCTGAATGCAGCAGTTGGAGCGAGTGACACTGCGCACTAGCGCGTCGACATCTTTGGGAATTCCGGTGTCTTACTTCGGTCTCCGGTCTTCTGCGACATGCACATGGGCCGCGACACGCTCGGACGAGTCGCGCAGATAAGAACGATTCATTAAGCGCCATTTGCTTGCGCATCCACGTTTCGTCCTTGCGCTAAACGCACATGACGCAAGGGCTATTCAGCATGAACCAGTCCTCAGAAGCAACGCCGCATACCAGCGCCAGCAGCGGCACTGCACGGCTCCCCAATGTCCTGCAGAGATGATCCAGAGATGTTCCATGCTGACCGGATGTCCCGGACGCTGGCCGGTCCCAACCGGAGTTGCGTGATCTGGAGCGACAACTGCCGCCGGTTACCGCACTCATCGGTCATGGGAACTTCCACGATTCGTCGCAGGCGATGATGGCACGACAGGGGTCTGCCTCTAACGTCCTACCCATAGCGAGCGAGCCGGAGCTTCAAACCCAATCACCCGTGGGTCGTCCGGACCTGGTGGTCCTGGGATTATGTGATGGGACGGGGGAGCGAGTAGCGGGCAGGGCAGCGTTGACCGACGATCGCACCGGACCTGGCGGACCGAGCTGTGCGGGATGGGTTGGATAGGATAGGCTTCATGGTGCTATTCAAAATGACAGCGCAGCGCACTGCTTCCAGCATACCCACTGTTCGGCACTGCACGGGACAGGGGCAGGACACGCTTGTGAGCGGATAACGAGCGGATACGGTTCGGTGCAATCATCATGACCTCTCGTGCATTGTGGCAGATGTTAAGTGCTGCGCCGGACCGCGGAGCTGAGATGAGCGGCTGTCAGTTGTGGGACAGCCGAGCTTAATGCGCCTATGACGTCGATTGGGCACGTTCGCCTGAGTGGTTAGTGACCACTCTCGAGCGATCGCGTCTCTACCTGTTAAGCTATTGTCATCTGCATAAAGGGAGGCCAGCTTCCAGGCACTTCCGAGCGCTGGCCTTGGGTGTTGTGCGCTGTATACGCTCTTACCTGACGCCACTTGGCCTCCCTTTTTGCAGTTGACAATAGCGCAGTGGTATCGGCTTGGCTGGCTTGGCCGCTCGGCAAGGTGCAGGCTGACACGAGGCCCGCCGCTACCCGATCGCTGAGATCGCTCGCCAGCATCGGTTCCACCGCCTGCAAACACACAGCTCTTATGCATACATGCATGCGGTGCGGAATTGGTGGGCAGAGAAGGGCAGCGATGGTCGCGATCTTACTCGGCTCAGAATGTTTGCCCTTCGCAAAACCCTCGCACAACACAAGCACAGGAAGGGTTGAGACCCAGGGTCTGGCGCGCGCCAGCGGATGCCAGGCTGTGTCCACTGTCCAGGAACTTGCGCTAATCGCCTAGCGTAATCGCAAAGTTTGCTCATGCGTCCAGGGTCTAACCACGTCGTGCCGTTTCGCCTGCATGCCAGCCAGAAGGACGTCCAGGATTGCAGATATCACTAACGGATAACTGTCCTGCCTGCATCCTGCACGCATCCTGGACCGCAAGTCGAATGCGTCTCATACTCACACAATTGCAGCGTCACACTGGAGAGGCAAGACTACGCGTTCACGCGATCCCCAGGGCCCAGGGCGTGATTTCCAGCCGTATTTCCAGACGATTCAGCCCTCTTGTAATTCATCAAATTAGAAACGGCACCGAAGATCTGCATGACTCATGCTGCACGCGCTGGGTGCGCTGCAGGTCTGTTCGGTTCCACTGCCTTGAAGGCTGGCGT